ACAAGGTGCTGTTGGCCAAGCTGAGCCCATTGCTCTATTAAAAACCCCACGTTTCATTGTAAAGTTTGGAGATACAGGCACCTTTATGTTTTACCTATGCTGTAAGCATGTTGGAGTTGCTTTTTCCTAGTGGATGGTGTCGGCTGCATTAACGGAAAGATGAAGAGCTGAGTGAAACCGCACGTGGTGGTTACACAGACACGTCCTTGACAGGTTGCTACACAAATGGATGATGATAATGCTCGCCTTTTGTGAAGGTACGTAAGTAAACAGCATCCAATAATGAAGGCGTGTCAAGGTAAGCATCATATTTGCGTGTAGAAGAAAGTCGAGCTGCATAAACCAATTTGTATATGTAAAAAGATACATATACATATTGAATGAGTCACTCATCCTGAAACTCAATCGAGCGATCACTTCACTTTTTCTCTTCTCAAGGTCATCCCACTCCTCCTTATTGTATCACAAAAGCCATGTACTTATTGCATGACCGATAACCGGACCACCTTTATTATTCCATCTTCGAACCAATAGTATGTAATCCACAAGCTAGCAACCTCCAACAAGCGTGTAATAAATAAACAATGCTTTATTTCATCTAGCTATCTTGCTACTGTACATTGCCACCACCATCGTCGTAGTCGTCCTCCGTCATCATTCCTACTCGTACTCGTCACCAGTCGTTCAATCTCATCCGTCACACCAACATCCAAAAATACACAAGTTGAAAAGAATGGGATCTTGCAGGCTTCCTTTTGAATCTCGTTGTCGTCATCATTGTCATTGTCGTACATGGGGTGATCATCGTAACCGTCATTGTCGTGAATGTGGTAATCATCGTAATCGTCGTCTCTACAAATAAGAAAGCAGGCAAGTTAGACCATCTGGTACCGGAATGATGACGATTTGGTATACCGTTAGGCGATCCTCTCTAAGGAAGAAAGCAAATCAGAAGGAATTCACAAACGAAATCACCACCATACGAGCAACGTCGGGCGATCCCTTGTTCTTGAGAAAGCACTGCACGAATCACGCAAGGCCAGGCTCATAGTTGTCCTCATTCATCCTCTCCAAAGAAAGAATGATCCCCAATCCTTCCAATCATTTCCCGCCTCATGAAAAGAAATCCTCAAGGGAAAGAACGATCCTATCACGAGAAGAGCGTGTTGGTTGGCACTAATGTCAACACATTCACAAGTTGTTGCAAATCCCCTTTTACCTCAACACGGTGACCATGCTCTTCCAAAAACCCATCGTCGTCGACCCATCAACTCAACGCAGGCCTGTAGAGCCCTGGACGCGTTCCAAGAAGCTTTTCCAGCACACTTGGCTAGTGCAGAGCGACGCAGCGGCCACTTGATACAGGCTGGGACTTGAACCCAAAGAGATGATGATGATGCCCCCAAGTTGCATTGCCTGACCAAAGAAACCTATTCAATTCATTATTAGCACACACGTACAATAAAATGCCCCTTTTCAATAGTTTGTTTCATTGTACTTGCCTTTTCCATATACACAAAGACCCATTGTTGTTGGTTACTGGAAACCGAAAACCATGGTGTAGTATAGTTGAGCCGAAACAAAACGCCAAACGAGCCCACGTCTTGAGACCAAACTTGCCCTCTATACAAGCTAACACGTCAATGGGACCAGTTCGGCTGCAACATTGGACTCTGAATGTACCTGTTGACACCAAGCATAGAGCGGGAATAGCAACGAACAAGAGGAAGCAACGATATCGCCATGGCAACAACCAACCACCCACTACGCCCCATTCCTCAGCATTTGGACACACTCCCTCCCTGATAATGCATGTTCATTCAATACCTCACAGCCAACAAGAGCACTCTTCTATAATACATTACCTTGATCGAGATGTCGTGAATGGGATAAAAGCAAAGGAGTGAGAAAGAGAATAGAAGTGTTGTCTCAAGTGGTGGAGCTACCGTCCCCCAAGTTTAAATCCCCCTACTGCTATTACACTGAGGCCACTCAATTACCCTATACACACCATCCACCCAAACACACAACTCACCCATCATCATCAGCAGCATTCTCACGATAGACAATAGGCACGCGTAAATAAAATAAATGATCCTCACGTATAGCAAAAGGGTGTGTGTCATTTTACACTTTTCATGATAATGATGAGCCTACAACACCCATTGTTGCCATACTACCATGTCACCTCGAGTCAAGAAAGTTCGATGATGGGAATGATGGGCTGGAGCAGGACAATCGCTTGTATGTATTGTATTGGACAACAAAGGTGAATGGGAGGAATGGGCTATTAGCTGGCAGTTTACAAATAACTTTGCAAAATGATGTTTTGTGTTTTGAGCGTAACTCAACGAAATCCTCTCGGATCAAGAAAGTTCAATGATGGGAATGATGGGCTGGATCAGGAGAATCGTTCACATGCATTGGATTGGGAAACAAAGACGATTGGGAGGAATGGGCTATGAAGTGGCAGTTTACAAATAACTAATCAATTTGATCTTTCTGAAATTGGATGATACTTCTGTGTTTGAGAGTTACTCAGTCAAATCCCATCGGATCAAGAAAGTTGAATGATGGGCATGCTGGGCTGGAGCAGGGCAATTGTTCACATGCATTGGTTGGGGCAACAGGTGGCTATTAGCTGGCAGTTTGTGGATTAGATATACTGATGTTGGACTGGTATGTTCGCTGCCCTGAAGTTGCTCCAGAGCCGCTTGTAGTCTCTCATTGTAAATATGGGTAAAGCAAGAGGCCTGATGTGGGTGAACGTGTAGAAGTAATAAGCTTTTTATTTTGCATGATCATTACTAATACTGTAGGTATCGTTAATCCATTCAATGAGGAATCAAAAGTTTATGAGCGAAGCGATTAACCCATGTTGCTAGTCAAGATCGACCTATACATATGTCATGATCCGTTGGCAGTGAATGCGAAAGGCGGAGGGATGTCTCGTGACTCAAAAGGGATCAACTATGTCCGACAATATATTTCTCTTTCTTATCCTTGACAGTATTTGTTTCCTGAAGTATGGCTGACGACGTTGATAAAACTAATACGGGTGAAACGACACCACAGCAGCAAATCGTATTGATTGGCGAGGCTGATTCCACCAATCCCAACATTCGCAAGTACAAGAATCTTACCTATGATATCACCGATCCGAAATACCAAGGTCTTTCAAAGAATGCGCTCAAGCGGGTACTCAAGGAAGAGCACTGGAATGCTACACGTGACGAACGCAACAAACGACAAAAGGAGAAGCATAAGCAAAAGCATGCAGAGCGACGAAAGCTTATTGAAGAAGGCGTGATCCCTGCACCACCACCCAAGCGACCCAAGGTTGTGAATCCAAGCAACGTCAAGGTTGCTATTGATTGTTCATTTTCTTCGTACATGAATGAAAAGGTAAGAGACACTCTATTTCAACATGGGGAGATGGTTCATGGGATTCATTCGAGTTATATAGGAGGTCAAGTCTTTGCAAGCCCAGCTTGTGCGATGCTATAGCGCTAATCGTCACTGTGAGCGTCCAATGCATCTCACCATCACTTCATTCGATGATCTACTCAAAGGCATGTTCGATACCAAGGAACCAACGTACAGCAATTGGAAAGACATCACCTTCACCAATGACACCTATTTGGATACATTCGACAAGTCTAAACTCGTGTATCTCTCGGCTGACTCTGACAACACAATTGAAAAGCTGGATGAGGATAAGGTGTATATTATTGGTGGTATTGTGGATAAGAATCGGTACAAGGTATGTGATAAAGGAATGAGGAATGCGTATCATCTGGATTAATCATGATACATTTATTCAAAGAATCTCTGCCAAAACAAGGCTCAAGAACAAGGCATTGAAACTGCCAGACTTCCTATTGGAGAATATCTGCAAATGGCTAGTCGTAAAGTATTGACCGTTAATCATGGTAAGTGGATTGGCCTTGCGACAGGGAATGATGCTAATATGGATGTGCATAGTCTATGAAATCATGCTGAAATGGTTGGAAAACGAGGATTGGAATCAAGCTTTCAAGGCAGTAATCCCAGGAAGGAAGCTAAAGGATAGCAAATGGTTGGATGGTGCCAAAGAGTGCAATGAAAAGCAAAAGGAAGAAGGCTCCGTTTCCAAGGATACGAAGGATGATGAATCCAAAGAGGGCAATGGAAAGCAACAAGAAGAAGGTCCGGTTTCCAAGGATACCAAGGAGGATGATGAATCCCATCAGGATAATGAGACGCAGCAAGAAGGATCCGTTTCCATAGATACAAAGGATAATGAATCCAAGCAGGATGTAGAAGCATAGATGGATAGATTAGCCTAGCATTTGTAAATATCGACATTCATTTCTTGTTCTGATTTCATCAATGTGGACCAACTGGCTGAGTCGCTGTCAAAGCCGAATTTTAACGTTGTTTGCTTGCTTGCCCATTTTCCTTCTTCCCCATATCCTCCACCGCCATGACCGATCAAGATCCTTATGTTGTTGAAGCGTATACCGACGAATGGGGCATTCCTCTTGAACAACTCAACGAGAGTGACATTGACGATGAGGATGGCGATATGATTTTGGAACAACATCTCACAGTTTACAATGAGGTAACCCTTGAGGATCCACCATGCATACTCTAGATCCCACACTTAACACTCGATATTATAGGCAGCAATGACTCGTTTATTGGACGATTTCAAAGTGGACGATGATCTGGAGCCTTTCGAGAGAGTGTCAGTAACTACAGCCGAGCCGGTGCATATCAAGGATGTGTTTGATGATCTATCACGCGAGGAAGCCTTCTACAACCAAGCATTGGATGCAGCACGCAGCGTTTTGAAGCAAACAAAGGAACATGATGTACCATTCTTGCCACCTGTTGACAACACTGAACCCAAGATCCGTGATCGACAAGCCAAGCAAGCTGCCAAGGCTGCCAAACCAGGCAAAAAAGCAGCAGCAGAAAAGGAAGCAGCAGCAACTGAAGAATTAATTGACAAGGTTAAGCTTGCCAAGCGAAGTAAGTATATGGATGTTTTAGAATGAATGGATCAAGGTAGTAACTGGTTGGGGTTTATAGAACGGAAAGATGCCCGAGAGGATGACTTCATGCTTGATGCGGTGGACTTTGATCCCGAAGATATGGAGGACAACGATCGGAAAAACAAGTACAAGCGCAACTCGCCCAACGTTAAGCTTAACCGAATGGGTAAACAGTCAAAGAAACAGCCTCAATCACAACAAAAAAGGAAGAGCCCCAAGGGACGACCCGGAAAGGCGAGACGTATGGCAATGCGTAATCGACGTTAGAGTACATCCACACCCCCACACCCACACACACATATATACAATTGCATTTACTCTTTATTCATGTGTACCATATCCCCTTCCCCTCCCTCGCATTCTTATAAACCACATTTCCACACACATTATTATGCAAGATGGAATTTGACTCTTCTTGATGAGATGCCGCTTTGCTCTTTATGGGAATTGGAAACTATTGATCCCCACCCACAATACATGCTATTGCTGCGACATGGAAACTACAGAACTTTATCGCATACTCAATATGACACGTGATACTGCTGTTGCTGGTGTTGCTGCTGCTGCGACATGGAAACCAGAGAAATTGACCCAAATGCTTCGACACAACATGTATTGGAATATGGAGATCATCCATTTTGTATCACGCATCAAAGGTTTCTTGTGTACCTGCTCTAAGCGTATGAGATGCATGCATACTGCGGCATGTCCGATGCACGGGGTTCTACCACCTTAAATATCAACCAGTTTTTTGGATGAATGCAATTGAGACACCTTTCTTTTTTCCCACATTTTTCTTGCCGATGACGATTGGAATCGAACCCCCACAGGCCCAACTCTTGACCAAACAGCAAGTCATTGACAAGACACGTCAAGAAAGCTTGGATGCTCTCAAAGATCCTTTTGTGTTTCCCAAACCCATCAAAAAAGTAGCAGTGATTGGTGCTGGTCCTGCTGGAGTAAGTCTCTTGTTATTGAATGAACCCATATCATCGATACTAATGTAAATCATAGTTGGTGGCAGCCAAAGCACTCAAGGAACAAGGATTGGATGTCACAGTATTTGAGCGGGCCAAGGCGGTTGGTGGTACATGGTGCGTACAAAGAAAACTGGAACCTTGTATACTTTTCACGTGCCATGATTTATTAACATAGATTCTTGTTTTCAAAGGTTGTATCAAAAGACGACCGAACACAAAATACCTGTTCCCAAGGCTGAACAAGCCCCCACCCAAAATGGCAACTGCAACATGAACGCCGAGAAGAAACCTAAGGATGGCGATGTAGAAACGGAGACAGAGGAAGAAGCTCAGCGACTTGTGGACGCACATGCACCACCAAGCGGATGTTATTATGCTCTCTATAACAACACGCCGACGCCAATGATCGAGTATGAAGATTTTCCTTATCCTCCAGGCACATCATGGTACATCTCTCATGTCCAGCTACAAGCCCATTTGCATAATTATGCAACAACCTTCAAGTTGTATGACGACATTGAGCTCAACACCAGCATCGAGCATGTTAATCGCGTGGTGCTTCCAGAAACAGGTGCATCCGAATGGATCGTCACAGCCCGCAAATGTGAGCGTGTGGATAAATGCAAGTTGCGATACACCACATGGGAGGCAACCTTTGATGCAGTTGTGGTGGCTACAGGCATCTTCCAAAAAGCATTCATTCCATCCATTGACAAGCTTGCCGAGTACGATCAAAAATGGCCTGATAGGGTTTTGCATGCTAAACAATTTCGCCATTGCAGTGCATACGCAGGCAAGGTAAGTATCATATATGCATAATAATCATGCATAGCGCTCATTGTCAATGTGACCTAGAACGTGCTGTTGGTGGGTAGTCATGTGTCGGCTATTGACTTGGCTCAGCGCATGGAAGGCGTAGCAAACAACGTGTACATGGTCGTTAGAGGTGACTGGGAGGATCCTGGCAGTGACATTCTCAAATTGATTCGCACTGGAACACCCAAATCCACCATCCACAAACCTGAGATCAAGAGCTTTGCTGATAAGGATGGCATTGTTAATGGCACTATCACGTTCATGGATGATACTATTCTCGAAGATATTGATTGCGTCGTCTTTTGTACCGGATACAAGGGTGATTACCATTACCTTGGCTCATTGTGTGCACATGACAATGATCCCCAGGAGGTCAAGGAAAAGGCTATCGTGGTGACAGATGATATTAAGCCCTTAACGTCCTATCGTGATCTATTTGCTATGGATGATCCCACGCTTGCCTTTGTTGGTATTGCCAGACATTTACATGGACTCGGTCACTTTTGGTATCAAGGCCAAGCTGTTGCTCGCGTATGGAGTCAAGCTGCTCGTTTGCCATCGCAAGAGGCCATGCGTGCTTTCATGGACAAGTATGAGTTGCCCTTTGTTCCCCATGACATGTCGACCGTGAGCGAGCAACTTCACATACAACGAATTGTTACTTGGCTCAATACACATGCCGAACAGCTGAAGTCTCCTGTCAATCGACTCAAGGGTATGGATGATTCTGTGGCTGAAATGTGGGATAAGGTGAAGGCTGCTTGGCCTGATCGTACCGAGGAAATTGTGGCTGCTGCAAAACAAACACCTGTGGAAAATGGCATATAGAGCAAGATCATCTTTTTGGATAAACCATACTATACGAAAACTTCATATTACATAGTGCACTTTGCAATGAAAATATTATACGACGATAAAGTGAGAATTTGGAAAGCGAAAAAAGGGGGACACATGTAAATCCGGATGCAGGGGTGGTGGTAGTAGTAATGATGATGGATATGGCATGGATCAATAAAGACTATTACATTCTGGAATTGAGCTCGGTCAACACCACAACTTCTTGATGCTGCTTGATTTCTAGCTTAACTGGTCTATCACCACCACCAGCATGTAAGCCTTTCTCCACTAAATGAGATTCGGCAGGATGCGAGGTGACTATAGGATACAATGATGAGTAAGTGCTTTGGTGGCAAAAATAGTAGAGGAATCTTACCCCAATGAACAACGCATGAAACAATGGTGATATCCTAAGGGTGAAGTAAAATGATGAATACATGTGATGTTTAAATTGAAGGCCATGCACTTTTACATACCACGGTGCATACTGCAAGAGCAATAAGACCTCGTTCACGGCCCTGAAGTGCGACCATGATGACATAGTTGACTGTGGAAGTGATGCAGGGTACAATGGCTGCGATAATATGACGACGAGCCATAAGTTTCAGGGATGATGCTTGTTGAGCGGTTTGTTGTGCCATGCTTGGGAATGCATATAGCTTGATGAACATGCCTGTGCATAATGCAGCAATCAAAAAGTCACAGCAAAGAATAGTGATGGTCGCTGGCAGGGAGTAGCCGATAATGCAGTGGTAAGGTGATGCATCATCGACTTCAATGATACGTGAGATGATCAAAAAGACGATGCATCCAAGATACAACGCCAAGATTGCAAATGCGGCATGATAGTATATAGATCGCATGCGTGAGACTTTGGGCATGGACATGACGTAGATCTAATAACGAAGGTATTGGGATCAGCCATCTATCCTTGCCGTAGCAGGACCAATAATGTATACCTTTTCCGTAAAATAAAGATACAACATGATCTTTGCAAACGTGTAAAACAAGACGCAATTGAAGAAACCGAGCGTGCATGAAATGTAGTTGCCGTTATTGGTACTGACAAGCATGCATGCGATCAAATCAAAGGCCCAAGTAAGCCCATAAAGCGTGAGGATGAGTCCTCGTACATAGTAGATTGGGCCGTCCACTGCAGCAATCTTTCGACCAAAGATCAAAGACACGGCTGTGACACAGGCCACACTATTGATTTCCGAGACGATTTCGTATTGGTCAGGCGAATACATGATATTGCTGCTGATATTGATTTTTACGGCTGCTGCTGCTGCTGCTGAGGTAAACGGAACAAAGAAAGCCTAATATCAACCTTGCGTTATTGCGTTGCCATTATATGAATCGATGCGGTAGTCTTGTGTAGCATTCAGTAAGGAGAGGAAAGAAGGGAGTCGATGAAAGCATGGCCCACTTTATGGCAGGTTTATTCCAAAGAGAAAAAAAGATAATGGGATGGGCCATGGGGATGGCCTACTTTGACGAGCTTGTGGGTTACACCGGTCATTGTGGATCCCTATTTAATAAAAGAAACGGGATGGGCTTGTTATTTTCATTTTCCTCACTCCTTTTTTTTCGACCTTTATACAACGAATGACCCAACCAGGGAAAAAGCCAATACAACAACCAACAACGCTTGCGACAGTGCACTATCATATATAGCGATGACGATGATGATGCGAACGACCATGTATGCATATAGCACGTAATGTCATATGATGGTGCTGATCAACATCAACACCTGTCAGCTCTATGCCATGCTTGTGCAAATGGCCTGTCGTATGATTTGAGATCTTGTCCTCTTAGCTTTTTTTTTGACAGGTCAGTTGGTTCTTGCATTTGGCTGCTCCTTTCTTTACCCAAATTGCCACAGAGCCTATTGCTGTTGTTTTCAGCCCCTCCTCCTTTTTGTTTCCCAATTTGCAGTTTTATAGCAAGCTTTGTGGTGACCAATATACCTTAATTTCGTTATACGATACATATCTATGGATGAGCAACATACGCGTACCACGTCCTTTTCGCTAAGAAAGTAACACATTGTGCCAACTTATCAGATCGGGTCGACGCCAATTACAATGAAAAAATCGGGCATCACTGTCAAAAAGAAATTCATTGTAACGGTAGTGACGGTGGTAGTTTCACGAACCTTGTGTTACCGCATGGTCCATTTTTGGGCCGTTGAACGACGTTGGCCATCATAGTCTTTTTGCCAGTAGTCAGGGTGGCTACCATTCGCAATGAAACATTAGTCTCCAAAGCGCTTATGGATGCGTCATTTGATAGTGATCGATGATGAATGTATAATAAACGGGATTGCGTGAGAAGGTATAAAGCAGTAGGCCATCAATTGGTTGTTGGTGTGGCGTGAGATGGAGCAAGCGCCACTGCTTGGATCATGGGTCCTGGTTTTTTGCTGCAACAAAGAAGAGCATATGCGAAAATAAGAGCTAAAGTGAGATCATGTTCTTTGTCTTCACAAAATGAAACCCTTAATATTCCTTTTACTCCTCCTTTACATCTACATCATGTGCTTGTGGATCTCTAACACTGTATGTTCGCTCATTGCTTCCCTTGAATGTATCGCTTTTTTGAAACCATTGAGAAGACCCCGTAATTGCATCATGAAAAAAGAAGCTTTTATGATCTAGGTTGGAACACATAGATGGTACGAATGGATTTAGGTTCAAGGATCAAGCAATGGAGTTGATGGTGGAGGGCGTAATAGGGCTGATCCAAGTGCTGTGGTGCTGATAGATGAAAAAGATTTTGTTTGCTGGAATGACTTAATTGAGTAGTGCCGTTGGATTCTGAAACCTTGGGCCACTCTATTGCCACAAGTTCGGAATTGCCACACAAGTCAATAGCCGAGAAGCGAGAAAGAAGTTTTTTACTTCTAGCCAAGGCGTACGCATTTTAAGTTGGGCGAGGGCGTTGTAGCTGTGTGCGTGTATACAGCACTAACGATAGAGAGGGCGTCGGTGAAATGCGATGATCGCCAACAGCACCGTTGTCCCACTAGATCTTATTCGGAACCAACGGGAACACATAGCGGTGGTATAAATGTATGTGGATGAAATGGTGGCAATGGTGCTCCAATTTGCTTGTTTTTAAGGAGTAACTAAGGGATGCATCATCATCACTATATATACTATGTCACAAGGAGAAGCAGCAGCAACGCGTGTTTTGTGTGGGTGTGTCATGGTACTTTTGCATGTTGCCCATTTTACGATGCTTGTCAACACCCCTTATATCCCGTCCCACCCTTCGGCACTGAAGCAAAGACGGGTCGTGCCGATAGAGTTTGCACTTCCTATCTTCCCGAGAGGAAGCTTCTTTTTCTTCAAGGTCTAACACACAGGATCTATCACTAGATTTATGTAATGAGCGCATACAAGAACCACAACAGCACAACAATGAATGTGTGAGCAATAGCGGAAGGGAAATAAAAGAGAGGGGTAGTTGTCGGGTTGATGCCGAAGATGGGGACCACGATCATGTAACACACATACAGCATGGTTTTCGGAAGATCGGTTCAAGATGTCCGCTGGCTGTTTTCTTTCTCGCCATATATGGGGATTGTGAATTTGAATCAACGGAAGGAGAAGACAAAACTGTAGCATCATCATCAACACCCCCCCCCCCAAAGTGCACCACACTCCCTTCGGCTTCAGCTACAATCAATATATAAAAAGCCGCTTGCCTTGTCTTGATACGCTTTTCCACCTTCTTTCCCTAATTGCTACATCCACACCTGTTTCAACAAGGGAGCAACACGACCAAAAGAGAAATCCTATTTAAACAAACCTCTCATCTTTATCATCATTATTCATCTCTTTCTTACCTTTACCCTGTCCATCGTGCCTTCCTCATCCAAACACATATACGTCTACTATGGCTCTTGATTTTCTCTCCAGCGACATCGTGTTTCCTTCAGACTCCAGTGAACCCAAGTTAGCCACTGGTGCCGTTACCAAGCTTCCTGAACCTGTTGATTGGGCTTTCCATGACTACTATAGCACAGCTTGTGAGAAGAATACGATGCCCGTACATAGTTTGGCAGACTATGCACCTCTTGATCCCGTAAAAGACAACGACCATGATCTACACACAACCCCTTCTACGCTTGCTGCAAGCAAAAGCAACCAAGTTGGTGTCCCTGGCAACGAAGGAGGTGCTACTAGTGCTACTAGCGCAGTTGTTCCGGTGCCACCTTCCGACGAGGATCATCAAAAATACATGCGTGCCATCCTTTGCGGTGCTCTTGAAACCGTCAACAATGCCATGCAAGATAATCACTTGACTCGCCTTGACAAACACACCAGCACAGCATCAGCCAACGTAAACAGCAGCAACAACAACAATACAGCAACCCTTTTGGATAAGGGTTGGAGGTGGGAGGATGATGTGCTTTTTGGCACACTCGCACCATCACCATTGCCTGAATCATTCTTGCCACCACCATCACCACTTACACCTGTCAGCGAGAACATGCAATATCAACCTCATCATTTGGATATCCCATCAATACCATCACCCGATTATCGTACGATCGATGACGATGAGCTTGTTCTTGACAATACTTCAGGCCTTACATCGCTCATCACTTCACCCATCGATTTCAACATGTTACCCCCACCCGAATCACCCAATTCATCATTTTATCCATCATTACCAGCATCACCTATTGTGCCTGAAATACCAAGTTCACCTATTTCACCAATGGCACCAGCAACGCCTGTACCTACATCAGCCCCTGCTGCCACTATTACAAACCCATCAACACCCATTTCTCAGCCAATGCGGGAAGGCAAACCAAGCATTGCCAAATCCAAAGGCTGGCAAAATCTTGTTGGCCGCCTCAAGAAGAACCTTGCTACATCATCATTGGCGCCAAATAAGAAGCAAAAGACGCCATCCACCTCGGAATCAAATACAAGCAAAAAAGACGATCGTACCAGCCGGATTCTCAAGCGTCTCTGGTTTGTCAAGAAAGCCCAATGAAGCAAAAAAGATCAATCAAGCAAAAGCACGCATACCATATTCCCATTTTCCTTACAATCACCTACACATTTTGTTTGTATATAGCTGAGAAAACCTTCAGACGTGACCCTATTATTCTTTTCTTCCATACACACCACTCCCACCCAAAAGATCACCACCTGCTTATTCCTTTTTCTTTGTACATATTATGTGCACCCACTGGATTGATGTGCCATTATAACTTTTTATCACCCTCCCCCCATGAAAGCAGTATCCTTTTCATGTGCCACGTCCTCTTTTCTTTTCTCTGTTCTCAATCAGTCTAATATTTAGTATATACCCCCCAAAAAGTGTTCTTTCATTAAAGAAATCTTTTGTTCTAATACGTTACTACTACTTTGTCTTTGTGTACCCAAAGTTGTCGAAAAGGGATATATTGCGATGGCGATCGAGCCACCGAGTGTGGTACAAGTGTGCCACCCTTGCTTTTTCATTATGCTCAAATGGAGACAGCCGAGGTCGCATGATGAGAAGCACTACCATCATCGTCCTACTGTAATATGCGTAACTATGCAGTACGGGATGACCATGCCGAGTACCCATTGAACGGATGCTATCCGATATTGCTACACCAAATGCTTCCTCTCTCTTTCTTTCTCTGTGCACAGACCCCCAAATATTCCTGCATTGCAACATTGCCTCTTCGCTTCCCATAAACACGTATCCTTTCTCTCATCATTCATTGACCAAGCCCAATCCTTTTAGTCGTCTCTCGGAATGCTTCATCCGATCTTGATGTCACAGATACAATAGACGTTGCTTGGTGAGAAAACACGCATACAAGTAAATTACTATTTTTCTATGATACGACCCAAGGGAGCAGAGGTAAAACAAGAAACATGGAAAAGGGGGATATAAAAAGGTGCGATATGATGGATGGCGTTTTGTAAATGTGTGAGTGAGTGCGAGTGCTGATTGTGCGAGTGTGTCGTGAGTGCGTGAGTGCGAGTGTGTCGTGAGTGCGTGAGTGCGAGTGTGCGTTGTTGAAATCAACAATGGCTGTATTGGTGTCGTAAAAATTGATGTTGGTCATTGGGAGATGGGGTTGGTGGGGAATCATGTCACATGGTAAAGTCGACGAAAAGATGCTTGTAAGGATCATCGCCTGCGGGTGCATTACGATCCGTCTCAAAGATCTCTGGATATTTCTCAAAGTTGCTGGTATCGCCAGGATGTCGGTAATTGGGAATGATTGGTGCCTACATGCGTTGCTATTAGAAACCAAGTATCCATAGAAACATAAAATGAAAACATACCCTGACAGTCTTATCCAGAAGACCAATCCAATCTACTCCACGGAACCATCTGTGCCGCTTTACGTCTTCAGAGCCACCCTATAACAACATCTCATTAGATCCTTGTCACTTTTACAACATGTTCTCAGCTTACCTTTAGGTTACCCAAACGCTTGGTTAGATCACCTACTAACAGGCGCTTCAAAAGATCCTTGGCAAGTGCATCGAAATGTGCTGGGAATTGAACACGACCCGCTAAAATCTTTTCATAAATTCCAAAAGAGTTGTCATCAAAGAAGGGTGGATATCTAGGAAGATGCTGTATAAGCTTTTTGGTTTCATCAAGGCCATCCTTATCCCGTCGTCGCTTACCCTGCCAACATTTCGAAAATCAGGATACCCAATGCCCACCAGTCAGCTGCTTTGCCGTGACCTTTGCTTTGAATGATTTCTGGTGCAAGATATTCGGGTGTACCACATAATGTCCATGTTCTATGAAGATGCTGCATCTGAGTATTCTGCCATCACATACGCCCATTCAATTGTCTCCTTTTTGTACATACCGATCAGTGATCTTCTTTGCAAAACCAAAGTCAGTGATACGAATGTGGCCTTGATGATCAATCAGCAGATTTTCAGGCTTCAAATCGCGATAAATGATATTCTTGGAATGAAGATACTCGATTGCCAATACAATTTCGGAGGCATAGAAACGTGTCATGTCGTTGGTGAATCTGCCAGCACGTCGTAAATGCGAAAATAGTTCACCGCCCACCACATATTCCAGCAGCATGTACAAGTTGGTATCATCTTGGAAGGTGCAGAACCTATAAATGATCATCAGCCTCATATTCTCCTTAGATTGGCAATCACATGTCCACTTACAGATCGACAATAAAAGGGAATCGCACCGAAGCAAGGATTTGTTTTTCCCAAAGCAAATGTTGTACTTGTTTGAGTCGAACCACTTCGGATTTCTTGAGTACTTTCATGGCATAAAACTTGGATGTCGCCCTAAACTTTGTCAAATAGACTCGCCCAAATGTACCCGTGCCTAGTAAAGCCAACATTTAAAAATCACATACCCAAAGCATCATCCATGCCATACACTTACCAAGCGTATCCAAGAGCTCAAAATCCTTGAGAGTAAACGTAGGGCTGGCGACATAGACAGGTGTACGAGTGTGGTAAAATTGAAGTCTGCTTGCCTGATATTGTTGCTGTTGGATGGCTGATGGTGACGATAAAGCTGCCAGTGGATGGTTAGGAGGTAGTGAGGTGCTACCACCTGTATTACGTCGCTTTATTGGATGAGGAGGTGCTTGCAATCGCACAGGGTGTTCGTGTTGCATGACGGGTCGAGCACTTGAAGGGCCAAAGAAGAATGGTTGCTGATGAGGACCACTACCACCTATAGGCGGTGCTGATGCAGGCTTATTGCTATTGATGAAGCCAGCTAAAGGATGCGGTAATTGCACAGATGGTGGTCTTGGTTGATGCTCTTGTGGGTGTTGTTGAAAGAATGCATGCTGTTGTTGTAGTTGTTGGTGTTGTTGTTGCTGTTGCTGTTGTTGTAGTGAAAGAGGTTGTTGTGGTGTTTGACTGCCAGTGTCAGCCTCATGTGGACTCTCGGCGATGGCATCCATGGTTCAATAAAGGGTGTACGATCTGTGTAAGGACGAGTGGAATGGCGTCATCGATGGAAAGAGAGGAGCATTGTGAGAAGGCGTTAAAGAAGAGAGAGAGTGTGTGAGCATATTGTATTGTTCTTAAAGTAGGATCTATGAACTTACATTTTCTAGTACACACTTCTCTCACACGCAATAAAGTGGCGAGACCCTTTAGTTGAGAGCAATGTTTATATTCTCGGAGAGGAAAAGAAAGCGCAAAGAAGAGAAAGAGGATGGGGGGCGTACAACAAAGAGTAAGCGAGAAAGCAACAGAACCCTTCTTTGCCCAGTGCGGAAAGAGAACACTACATCACGTTTGTGTGACCCATTCTTGTCCCACATTGCTCTATGCACGTCGCTCGATGAGAGTGGAAACAACGTGAACGCACATTAAAACAATCTATATCATAGCATAGTCACCCCACAATGATCATGATAACATCATTCTATTGTCAAGCGCGCTGCTTATAGATCACCATGGTATTCATGCGGGGTATCATACTACCCTTTGTAAATGCCGATCCACTCTTTCTGCATAGCTACAGATACACGCTCTACCGCTTTGTTGGCACCTTCCCTTAATGATTGGTCCCCATTAAAGCCACCACATTTGGTACTTGACAACGTATTCAATATGACATGTTTTCTCATCAGGATATTACCGCTCCTGTCCTTTATATTACATAGCAAGATATATAGCGCTATTTACGAATAAGTAAACTATGGCGGTGATGACTTTTGCAGCTCTGCTGACAAAAATGGTGATTTGATATGTGTGATGGTGGAGAGGGAGAGATGTAAAATTATAAACAGGGAGAGTAAAAGAAAGAAGGAGTTAACAATAGGTGAAAGAAAGAAAAGAGGAGGAAAGATATAATATTACATATGTTATAGGGTTTTCTTTTTCTTTAGGCGTGGCCCTTTTCCTGATCAATTTCAAATTCGGCGGTGGTTTCCTTCTTCTGGGCATCGTATTTGGCAAACTGCTCCTTGGAACGACCAATAGCATCCTCTTCAACATCGGTGGCATCTTGGTGACCATGCAAAAAGTAAATCAAAACGGAGCAGACAATAGCGGCACAAGCGATACCAGTGTACATCCAAGTAAGCTTGGGCTCAACAGTGACAGAGACAAGGGCAAATTGAAGAATGGATGCAAAGCAGTTGGTGAACAAGAAGAGGGACATGACAATGGACTTCATGGATTGAGGGGCCTTCTTGTAAGCATACTCGTTGCCAGTGACAGAGGCAAAGATTTCGGACAAGGCAACAAAGCAGTATGATGGAATTTGATAGGCAGCCGAGATGTCATTTTGAGCTCCCTCACGGCTGACATGATCGTAGTAAGGAGGAGAGTTGTAAATCTTGGATTGGATACCAGCGGTGTAACCCATGGCAACAGCTGAAAAGAAGAAACCAAGAGCGATACGATGAATGGGACCCATGCGAATACCGAATTTGCGGAGAGTTGGGTAGACAATGTTATCCATGATGGGAATCACACAAATGACAAAGAGAGGATCAATGTTTTGCTATACAAGAAGCAAGGTTAATATAGTCATTCCACTTGTTGCCATGCCAACAAATGCTTACCATAATGTCGTTGGGGACGTTGCCAGTGTTCATAGTAGCAGCCATGGAGATAAGGTTGTTGGTGATTTGCACATAGCAGAGCCAGAAAATGGGATACCAGCAAAAGACAATGCAAGCACGTAGAGCACGCTTGAACTCATCAACAAAGACATCATCCCAGGTAGCTTTGGCAGCCCAATCGGGATGGGTAACAGCGAGATTGGATGGCTTACAAGCATCAAACTTGTCAAGCTTAGCGAACCAGCCGTTAATCTTAAAGTTGTACCAGACAAGCTTGGAAGATTCGACAATGACGGAACCACGTGGAGGAGTCAACACGTATCTCTTGCGACCAGCCAACACGACAATGATGGCGGGGATGAATACAATCGTGGGAAGAAGGAAAGCTGGCCAAAAGCCAACGTTCTTTTCAAGTTCAGTGGTAGCGATGGCTGACAATGAACCAATGTTGATACCCTATTGTGCTTGATATCAGCAAAACAGCAAAGATACAACACACTGCATCTTGTAACGTACCCAATAAAAGTACAGGAAGATCTTTTGGTAGGTAGCTTGAGGACTGACAATGACACGTTCACCACTCTTCAAGGTCTTGACGTAAGGTGATCGGGTTTGGTATTGCTCAGCAACCAAAGGAGCAACATTGGATTTGATACCACCGGTACCCAAACCAATGATAATAATGGAAACAACATAGCCGGGGAAAGCACCACCATTAGCAATGGAGGAGGGAATCGAGGTACAAGTAAGGATCACAAGACCAAGCATATAAATGGAGGCGAAGAGAATGATAGCACGGTACTTGCCGAGCCATTGATCAGCAATGATGGCGCCAATGATCTAAATGTAGAAAAATAACCTGTTGTTAGTTATCAGCTTTTTCTCCCACAATTGTCTAAAAGCGTGGAAACATACAGGTGTAATGTAGCACCAAAACCTATGATGGAAAATGTGAGAAACGATGATATTTTGCTTATTCATGTACTTTTGCACTCACTGGAAGAAAGTAGTCAAAGCAGTGGCGGTTTGTTGTCCACGACCCAAAGCACCAGGCTGGTCGGCAGGATCTGAAAATATGATTTGTTAATAAACAATTGTACCTGCATGCAATTTTAAATACACAACAACTTACAATGATCTGGAGCAGGAAATTGAATGTAGTTTTGGAATGGACCGCTCAAACCATAGTAGGTGAAACGCTCGCAAAGTTCGATGAGAATGACAAGAAAAGCAGATACAGGGACATGATCAGCGACTTCACGCAACGATGCCCATTCCTCTTCTGTAGGAGCGGGATGCTCTTCATTGTGGTCGATGACTTCAGTTGCGCCAATGGCTTCTTGCTCTTTTTCAAGCTTTTCCGACATAATGCAGAATGAGAAAAAGGGACTTTTTGGAGAGGGAAAGGATGCCCGAGGAAAAAGAGAAAACAGAGAAAACGAGAATTGGGAATGGTAAAGTTTTTATATGGATGAATCACCACAACTGGTTGGTCAGATCATACAAGGGCAGCCACCCATCCGGAGGAAACCGACATGCCTAAAAATGGTAATTTTAAGAGTGCGGATGTAGCCATATGATATCTGTGTAACACCCTGGTCAAAGAGAAAGTGGCAGATGAGAGATACATGGCTACTTTGTGTGTATTCCCGCGCATTGGCCGAGCCCCGGCTGCTCAAAAGACTACTAAAAGCGATGTTTTATTCCCACGTTGCTTAATGCAAGAGCACGCCACTATAGCGGCTCATCCAAGTATAGTAGGATAGGCTGAGGTGACTATACATTGTGGGAAGAAAGGTCTGTCAAGAACATGATGTATTCTTTTTTTCCCTTCCTGGATGGAAAATCACACGACCCATAGAGCCATATTTGAAAAAAAAATAAAAGTGAGACCAAAAACCGATCCTGATAATGGATGGCGAAAGCGTATTATCATTGGTCAACTTGTTCTTTGTTCCGGAAGCTGATGCTGAAAATTATCTACCGCACGCTTTTTGCCTAGGTATTGGCCATAAAAAAACCTTAACCATCATCTTGAATAAGTTGGACCCTTTTGTATATGAAAACGGAATAATTGCTTGTGATTGTGACTTAATAGGCAATAATCTCCTGAATTGGTTAATTCGTTGATGATAGTAAGTACTTTTACGTTCATGTAAGATGTTGTCCTCTTGTTTCCTTGAACATTTGTCATGATGTGTGGGGTCGTTGACCGAGGAGAAACAGGGTGGGGACGTTTGTATTGGATGCACAGCCGAGTTTATTTACCCGCTTATCCCGAACTTTTTCCATATCTCTTTTTCTTCGGGTTGCTGACATTGACGATTGAGTTTCTGTTTTCACTTTAAGGTTACACAACCAAAAGTGGGTGCCACTTTTGTGTCCTCGATTGTTCTTTTGGTACCTTCGTTGCAACCAGGGAAAATACAACATACTTTTGTCTTTGCCTATGGTATGTCATCCATTCTTGGTAACTGTTATCAGCAGTGCAGTGCTACTTTCATCACGCCATACAACGCTGAGATGGTGTAGCGAATACCAAACGGCGGTGCGTCAAAATTAATGGACGCACAGGAAAGTTCTCAGAGTTTGATTGGGTAAAAAGTGCCCTGCTTATCAAAGCGATACGCGTATAACACATCCAACCCTTTTTGCAAGGATCGTGGGAAAGAGCGCGGGAAAATATGGATGTCTTTTTGCCTGTATTGAGAAATACATGGACAAGTATATGTGCAATGACATGAGACCTATGCAAGTTGCTTTACTATAAAGTGTTTTGGCTGCCCACATTGCTTCCCCACAAATGCGGATCGACTTGTAGCGTAGTCATTTAACGAAAACTCCCGATGTTTTGCTTTATTGACACCGTTGCCATGGCAAAGCATAAAATTCATCAACTACAAGCTCGTCTAAACTACCGTGCGTGCGATCATTTGATATCACGAGGAGAATAAATGGTCCCGGGATGGCGTGTGTTTCATGATCGTACAGCTCTACATCATGTTCTCTTCCATGCAACACAACATGTGGTGCCTGAGGCGATGCTACGAAAGGTTACACTGCGAAGCTTGCTGTACCTTGATAAGCAAGTGTGAGTTTAGACGGCGATGGAAAAAAGCATGTTATTCCCAGTTTTTTGACGCACCTTAGTAGCATATCAAATAGATCATGCAAGTTGTTCCAATATTGCGTCCTTCCAACGTTTCCATATGTCGGTTCTAAAAAAAACTGGAATCAGCCCAAAGTTGCCAACGCCTCGCAAGCCATACAATACCTGATGTCCTTTGATTGTGGTACCATCATGGTCTTTTGTGCTTGTCTGGTGTCGTAATTGTTGTTGTAAACATGGCACGTATGATGTATACACCCGAGAATATGGATCGATGTCAGCAACGCATGTCCCATTGATCAAGCAAAGTAATGGAAGGTGGTACCTCACCGTTGGGTTTTATTCCCACGAATGTCATGCATAATGCATCTCGAGATGTTGTTCATTTACTGCTAAGGGTATCCTGTGCCAGGTCCATGGCAACGTCGCAACGTATAGTGGTGTGACGGTCGCTAGCCATCATCCTCTCTTTGAGTTCGTAAGCAAGTCAAGCAAGCACTCGTTCATTGAAAGCTGTATCATCGTCGAGCTGAATGTCATCTTGTGGCGGTGCATGGTATCTCCAATCTCTTCTCTCATTGCGATTGCTTCTTGGAAGGTATCGACCGAACCCGGAATGCCGTAACAGATTTTGGCCCACTAGTCCAATGTCAGTGATTGCCTATGTTTATATGAGACCTTCAACCCACCACAAGTGCCGCAGCAAAAGCACCAGCAGAGACCAGTTAAAAACAACGAGGCCATGAAGGCTACAATGAGCCATAGTTCCAAAACGGATATTTGCATGAAAAGGAGACGAGAAATAGAACCAGCGTCGCTGCAATTTACCAGCGACATCATCCATCATGCCCTTTTACACCACGCACCACCCACCACATGCATCTTGCTCAGCCTGAAATACTTGTTGCTATGGAAACAATGATACAACATGATGATCACGTGCTGTTGACCAAATCATCGAGGAATACACCAACCTATGGACTCGAATGATGGTGCGTAATCACGTCAACAAAGCCCATGTGACATCTTTACACATTACTTAATTGTATGTTCTCATACAAAGAAACGCAACAAAGACACCATCAAGGATCCATTATCTATCACACAAAAGCCCCCGTTGGACAATGAATGCGAACCAGCGAACAAAGAGCAACAGCTTGTGAATCAGAGACTTCTGCACCAATAAAATCCTGCGAATGAATAAGGTTTGATCTTCTGCCGATGAATCCTTGATACACAACAAGGGGTATTGCTTATAACCCTGTTTCATCTTTTTAGCGCCATTCTTCTTTATGCAAAAGATGCAGAGATGATCCACGGATATTCACCCATTGATTGTATGAGATCGTCCAGTGCTGCTTCCAGGTGTTTGCCAGGTAACGGGTATTCTCGGGAAGGTATACAACACTATCCATATACAAGATCCACTTCTTTCATTCGGAGCAACAAGTCGCATGGTGTTCTCTTATGTTAGATCAACGTTGATTCTATATTCTCAAAGAAGCCCTTATGTAATACACATTGTGAGGATCAAATAAAAGGACTTGAAGATAAACTCTTTCCCCCATATTGATGTTGGTGTCTGCGTCTGTTGCCGAAGATGAATGATTTCATGATGTTGTTGACTTTGTTTCGATCCGGAACTAGGGGCGATGACTAATCAGTAGATTTGGTATAAAAACGGAGCAAGGTTGCATTGATTTGAAAACCGGGGCATTCGCCAAAAAAAATGGCCACAACAACAACAACAACCAACACAACACAACTAGAAGCTATTGAAAAGCTACCAAGCGTATCTGCCGATCCTGATGATCATGCCACTATTGATAGCATGCATACAGCTATTGAGCCAGTGATAGATTCGGAGGTTACCACGCATGGTTGGTGAATGGATACAACGCCTCATGGATGCTCGCTTGCTTGATAACTTACCAGGTCCTCATCTTACATACTCGAATAGCTGAAAAGCCATGGGTGATAAACGATGCATATGACAATTTGCCCGAATCTGGATATGCTTGGCTGGTTGTGTTTGGTGCATTTTGCAGCTACTTTACTACCTTGGGTATTGAGACAAGCTGGTAAAGCAACATCTATATCATGAGACTTTATTTCAAATAGGCTAATGGTCGTCGTCATGGGTGTGTCTCTAGGGGTACGAGGAAATCAATTGACATGGAGATAATACTTTGCAAGCTGTAGTCTAATGGGGATGATTGCTATGATCATGGATTAGGTATCATGCAAGAGTTTTATACAACCCGTGTATTTCAAAACGAGGACAATGCAGCTTTATTGCTCAGCTTTGCTGGTAGTCTTTTGCAAATTGCAATCTATGTTGTCAGCCCTATTGCACAATTCCTCACTTCACAATATGGAGTACGGCCTGTGCTCATTGCTGGTACCATTTTGAGCGTGCTTGGCTTAGAGTTGGCTGGTTTCACTACAGAGGTGTGCAAGCAAAAGTCTAGATGCCTATCACATTTTCTCATTCTTGATGTCTGTTGTGTAGATCTATCATCTCTACCTTACTCAAGGGTTGCTATTTGGCGCAGGTGCATCGTTGTTGTTTGTGGCAAGTAGCATGTCAAGCAAAGATCATTGTGTGCGTATCCCTAAATGGTTTTTGTTTACTTAGGCTGCGATATCGGTTCCTCCCCAGTGGCTGAATCGTCGTCGTGGTTTGGGAATGGGCATTGTAACGAGTGGATCAGCCATTGGAGGCATAGCATTACCTTTCATCATGACGTCGTTGACTTCAAAAGTTGGTGGAGCGTGGTATGTACGATGAAAGGGCTGCTGTATCGATGTACTAATTCCAAGGTGCAGGACATACCGAGCTTTGGGGTTCATTGTTCTGGGATTCAATCTCATTGCATGCGTTTTGATGAAAGAGAAATATCCACACAAGAACAAAGTCAAATCAGCAGATGATGGCGAGCAACAACCCCCAGCAACCAAACGTCGCTTTACAGACACATTCGATTGGACAGTGATTAAGAACGTCAACTTTTGCATGTGGATGCTTGCAAGCATGATTTCAGTTGCGGGATATTTCATACCTTACTTTTATTTACCAAGCAAGTATTACATGCTGAATGAGATGGTCCTTTATGACATGCATACTCATATTGGACAACGTGTTACATTACATAGCTTATACTACTGGTCAAGGCTTCTCGAGCCATGATGCTACGGTGATTATGGCTGTTCTTTCAACGTCAAGCTTTGTGGGTCGTGTATTCATTGGGTGAGTCTTTATTATCTTTCCTTGGTAGCATGTTCTGATCATAACAACAGGTACATGAGTGATCGCATTGGACGTCTTAATACGCACTTGCTATGTTTATTTGTGAGCGCAATCAGCTGCTTGTTGCTATGGATGTTTGCTCGTACGTATGGCACCATCATGGCATTCGCTGTCATGTTTGGATTTGTCGGTAGCTCATATTACACTGTTTGTAAGTAGCATTTTAAGAAGGGTGGCATATGATCATTTGTAAATGCTGGGTCGATTTGTTTTTACGTTGCTTCACTTTTTTGTTCTCTAGTGTCTCCCCTAACAGCTTCAATACTTGGAGTTGAAAAGTTTCCAACGGGCCTTACGCTTATGCTTCTTTCGAACATCATCAGTATATTTGGTGTGAATGTTGCTGCAGCCATTCAAGATAGTTTGACCGATTCCCAGCCCTATATTGCTCATAAGATCTTTGCTGGTGTCTCCTTTGGTCTTGGTTTTGTGATTTGTATGATGCTAAAGCTAACAGCAACGAGAAGTTTGGTATCGAAGATTTAGGTTCTTTATTGATCCCTTGTATTGAAATAAAGGATATCTTTATATCTTCCTCATCCAATTACTATTTATCTCTATGTAAATCCAAGATGGGCTTGGTGGGTTGGATGGATGATGATCGGAGTGGTGTAAAAAGGTGAGAGTAAATAGGTTCAGTGCCAAAGATTTTTCTTTTCCCTTGCCAACATGGAGGAATTGCAGACACTGGTACTCACCACTCTGGACCGTGACAATGTCATTGAGGACACCAAGAACCTCAAGTCCACTCAAGGCGATGCATTGGATCAGCTTGCCGTCCTCGGCGTTCTCAACAGCTTGAAATCGAAGGACGTAGGTGTCATTCCAACATGGCAGCATGTCAACTAGCTCACTCGTGACTCATAATGACTGTATATAGATGCTCGACTATACTCCCCTTACCTATGAGTACTGGCGTTTGACAGGCGAAGGTGAACAACTCGCCAAGGAGGGAAGCCACGAAGCTCGAGTTTTTGCTGCTATTCCTGCCGGTGAGGAGGGCCTTGCTATCAAGCAACTTCAGGTATGGGCAATACTGAGTCATGTCATGTGATAAATACTGATAACGATCATTAGAGCATCTTGGGTGCTACTGCCAAGATCGGCCAGGGCAACGCCTTCAAGAAAAAGTGGATTGCAAAGAAGGGCGATAACTTGGTTCGATGCGTCGATACGATTGAAGATCAAACACAAAAGGATCTGCAGCAAATCCAAAGCACTGGTCAGCTCCAAGATACTAAGACTCTCAATGACCTCAAGAAACGTAAGCTTGTTGAGAAGCAGTAAGTCGACATTAGGAGATACGATATCAAGTGGTATATATGAACCAATGGTGTGTCATGATAGAAAGACTACCTCATACAAGGTGACCAAGGGCCCTGAATTTGCACTTGAAGTCAAGAAGGAAGCCACTGATATTACATATGAGATGTTGCAAAGGTAAACAAGAGGAACGAGTATGGAATATGGATGGGGTGATCTAATATTGTTGATAGTGGTGAATGGAAGACCGCTACTTTCAAAAAGTACAACTTTGATGCTGTTGGTGTTCCTCCTGCTGGTGGTCATTTGCATCCTCTCATGAAAGTTCGTCAAGAGTTCCGTGAAATCTTCTTTGAAATGGGCTTCGAGGAAATGGCAACCAACTGCTTTGCTGAATCCAGTTTCTGGAACTTCGATGCTCTCTTCCAGCCACAACAACATCCTGCACGTGATGCTCATGATACTTTCTTCTTGAAGGGTAGGTTGATGGTATACACGAATGAACAATGATATTAATCTACATGTATAGATCCTGCTACCACTGATCGTTTCCCTCGCGATTTGATGGAGAGAATCAAGGTCACTCATGAAAATGGTGGTGATACTGGATCAACTGGTTACAACTATGTCTGGAAGGAGGAGGATGCTGGCAAGATGTTGCTTCGTACACACACCACTGCTGTCAGCTCCAACATGCTCTACAAGCTTGCTGAAAAGACAAAGGAGCTTGGTGAATTCCGCCCTGCCAAGTACTTCTCCATTGATCGTGTCTTCCGAAATGAAACTGTGGATGCTACCCATTTGGCCGAGTTTCACCAAATTGAAGGTGTCATTGCCGATAAGAACCTTACTCTCGGTGATTTGATTGGTTTCATGGACGTCTTTTTCAAAAAGATGGGTAAGTTGAATGGGATGGGTGATAATAAGAAGGCATATGGCTGATTTGGTGTGAATGACTTAGGTATGGAAAAGATTCGCTTCAAGCCCACATACAACCCTTATACCGAACCTAGTATGGAGATCTTCTCTTATCACAAGGGATTGAAGAAGTGGGTTGAAATTGGCAATTCGGGTATGTTCAGACCAGAAATGCTTTTGCCTCTCGGTTTGCCACCAGATGTTCGTGTCATTGCATGGGGTTTGGGTCTCGAGCGTCCTACTATGATCAAGTATGGCATCTCCAATATTCGTGATTTGCTTGGCCACAAGGTCAAGATTGACATGATCAAGGAATACCCTATTTGCCGCCTCGACAAGAAGATGGGCAAGGAGTTGGCTGGCATCAACGACGATGAAGAATAGATGAATTTTGTCATATAAAATATTTTGTTGTGTATATCAATCATTTGCATTGACAACCAGATGTTCCCCCTTAAATGATCACGTGACATGAATAATGGCTTTTATTGTGTATGGATACTTTACAAAATGTACTGCGAGATTGGCTATGCATAGCTAATTGATTGAGAATAAGGCATCTAAATGGATCACGTTTGTAATAAGGTGGGATGACTCACTCACACTCACTTTATGACATTTGCTTTCCCTTTGTAATAGACTCTGAAACCGCTTCCAGGATCAAAATTTGACACCACACGAAGCGCCGACAAGTTTTCTTTTGTTCCTTTTCCACTTTCAAAAATGGCTATCAACCTCATTGTTGCCACCAAGTCTCAGGCCAGCTATGGTAAATGAGTCGTCAATCACTAGAATCAAAGAGATACTAAGCTTTGCCAATAGGTGCTTTGGCTGTCGCTGCCCAGGTCAACATGGCCAAGCCTCAAACCGTTGCCGTTGAATACCGCGATGCTGCCAACCTCCAAGCCGAAGGTGCTGCTAAGGCCACTGCTCTTATCAAGTACAATGGGTAAGAAAAGACGCTTTATTGATACGACTTGACTGATTGACAATGGGCATTTGGGATTAGTGAGAACTATGATACCGTCAGCTCTATCGCTCGTCTCTTGGGTCGTCTTGTTCCCGAAGCTGGTCTTTACAACACCTCTGATCCTATCAGCTCTACTTTGGTACGAATGGATATGGATGATATGAAGAGACATTCTTATTAACGTATTGGATAACGGCAATAGGTGGATCAATGGGTTGACTTTGCCGCTGTCAAGCTTGGCACCTCTGATTTCAAGCAATTGGATGCTGGTTTCAAGGAACTCAACAAGTACCTCACCCTTCGTTCCTACATTGTCGGCTACCAACTCTCTCTTGCTGACTTCGTTGTTTGGGGTGCTTTGAAGGGTAAGCAATCACTCGATTCATATCAATCAGCATAACTCTAATGTTGTCAAATGCAGCTTCTCCCGTGTTTGCTCGTGTCTTCAAGACCAAGAAGGAATCTGTTGGCACTTACCTTGGTCGTTGGTTCGAATTCGTCTCTTCCCTCGATGCTGCTCAATTGGCTGTTAAGGATTTGCAAAACGCTTCCAAGGTATATATAACGTGAAGGATCAAGGTAGCAATCATATGGATAACTAATATGTATACGTATCATATAGCCCCAGAAGGCTGCTGATCAGGGCAAGTTCGAGATTGGTCTTACTGAAGCCGAGATGGGCAAGGTTGTCACTCGTTTCCCTCCTGAGCCCAGTGGTTACCTTCACATTGGACACGCTAAGGCCGCTTTGTTGAACCAATACTTTGCTCAGACCTACAAGGGCAAAATGATTGTCCGTTTCGATGATACCAATCCCAGCAAGGAAAAATCCGAATTCGAGGAGTCCATCAAGGAAGATTTGGCTCTCATTGGCATTGATTCATCCATTGTTACCCACACTTCCGATTACTTTGATCAAATCTATGAGCTTGCTTTGAAGATGCTCAAGGAAGGCAAGGCCTACGTTGATGACACTGATCAAGCCACTATGCGTGACCAACGTATGAAGGGTGAGCCATCCAAGTGCCGTGATTTACCTGTCGAGGAGAACTTGCGTCGCTTTGAGGAAATGACCAAGGGCACTGAATTTGTAAGTTATATAAAAAAGGTGATCATCATGCATTCATAACTCATATGTATACACTCTTTTATAGGGTCAAACCTGCTGCATGCGTGCAAAGATCAGCCCCAATGACCCCAACGGTACTATGCGTGATCCTGTGATCTATCGTTGCAACTTGACTCCTCATCATTTCACTGGTGACAAGTGGAAGGTATACCCAACCTATGATTTCGCTTGCCCTGTGGTCGACTCTTTGGAAGGTGTTACCCACGCTTTGAGAACCAACGAGTACCGTGATCGTAACGTTCAATACCACTGGATGCTTGAGGCCCTTGGTTTGCGCAAGGTCAACATTTGGGATTTCAGCCGTATCAACTTTGTGTACACTTTGCTTTCCAAGCGTAAGCTTACTTGGTTTGTTAACGAAGGCATTGTCTCTGGTTGGGATGATCCTCGTTTCCCCACTGTTCGTGGTATCCGTCGTCGTGGTATGACCATTGAAGCTCTCAAGCAATACATCTTGATGCAAGGTGCTTCCCAAAACGTGCTCATGCTTGAATGGGACAAGTTGTGGGCTCTCAACAAGAAGGTCATTGATCCTGTTGCCCCTCGTCACACTGCCGTCGTCAAGGAAAACATGGTCCAATGCAATGTTCAAGGCGCTCCTGCTACCCCTGAAGTTAAGGAAGTCCTCAAGCACAAGAAGAACCCTGATGTTGGTACCAAGAAGACCACCTATTCCAACAAGATTGTCGTTGACCAAGAGGATGCCAAGACCTTTGAAATTGGTGAAGAGGTAGGAATTAGAATAAGAGGATTGGATGGTGAAGATATTAATGCATATGGTACGATTAGATCACTCTTATGGACTGGGGTAATGCTTTCGTCCGCAATGTCACCAAGGATGCCAATGGTGTTGCTACTGGTGTCGATCTTGAGCTTCACTTGGAAGGTGACTTCAAGAAGACCAAGAAGAAGATCTCCTGGCTTTCGTATGGCGACGAATTGGCCGATGCTTTGCTCGTCGATTACGATTACCTTATCACCAAGAAGAAGGTCGAGGAAGGTGACAATGTCGAGGATCTCGTCACTCCTTGCAGCGAATTCAAGACTCCCGCTGTGGCAGATGCCAATGTAAAGGAACTCAAGAAGGGTGATATTATTCAGTTTGAGCGTAAGGGTTACTATATCCTCGATGCTCCTGCTACCGATTCCACCCCGGCCTTCTTCATCAGCATCCCTGATGGCAAGGCCTCTTCCATGGCTTCCAAGGCTGATAACGGCAACAGCAAGAAGAAGTAAAGTAGTGATTTATGTATATCGACAACTAAAAATACATTGTTCATCTTGCATGCTTTTGTGCATCCACTTCATTTTCAATATCGGCTGGGGGATTGTTGGATGATCGTGCGGACGTCTCAAATATCACTTGCATCTCTTCTAATGTTTTGCCCTATCAAAAGTACATCCATGTGTTAGCTCATTGCATAAGTGAATGGTGTTGCTCTCACCTTTGTTTCAGGGACATAAAAGAACGAGAATACAGCGCTCACCAGACAAAATAACCCAAAAAAGATGTATGTGCCTATGGTGCTTTGTGCTACAAGAATGGTGTATTTGCATGAATGGAATGTTGCATGTAGCTTGGGGTATGCTTACCAAGGAGTAATGGGCTAAACTTTCCCACCACAGCATTGAATACCCAATTGATGGCAGTGGTGATTGATGTGCTCTTGGCTCGCAACCTGTTTGTATTCATGAGATCGGATCAGCTGATGCTTAATACAACCTTCCATGTTCTCTTGTACTTACGCCATTGGATAGATCTCAGAGCAGTAAATCCACGGGATTGGACCCCACGAAAGTGCAAAGCAGATTGCATACACTACATCAAGCATTAGTTTTCATACACCTTGATCATTAAGTTGACTATGCCTTACAATACATGAACACGATGCCCTATTATTACCAAGAGACTAGAAGCATTAGCCCATGAAAACTATGATTAAACATGACTTACGGCATAAGACGCGGGGCTGACATCAGTGTTGGTGGATGTTGTTTGAATTGGTAGTGTGCTTACACAAATGGCAACTGACAACATGCAAGTACACAGAGCTGTGCCACCACCAATCAACAGCTTGCGTCGACCATAACGATCCACCATCCACGAGAATGCGATGAGGGTAACCGACATTTTGACCAAGCCGTATACTTTTCACAGCATAGTTTAAGCTCCCGTTATCATAACTTTATCATGTATATACGTACCTCCCGTAGCCAAGAGTTCTGCAGTGTTGGAAGAAAGACCAATGGATCGAAAGATAATTGGGCTGTAATAGTTGATAACATTGGTACCAGTAAGCTGTTGGAATGCTTGAAGAGCACTTCCCACAAGCAAACGCCGCATATTGTCACGCGAAAATACAAGTCGCCATGTACGCCATGTTGATCTTGTTTCATCCACGACTTGTTCTCGCATACCATTATGGATGAATTCAAGCTCGGTATTGACACGAGGATCGGCTACTGGCCAACCACGAATCTTGGCAATCACCTGTTTGGCTTGATCCATATGCCCATGTGCAACGAGCTGCCTAGGCGTTTCGAAGAGCACCAACATACCCACCAACAACATCCCACCAGGGATCGTTTGCACAATGAGCGGCACCTGCCACAATGCATTATCTTGGTCATCCGTAACGACTCGCTGTACAATGTAATTGGTCCAATACGACAGCGCTAATCCAGCTGCAATGAAAAATTGCCATAATCCACCAAGCAATCCTCGCTGAGATTGATGTGCGATCTCTGCAACATAGACCTAATCAACCTTGTAAATGCACGTTGGATGACAAAGAAAGAAAGGATGTAAACATACCGGCACAAGCATGCTTAATGCACCCACCCCTATTAAAAATGTACCACGTTACACGAAACATAGCAACACCAGCATTGTATACCAGAGCTACTTACCAAGACCAGCAATGAGTCTTCCTGCATACAACATCCCAAGGTTTACAGCCACCACTTGAAGAATGCCGCCAACACAAAATACGGCTGCTGAAAATACGATGCTCCATTTACGTCCAGCTTTGTCTATTAGATGCCATTATTGTTAACTTTCACATCATGCCGTCATCCAAACGCACACCTGCGCCGAGAGGTATACCTGCTGTCAACGTGGCGGCAAGACTTCCAAACAAGCATCCGATTTGTAAGATGGCCACAATGTTGCCATTGATATCAGCTTCCCGTATCTTGTCATTGGGGTCAATACCAAAATGGGTTTGGAATGAAGGCGCAATCAACAAGCCGCCCACAACGCCCAAGTCAAAACCTGTTGCGTGTTTGTTGATATGATCTCGTTACAGGGAATGACACACACACACAACATACCAAATAGCAAGCCGCCAAGACCCGATATACATGCCGCAGCTGCTGTCCATATTGTCATTTTTTGTTTTTGTTGATGATCAAGAAGGGGCTGTCGCTCGTTGTACGACGAGGGTGTTTGATGATGACGATTACGAAGGGGAAGGAAAAACCGTAACCGTGGTGTTGGTGTTGTTCGCATCTCGGCCGGGAGCTTTATAGTGGGTATTTATATGAAGGGTAATCGGTGATATAAGATGCAGGAGGTAAGTGGGGTGTTGTGATCAATCGCTGCTATTGTTTTGTAACCGTACAAAGTAAAGAGGAGAAAAGAGTAGCCTGTGAATTGAGCGACATGGATGAATTTATATTCGCCGGAGTATAGAAACCAAGGTTTTTTGCATGATGAATTGGCACCAACCTCGGCTTTCACATCACCATCGCACCATCATCACTTCCCAACAAAATACGCTCATAATTATACTCAATGTCACTGAACAGCATTGTAAGGAGTAGAAAAAGAAGCAGGAGGAGAAAATTGCATGATTTCAATTTGATCTACAGCGATGGACAAAAAAAAAGGTATACTTTTGGTGTAATCTAGAATGGCATATGACTTGTTTGCCGTGCATGAAAATGTGTGTATTTACGTACGACAACAATGGGGATGACAAACAATGATAATCTAACTATATACATGGATGAATAATGACGTGTGTGAGGATGAATGAAGAGGAAGCATGTATGAGATTGCATCTAAAGGTCTACAAATGAAGCATAAGACATGTGTTGATATAGGGTTGGGGAGCATAAAAGTATCTGGATGGATTCCATAAGGTGGTTCAAAAAGCAGGCGTTGCTGTTGTTGTTGGCATCATCATTGCGGTGTCATAAGAAGGTAAGCGAACGCGACGGCATGTGGGATCCATTAATGCTGTAGCTAAATAATGGCTGTCAATAGTGGTTGTATCAGCAGCCAACCAATCGTCCGGCTCATCAGCAGGTGTTGTAGCAGCCGAACTTGCCGGTGATGAAAAGGGTGATAAATCATGTTCCATGTACATGGGCGGCAACAAGGCATCTGCATAACTTGGTAACCATTCTTCTTGCTCGCCATCATCATGTTCACTACCACCACGATGTAAGGCTGGTACGAGCTCATCAGGTGCGATAATAATGGGAAGCGTTACACGACACTCTTGCTGATCAGCCATAGTAAATGTGAATTCGACTTCATGCTTAATGGAAAATAGGTTGTTGGATGAATCGTATTGGGTAAAACGAGGAATCCGAATATCCATAACCGTATGATTTCGCTGTGAGAAGCTTGTACCATTCTCTCGAAGGAAGCGTAATGTACGTGTATCATGCGTTGATGGTAGAATGCTGATGTTTTCTTTGAAAATGGTTGTAATGGATTGAATAGAGGAAACAGGAATTGATGGGTTTTGCTGGTGCATCATATAGACGTCGATCAACAACCTGTCATTGCGTTTATGGATCGATTGGCGGGATACCATTTCATAGGTGAGATGATTGTATTCGCCTGCCACACGTACAGGTTGCTGCGGCACATTGGGTCGTCGTATTATACGAATTCCGCTACGCGCAACCAAGTTTTTAGCGACAAAAGGTCGGACCCCTTCAGCTTTTAGCGTATAACCAATGTCGCCATATGAACTGCCCTGGATGGTTTCGGGAAGATTGTCGGGAAGTGTGGTTTCAAATGGCCAGCTGTGGTTGCCAGCTGGTAGTATCGTACTTTTTTTATGGTGATCGTGTTCCAGAAAACTCCATCCACGTGTTAAGATCGTGCGTTTGACCACATCTACAATGATTGTTTTCAGGATTAGCTATCGGTAACGGGATGCTGCTAGTGGGCAAAAATTTCTTAATATGTTTCGGATGTTACTTACTCTCCCGCCACTGCAACTTTGTGCGTCCGACAAGTGTTAGCTTGATTGCTTTAAGACGCATTGGCTCTTTGAGCTCAAGTTCAACGACACCAGATAACGTGGTTGGCGTATCCACATCATCATCTAATACGATGGTAGGATTGGAAATTCGGATTTCAAGGGACATACAAGATGATGGTGCTTATTTGTTGAAATGCAAGGGTAAATGTTTAAGTGATAAGATAACGTTGGGATTGGTTATCAAGGAAAAACAATGGATGTTGAGAGCGAGCTGCTGTTCTTTTATATAGCTTGTGGATGGTGTGCTTGGATAATCGAGCTCGGCTCTCCGATTGGTGCTGTGCGCTCGTGCCACACAACGAAAACAAAAGGGATTCGTGCAAATACTTTTTCCACTGCTAAGCTGCTAAGTGCTTATATCATCGTCAAATCCGCCTTCCAGACCATCTGTTCTTTTGCCATCCCAAACATTGGAAGATGGTCTTTACATGCGACAAGCGCTTTTGTTTATTGGGTGGCTGCATGTTTGTTGGCATTCCAGAAGCAGCAGGAATTCTCTGTAGGATGATAACGTTGTCGTCGTGTATATGAATACCCACTTTGCCGCCGAAAAACCAAGCTGAGAGCCAACCTGCGAGCTGATTGAGAAAATGTGGCGATGATCAGGAAGATGCCGGAAAGACAAGGTTCCTTGTTTTTGCGTCCAAACGACAACATGTTACCACTGGCAACGTACAAAGGTCGATAACCATCCTCGAAAAGCAATGCAAGAAACTCTTTTTTACACGCCACTACTATACTCGGGGAACCATGTCCACTTTTAGAATTGAGTATCACAAGATTTTCCTATTGTACTCAGGGCAGTACAGTATATAAAACCTGGTGGTTGGTAAAGAATCCCGTATGCGCTTGCGTTTTTCTCTTTTAAGCCTCCGACTCATTCATGATGCTCATCAATGAACACATTAGCTTCATTGTCAATGGGTGAATAGCCCTTTTATTCTTTCACTGAGACAATAGTATACAAGGTCATGGTGTCCAAGAAAGGCAAAGTGGTGGAAAATGAAAAAATGAGCATTGTATGGTGCTTTCGTTTTACATGGCGCTCCGAACTCTATTTTGGCATGCTACACACAAACATGAAAGCCATGCAGCAATGATCCGACATGCGTGTGTAACAACCACCAGCGTGCATGAACCTTTGGGGGAGGACAAAGACGTTGTACACACTTGAATCGAGATGAGATGTAGCAAACGAAAAAGCACAATCAATTTTTATTTTACAATTACAAGAACAACAAAAAAAAGAGTGGAACGACAATTAAGCAAGGTTAGAGATGAAGCTCTTGATATCAAAGTCTTCTTCTCGTGGCTCCAATTGTAGGCTCCGGGTATAAAATACTTGATCATTCTTTTCCACCGTTTCAAGACAATGAAGCAAGTATCGTTGGATTTCTTCCACCTCGGCAAGTTTATACGGAATTTGGAATTGGTCGATCTCGTTGAGGATGCGTGTAGTCTTGATGTACTTGTCAAAGTTGATGAGCTGGTGACCGTTGGGTGACATACGATGGTTGGCATTGCCATCGTCAATAAAGGTCATGTCGGTCAAATAAACACCCAAAAATGGCAAACATGGGGCAACAGCATCTCGTAGCCGACGTCGATATTCTGCAAAGTTGCGCTGTGAATCGGTTGCACGGTAAATTGGCTCGTACATGGCTTTGCATTTGGTCGATACACATTCCCAAGTACGCTTCAGTCGTCCAATGCTGGTTGAATCAAGAGCTGAACGAATCGCCATCAACGTATTATAGTTACGTAGTTGAAGACATTGCTATAGAAACGTTGTGATTAATTCTATATCCTTCCTTGTCACTCTCCATGATGGTCAAACTTACATCTCCCACTTTGATCCAAAACTTAATCATGTGTGCACGCTTCTTGGCATCCGACTCATTCAAGATGGTGTCAGAGACCCATTTGGTGATTTGGGTGCTACGGTGGATCATCGCTTTGACGTGAACAGCTGTGCTGTTGCCAACCTTCTTTTTGAATTCTTGGCCGATCATCTCATTTGGCTGTATTTGGCAAAACAACGAGCTTTCCATAAGCGTCAATTGCCGTGCCAGCTCAATGGGTTCGAATTCGCTGACATGCACACTTGATAACATGCCCTGGTTCATGGCTTTTCGTAACGTGTTGCGTAAGGATCGAGCAATGGTGGGTGTTGGTGCTACCGAGGATGATGATGAATCAGTTGAATGGTGATCTTCAAAGAGTGTCAATGTCGAGAAAAGTGATGTTCCAGAGGCAAGTGATAAATGAGAACCGGATGGCTGCTTGTGCAAGGGCGGTCGTATAGAGTCGCTGGTGTATGATAGTTTACGCGTAGTACCCATTTGTCCTTTGGATGTAAACTACATACATTGTTAATCGAAGAGGAAAAAGGAGAGAGAGGCATAGTTGTTGAATCACTTACGCATTTCCTTACAAGCTCCATCATACGCTTTCCTGGTGCAGCCATTACTTGCATCAGCGAGCCAGTAACAAATTCGATTAATGGTTGCTCAATGCATGCATCGGTATCGTAAGAAAAGAATGTCTCCAGCCAAGTTTTGATGACATTGTACACACGTAATCGCACAGGTATTAAGACATGGTTTGTCCACAACTTCCATTCATCTTGGGACAAGGATGGTGAAGGAGGTTGGATATCAAAACGCTTGATAAGTAATTCCAAAAAGATGGTGGGCGTAGTAAATAGGCGAAAGTTGTAAAAGAAAGCTCGAAGGAATAATAACTCTAATAAGAAAGACAAAAGTAAGCATATGTTTGTAGCATAGCAAGTGATGATCCTCCTACCTGGTGACTTCTCATGCTGCGTTAGCTTTTCAACCAATGCCTCGACGGTGGCACCTGTCACCTGGCCATCGTTATTCAACATCATTTCATCCTCCGAGAATACGCGTTGTCTTAGAAACCATGGCTCGTGTTCATTCTATTGGTGAAGTTGTAGTGAGTAAATGTGGTCATTCCTAATAGCAATGGATCTTTTACCTTGGATGGTGAACTACGTTCAGTGCCATTGACTGATAACCAAGACGATGTTCTACGCATCTGTGGTCGAGAATCGGAGTTGGTGGTTGCCATGGTATCATGGTGATGGTTGTGATGCTTGGTTAACAAATGCAAAGAGCGCTTCTTTTGATGATGGTGATGATCCGATGTTGGTGTTGATTTGGATGTGGATAGCTTTAATTCTGGCGGTTTGATGGGATGATTCGTTGAAGGTGCTGGTGGAGGAGGTGGTGGAGGAAGTGGTCCATTGAATGTAGCTAATGGATGTTGTTGTTGCTCATTGACAGGGCTCATGACTTCTGGTGTGGTGAGCAAAGTGGCTGTAGATTCACCCGAATGACGCTGTTGCTGCCAAGTGCTTGTGCTATTGGTACGTGTGGATACTGTATTTGTGGATTGACGAGTAATGGCAAGAGACTCAACGTCGTTATCGTCGCATTGTTGCTGTAAAACGTTAAGGCTGGTAGCTTTACAACCAAGAATGCTGAGTGTTTGATTACGCCGCGTATCAATTGACTGCTCAAATCGCTCACGTAATTCACTGCTAATATCAGCTGCTGTATCTCCACTTTGTTGCAAGCAAATTTGTACACAAGCTGCACTTTCATGTGTCGTGCGCACCACGTTTTCGCAGCTATCACGTAATTGCTCAATATCAGCTTTGCTGGGTTGTTGTTGTTGGTGATGATGTTGTTGTTGTCGACCATTACTACTACGTGGACCAGCCAACGTACGCACGGATGTAACCAGATTGGTGATGGAGCTATATACGGATTCTTTGGCAAGGACCAATGCTACCAAATGTGGATCCTCGGGTATCACAGAGCAATGTTTGTAATCCATGTCACCCACATGGGAACACACGTGTTCTACCACTGCCAGAAACGTTCGTATTGCTTCCACAGCCTTGCGTGTCGTCTCCAACATTTCAGATGCACGTTGTCTTTGGGCCAAGAATTGTTCAATAGTGATCCACAAGGATGACATGAGCTCGCTGATAGTTGCTTGATGTTCCAATAATGTCTGCAAAATGTGTCGTGGATCTGAAAATGGTACTACTCGAGCAATGAAGGATGCACTGGATAGGCGTCGTTGATTAGGATCAGCCAATGAAGCTTGCATATGTCGAAATGAATGAGATGAATCGGCCGATATCAGCGAAGATCTTGGTGACACGGAGCCAAGCGATGTCCCATAATACTCAATGAAAAACTCGGGTACATTCTTAAGGTGATCTTCAAATATCTCCAACTCGGCAAGTAGCTGATTCACAAGGCTGGATACATCCGCTGATGCTATGGATGGTTGTTGCTGTTGTTGTTGCCATTCCTTTCCTTTCAATACAAGCTTGCTAAGTGTGCTCAGGATGATTTTACGTTGACGTGCAAGATCAGGATGTGTTTTGAGTACTGGTGAATCATTGCTGACGGCATTGGCAGCTGTTAGCACTGCACGAATGGATGATACAACTTGGAAAACGTGAGCCTGAATGTCTTCCCCTGAAGAAGGGATGCTATTGCTGTTGGATAAAGTTGTTGTTGTTGCTGCATTTACAAGCTCAGACATACGTCGAGATACATCATCCATCAACATTTCCCATTTGTTGTCATTGTTGTATTCTTCATAGGCTGTTGCTGCTGCTGCTGCCGTATCGTCGTTGTTGCCATCTCTGATTCTCGATCGATCTTCATCAAGTAATGCACGTGCTAGTTCCACCCGACTCTGATGATGGTCGTCATGTTGGTGATGATATGCACCATCGGCCTATAATATGGAATGCATTATAAATCAAAGCTGACATAGCGTAAGAAAGAATACCTCTTGGATTGCTTTACGCCAAGATTCCCATTGTTGTTGTGATTCTTCATCATCGAAATCAGCGCTATCGCGTGTAGCTTCACCGATTCTCCCGATATAGTTACTAGGAAACCAACCCCGGACACCATTTGAGGCACCATCCCACCAGCCTGAAGGATCTCTGTTGAATACTTCAATGATGGCACCCTTTCGAAAGAAGAGGCAGGAGACGGCTTCATCGGTAGGAGCATTTGTGGGGAGATAATCATGCAGCGCCTGAACAAAATGGGAGGTTAAAGTGGATGGCTCTGGTGGTGTCGTTGTATTGCGGGGAGAGCTAGGAAGTGATGCGGGTGGCGACAAGGACACTGATGATGCTGCTACTGCTTGTGATTTCGGACTTGATTGTGTGAATAGTGTGCTGATTGTCATGTATAAAGGATAGGAGAGAGTGGATGATTGTATGAATGATAATGAAGATCAGTCCAAAGAAACGCGAGTCAATGAATGATAGGTCTGCTGAGTATGGAAGTGGGTGAAATATCAAGACCGCATCAGGGTCGTCACGAAAAAGAATGTATATGTTGGTATGTGTAGTAGTAGTAGCGTGTGTGTGTGTGTGTGAAAGAGCCGTATGATCTACCAGTGTTGGTGGTGGTGGTGGTGGTGGTGAACAAGAAGGAGAGGAGAAAGAGTGAAAGAGAAGAATAAAAAAGAGGAAAAAAGGGAATCTCCACCCAATTTCTTCTCCCATTTACAAAAAAGGGGAAGCGGGAAGCATGGGTTGATGTTTATAATCGTGCTACTGCATACACGCAAATTCGTTATTTTAGGGGCTTCTTCAATGCTCCTTCCTTTGTTGCTCTCCCTTTGTCTTTTGCACAATCATCCATCATTGACATAACGCTTGCCGGCATCCATATCCAATGCGCTCACAACATGGGTGGTGATGAATATCGGTGATTGTGTGCGTGTGCGACCGTCCGTGTCATTGCTTACACTTTTGTAACAACATGATCATTGTACAAAATTGGTGTTACGCAACGTTAATAGAGAACTGACACCACATGGATCAAAATGTCTCGCCATTGTAATGGGTGGCTGATAGGAGTTTTCTGCTGGCAACACACAATATGAACTGTTCTTTTTTTCCAAATGTGCAACCATTCTTTATTCTATCGACGGGATCGCTTGCTACTATGCTCGCGAGATGACAAGGGTGATGATGATGATTGCCGTGGATGATCTCGTTTGCTGGTAGTTGCTTGGCCTTGTTGAGTAATGCGACTCGCCACTTTAGCTGCATTGGCCATAGCAGCTGACAAGGCAGCTGACTGTGCTGGATTGCTTGGTGTCGTAGCAGCAGCAGTAGTAGTAGCACCACCACCACCACCAGCAGTACTTGTTGAGCTGACAAAAGAAATGTTGGTTCGGTTCTGTTGAGCTGCAGCTTTCTCTTCCGCGTATTGACGTTGAGCTTCTAGGAGGCCATCAATGTATGCTTCGTTGGGGAAACCATGTGGATCAAACGTCTCCTTGTCAAAGTTGCTTCCAATCTCATCCAAATCAATAAACTCAACGAGCTTGGCATATATCCTCGGGTTACGAAACGCCTTGTTGCTTTGTAAATGCTCATTCAGTCGATGCCCTGACTTGTGTAATGTCTGGAAATGGGTAATTGTTTCCTATAATAACGTCCGTGCTTTTGTGTCAATATACACCATACATCTCATCTCCCTTTTTTCTATCCCCCTTCATCCATTGGACACTTACCAAGAGATCAGGGTCACATTCAGTAGTAGGCTCGGAAGGGATACCCCAATTGTCCACTCCGTCAATAGCTTTAGCCATCAATACAAGTCGTCGTTGTCGCGTCTTATCAGCTGATGCCAAATGTCGTCGAACCGCTTCAGGGACATGCTCTGGTTCATCCTTTGTCTCGGCTGTCTCATCACCACGTGCTGAGGATGTTGACTATACATACATAATATACACACCATTGAGTCAGCTTTACACGCATCTTGTATATATCTCTTTTAAAAGCAAACATCTTACTTTGGTTGCTATTGGCGACGAGCTTCTCTTCTCATGAGCTGATTCTGTTTGCTTGGTTGAAGAAGGCTGCGATTGTGGTTGCGTTTGCGGCTGCGATTGCGGCGGCTGTGCTATATATGCTTGTTAGTCTATGCCACCAATGACGGATCACTGTAAAGCGTGAAGCATTGAAACCTTTTTGTTCTGAAGTTGCAATGTTGGTTGACTCTATCACTTCGTTCTCCTCCTCTTCTTCATCATCGGTATAGTTGGCAAGAGCTGATAGTGCACTCATGTTGAAATTTGTGTGTGTGCGTGTATGGAAAGAAACGGTTGCTGTGGAAAGAGAAGTGTGGTTTCGAATCAGATTTCAATTCACGTCATGCATCACATCCAAACCCTCTCTCTCATATTCATCATAGCCATATCATACCCTTCTTTTGATTGATGTATCAATATAAAGGATGGGCTGGATCACACATGATGCCTTTTTTGTTGGATTGTCAAAGTATTATGTAAGAGCGATGCTGCAATGGCGTTTGGTTGTGGACCCAAAAGTACTAGTCAAAAAGCAGCCTGAAATCTGTATACTGTGTCAACCCATTACAAACGCTCCTTGAAACATACATACACAGTGGTTGAGATGGCACATTAAACTATCTCCATGACCCCTAATGGGCGCCACCCTTTCACATGAAAGTTGTCTTGGCTACCACAACATAGCAATGATGATACAGCACCATATTTCATGCTGTAACAAGCAGTTGACCCTCATCCCCATTTGTAAAATGAGCAACTATAAGACATTTTCCTATGTGTATAAAGAATGGTAATAGTGAAACAAGCCCAAATAACATCCGCTTGGCTCTTTTCTCACCACGCAGGTAAGGCGGCAACATTGCATCCTCTTCCACATAGCCACCATGCGGTATAATCTTGCACTTGATAGACCCACGAATGAGTGGTACTTGTTATGCAATCCTTAATGGGGGTATCATTTCACCATTTAAGCCGACAAGGTGCTAAAGCATATGGGAACATGTCAATTATTATGCAAAGGTTGCAATGCTGCATATGGATTATGATCTCTTATTCGATATCACGGCCGGTGATGCACTAATGCACAAAAGTGCCTCTGAGAACATCGTCAACGAGCCCACTTGACGATTGGCAATTGGTTGTTTAAATGAGTCACACCTTACAGGATAAAGAATTTGAGCGATTCGTGTGCCTGGATTAGGAGAGGCAAAGCATCCTGATAGAAAAGAAGCATGTGATTTGCAGCAAAGTGCATATCATCAAACTGTAAAAGGACAGGCCTGGTTGTTGTACAGCGTATCATACAAGCACACACGCACACGCATTATCTCTTCTTGTCGTGAGATGATTGTAATTGGGGGGAGGAGAGGAAAACTAAGAGCAAAGAGAAAACCAGCAGATGTTGCAAGATTGTGGGCTGATCCTTGTCCCCGACAACCATGATTCAACATGCGCTTGATGGTTGCTGAGCAACAATTGTGGCTCGTCGTCGAGATTTTCATGTTTCAAAATCATGCACCAAAATGAAGTCTCCTTGCGACGACGACAACAATTAGTCGTAACGGTGCAGCAACCTCTACCAACAATGACATGTGATTGCCGATATCATAAAGCACGACAATCCCTATCCTTGGCGCGATGTACGTAATGTGTATACACGCATAGCCTGTATCACTACCACTACTAGCTGCAGTATATTGGATAGACGTGTGCGCTCATACAGGAATGATCCCCGTGTGGGTGTGTGTAACATGGCTGTCTACTAAGCATGGGATGCTCAAGTTGTTGTGGTATTTTGTGGCTGCAGTGTTACTGGGCTCACGCATACGCTCGCTTCATTGTTTACGATTAATCTGGGCATTGCCTTGAATTTCTGAAACACAAAGCTAGCCTACAGGCCTTGTACGATACGCCTTGTTGCCTATTTTTCGCACTTGCGGGTGCTGCAGAAAAAAAGGGATACCACACATATTAGCTGATGTTGCTCCCTCGTTTAATGATCGTTTCAATCAAGGTTCGTGAAATGATGTGCTGCTTTATCGTAATAATACGATGCTCTTTTATGAAAAGTAATGATCGCTTAAGGAACCATGCTGAAATTCCCTCATCACAACGATTCATTCGGCTCGCTCAACAATGGTATAACGCTGTTGCACAATCTAACCTTGGCTGATGCAACATGACAGGGGATCAACAGCGCCAATTGCCCAACGATGATTGTGACATGCCAATAATGCACCATGCACCGATGCACATTTGCCATTTAATAACGATGATAGTGCATCACGTGCATAACGGGTCTATCGAATCGGTTCAGGTATCATGCATAAACCATGTTCGCATGCAATGTAATTGAAGCCACAAGACGACGAAACGGGACACATTTGAAGTATAATTGTATATTGTATACGCCATTTCAAAAAGAACTGTACATTGACTTGTAATAGCATGTGGGTGTCTGACATGAGGAGGAAGCAAAAAAAAGGGGAAATGTATATGACATGATAAGAGTGAAAAGCTATATAGGTGTGTGGCAAGAAAAAAATCAAGAATATACAAATCATGTGCTGACTACGAGCGGTTAGGAGGATAAGAATGATAGATGATGTGATGCTAATGATGGGTAATCATGGAAAAACGCTCGAGTATCTCTTTTGGTGCTTCTTTTGATTGATGCGGCGAGATCTTTTTGATGTAGACGGCGAAGAAATGAGTCTATTGTTTCGACCTTCATCATCATCATCGTCGCTCATATCGAAGGCTGGGCTGTTCAGGGCAGCCTGGCCCTCCTGGATCAGGTTCTCTAATTGTGTTTGCATTCGGGCCAACATTTCATCTTGAGCTATGTGATAGAGAGTCAATACGTCAGTATGTTGAGATCAAGGGATGTGTGGCTCTCACATCTTACATTGTTTGGGTTGATTGAATGACTTGGATCGATGCTTTGTGCGCACATGTTGCTGGTTTTTATTGGGTTGTTGATCGCCGACGATAGCTGGTGAAGAATGAAACTGGAAAAAAAGATCACATTTAGTATTGTGTTAAGCGTAATGGGATATCAAAAGTATTTACTTTGTTCATGCTGGCAAATGTGGGACGCGCATAAGTTGAGGCTCGATTGTGGTGTTGATGATGGGAATCTTGTTGGTCATTATCTTGGAGAGTATCAGCAGCCCATTCTTCAGTCATTCTTCTACGCACTTGTACGAGAGGTGATGAAGCTGAAGCATAAGAATTACGCTTGCTACGGCTCGAAGATGATGTACGAGATGGTGCTGGTGCGGATGAAATCAATGCTTGATGGTTTGCAGCCGGCTGTGGTAAGTCACCCGTCCAATAGTTGTATGCCGTAATAGCAATAGCTGAGGTAAAGATAACAGCATCGATAAGGCGAGAAAACAACAACATGAAAAAGGCTGGCTGGAAAAAGTTGTTGGCGGTGGTTGTGGTAGTTCCTGTCGTGCTGGTGGCGTTTGGGTGTGAAATATGGGCATCCTCGACCAAAGTGGATGCCGAATCTGGATACAAGTTTGTGCGTATCAGTGACACTTTACGGCAGTTGGTTGCTGTTGCCATTTGTCTTGTGGTATAAAGATCATCTTGTAAAAAGCACGTTGGATGTTGGACTGACATGGTAGAAATAAAAACAAAGAGAAGAAAAAGAACAATGGGCAACAGTAAAATGGGAACGAGTATTTATATGCAAAGGTATCTCCGCCTCCAGGATGGGAAATATTGCCTCTGAAGCAGTCAGCCTTCTGCCCTTCCCCTCTTACCCCGGAGAGGTTGGAGGGGTTTGGGGGGATTTGAATCACACGGATTCCCCTTTGTCCTTGCAGCATGGCTAAAAACCATCAAGCCCAAGCTTTTTTTATCACTGACATGTGAAGCAAATCATTGTCATTTATATAACTCTTTGGCTAAAAACCTCGACCTTTATCAACAAGGACTTTTAATTCCCTTGTTAAACGTCATACATACGCCTATGTTATATGGTGTTGTTTATGCTGTCGAGATTGCCACCAGGGGCAAGGGAGGAAAGAGGAGCTACTACTACTACTACCTTGATCTCTTTCAGTATCGAAAATCCGAAACAGTTAAGACGATAAACGGCCACACCCACACACACCGCCTCTTTCACTTTCCCCTTCTTTCCTTTCTCCTCACCCCCCAAACTCAATCCGGAGGAGGCTCAAAGATACGCGCTATACAAATCAAGCCAATATCAAAACATCCTTTCTCTTTCTCTCACCACACATGGCATTCACACCAAATTCCGTAACGCACAACGCGCGTGGATTTGCATGTACACATTGCCTTTTTCTTCCTTGACGTAATGCTAATAGCTACATGATCACGCATGCTCCTCGCTTTAATGATACATGTATATGCCATGCATAGGTTTGAATTTGAGCGATGTCGTACCCAGGAATAAAGATACATGTGCTTTTCATTTAGCATGTCCACGATGACGGATTTACCTGATGGATGATAATTCATGACTTTTTTGTACCACCTCCTCATCTAGAAAGGGAATAATCTCACGTATCGCGTGAACAATGCCTACTGGGTGCGCCAACAGCACTCGAAAAGTGAGACTAATCACCTGTCATGAATAATAGCTCAGCGGTTTTAGGTGCAGCCTACCTACAACAGGCATACGTTTGCTGCAACATCATTAACAATGAACCCGCTCTTTCATTGTCATCTTGCCAAATTACTCTGAATAGCTATAGAGGCAAATTGTAGTCATTATTTAAGCAGCAGCAACGACAACAACACCCCCTTATCATGATAGCCAAGAAAAACAAGGTTACGATTCTCAGGGCCCTTGGATGACCACGTACTCGATAAAGGAGATCTATGGCAAAAGATCAAGCGGTTGAACAAAGTTCAAGTGACACGACTCCCTATTGTTGTACGCCGTGCTCGTCAAAATTGATGTCAATTATTTATTGTATTGGATGTATGTTATTATGCTAATGGTCACCTTAGCTATTCTCATCAATGACCCAACTTTTTCTTTATGTTGGTGATGCAGCTATGCATTATTTTTTACTCGCTATCACGGCATATGATAATGGGAAGCGTCATAAGCGAATCTTTTCTAATACATATAGAGGAAACGCAAATGCTTGAAAAGTCGCACAACATGGAGCTGCATAGATGTGTCACCCTATCCACCTCACATCCATTCCCCAACATTCTGTTATCGCCGCCACATAAAAGTATATCCCAACTATATTCAGACGCTGTTGCAGGAAGTCTTCTGATTCACATGCAGTGTAGTCCTGATATCACATGTCACATGCCTTTGTGTGTGTGTGTGTAAATGTCAAGAAGATGCAGATCTCATGTTTATTACTATTATTGATGTTGGGATGAAATGGAAAACCTGCTGCCTATGGACTCGAAAAAGGACGAACTTTTCTGTTTGAAGGATTTACTTCTTCTTGAGGATGGATGTTGATTGCTAGTACTGGGAGGGCTAATATCATCTTGTCGTGTGGTATCCTCTTCATTTCGATCATTGACGATGCTGAGTGTGGAGGATCGTGTTACAGGTGAACTTGCCCATGATTTTGATCTGATATTGTTATCAGCAGTCGTAGAGTTGGCAGGACGAGGAGGAGGTGATACGGTCAACAAGTGCGCTGGAGACGATTTTTGCCTTGTCGATTTTCCTCTTTTGGGTACAGTGTAAGAACGTACGCGAGGTCTAGTGGTGGATGATGACCTTGGTGGTGGAGGAAGATGTTGAATGTGATCATATGATGATGATGATAATGGTGGTGTGAATGATGATGCTGAAGGAGATGTGTTTGTATTGGTTGCTGTGGTGGTACCACCGGCTGATTCAGAAGATGCCGCAATGCTTGATGTACGTCGTGAGTTGTTCACTGTATTAAACGTTGACGAGTACCTTAATCTCGAAGCTGTAGCTGTAGTTGTACTTGTGGTGGATGGAACATTGCCTCCTCCTTCTTGCTGTTTCAATTCTTGTTGCTTTTGTAACATCTTTTTGGCTGTGATCATCATCTTCAATGCACGAATCTGGAGGCTGGTTTGATGAGAAAGAGCTGCTGTTTCGAATATCAAAGGTGCCGTCGAGATACTCAACATTTGGTGAAGTGCATGTGTTGCAAGCTGCTGAAGACGTTTCATTCCATAAATGTCGGCTAATAATAATAGCTGTGACAAGACGTGTGGTTGATATTGCTGTGTGGTGAAGAGATTATCAGTGTAAAGGTACTGCACCAAACCCAACACAACCGGATATGGATATGGGAACATCATCGATCCTCTTGGACTTCCAATCTTTGGTCCTCGATTTCTTGAATGACCCTCAATAGAAACACGCTTCTGCTTGCTGTGCTTGTCCTTTTCTTGCTGGCGGTGTCTCTTCATCATGTCTGCAAAGTACGGCCATCGTTGTTGCATCACTGTTGAGTTGACTCTTATCGTTTGGTGCTCCTTTGTGATGATATAAAAGTCTGTGAATGCTGGCTCGTTCAACAATGAAAGACCCATTTCTTGTGCCAAGGAAGAGCATGTTGCTTGAGGCATTTTGTATACGCCGAATGCCTCGAGATCCACTGTTGCCACATGATCGAAATTCACAAGGCGATTGTTGTAATCATCCAGGAGCTTGCGTGATGGGTTGCCAAATACCAGCATACGATTCGCATTCTCGTAAGGCACACCCCTATTCCATGATCCCGAGGCAAACCTGGTACCCGTGTCAATGCGTGTCCATGTAAGTGTGCCGAGATCCAGTGACCATATCATAAACTCGTGGGTATGTGCTGAAAGATGTGTGCCTGATAGAATAAGATGGTGTCCAAGAGAATGCCCTGTTGGGAATCGTAAAGCTGGTGGCATAGGCGATCCATTCATATACACTGAGCAATCTTCAATTACGGTACGTGGTGACGCTGGCGATAATACAAGTAAAAGTTCATGCTTGGTATGTCGTCCAAAGTTCATGTTGGTGTAAAGATACAATGGATTAGGCTCCTCAGGATTTTGCATCAGCTGCCCATATCTCCCTCGCATTAAAGACGCACGCTGGTTGGCATTCACTTCATCCATTAACGGCTCTCGATCTGCATCCACTGCTTCATCTGATGGTATTTCACCAAGACTTTCTTTGAGCATAGCTGGCAATGGTGTATTGGGTTGTGTTGCCACGGCTACGGATTGATAAACGCCCACATGCTTTTCTTGTGTCTTGCCAAATCGCCATTCCAATTTCTTGAGGTCAAGTACATTCACATCACCGATATAATTGTTGTCAATATCTTGCCCACCAACAATCGACATGCAATCTTGGACCGTGACAACAGCAAGATGAGCGTAACGTGGCTGTGGTGCAAATTCGGATGGTGGTATGTCGGGTATTCTCCAGCACATTGTGTCAATGTCGAATACGCATACATCATCTAATAGGCGCTCCTTGGATGTACCAACATGACCGATTCCTCCAAAAATGACGATAGAATTGTTGTATGCACATGCTGAATGAAAGTAACGTGGCCGAGGTGGTTGATCAGAGAAAAAAGGAGCAACGTAACGTGTCCATACAAGCGTCTTTAGATCCAGAATATACATGTAGTTAGTCAACTTCCTTGTAGCCACCAATCGCCCTGCAAAGACATACGCCTTATCGCCAACCACCGTAGTTGATGCACCGATAAGCGCTGGTGGCACTTCACCTAACGTTTCTCGTACTTGGGTAATGATGCCCGAAATTGACTGAAGCTGCAATGTTGCCGACATGATCGTTCCAATGACGCCAGTGATGCGTTCAAGTAGCTCGATGCTGAATGCTTGTTACAATGCCGCTGCTTGTTTGGTTACAAGGTCGGGAAGAAAAGGGTGTCCAAGGATATTCATGCAATCGTGCTTTTTTTGTGTTCCACTTCCATCACTCATCGACTTGCAGTCACCCTTATTGTAAGCAATCCATTAATCCAATAAAGAGATGAATGTAATCAGTACACTACTTCACCATATAAAGCGTACCCATTTAAAATACGTCTTACTTTGTATGCTGCAATCCAAAACAACAAGAGAAGAATAGGCGTTATCTTATTACATGGTCGGAGAATTGAAACCAGCGATCTTCCCTTTAATCCCATAATCTCCCTCACTTTAATCCCAAATTGCTCCTGCCCACCTTCCCATACAATTATCTCGTCAATCACACAGTGCTCTATGGAATTACGACTATCATTTGATATGCGTATTGCGCGTTTTCTCGATTTGGAACTTGATTGCGATTTCATTGCATTCCATTTTTCGCTGAAACAGAAGCTCTTATGGCGCAATTGGCTAGCGCGTCTGACTGTTAATCAGGAGGTTGGTGGTTCGAGCCCACCTAGGAGCGTTAAAAGTTCTACATAATCTGAAAAGGATGGTGTAATGTTTTTGTTTTTGGATTTGTCGGATGATATTTTAGATTTGTAATGTTGCACATGCTGCGGTGCTGAGCAGCCTTTATAAAAGGCTGCTGCAACGCCGAGAATAAATCTTTAGCTTTTGATCCGGTGAATCATAGTTCTTGTCTATATTGAGCGGGTAGTTGTAAAGAGGTGTTTACATCCCTGGCTACGGTGCCATACCGCCAGACGACGCAAAAGGTTATACGACAGATTGCGTGTGATCACGTGATCGTGTCGCAGCAACATACCTGATCTTCTTGATCGGTATTATCTTTTACACATCTTTATCGTTATTTCTTTTATGCTGCGCCCATCATCTTTACTTCGCCACATCCATATTACTTAGCCCCATATTCATATACTTAGCCCCATCATGCAATTATAAATAGTGGACCTGATCATAGAATAAATCATCATCTTACGTTCTCTTTATTCTCTTTGTATTTGCCTGTGTGGCTATCTTATCCTTCGTGGTTATTATCCTTCGTGGTCTATTATCTATCCTTCGTGGTCTATCTATCCTTCGTGGTCTTATTCTATTCTTCGTGGACGTCGTCTATATCTCCTGTGTGGATCCAAAAAGAAAGACGACAATCGTATGTGGTGAAATCTTCGATCCAAAGAAAACCTATAGAACGTCTTAGAATAGGCATGGTGGATAAAGGTTTATTGTTGGTGAGCTAGCTTTTTTATATTGGAGGTGGACAGATTAATGCTGGTGAAGTAGCTTTTATATTGAGAGAAGTGGGTGAGGAAAAAATGGTAGCGATGTTGGTTGTTATGCATGCACTGCCCTTCTTTGTTCTTCTTAGTTATTCACTCACCCACTATTTGTATGCTCATTCTTTCTTGAGTATAATGCATGAAGACCAGATACAATGAACCATGCGCCTGGAACAATCAAGCCCATGTTGGGCATCATCACTCTCAAATGTTTTTTGCAATACAAGTGTTTGAGGGTCCCCACTGCCTCTATTCTACTATCATTATGTATGTGAGCTGGGACGCTTTAGTGAATGTAATAATGTTTGCCAAAAGAGCAAAAGCATCTCGTTACGAGGATGTAAATGAACCAACCTTGCTTTCCAACCTTCGATTTCTATTTCCCCCTTTCAACCCGAAAGCAACCAAGCGATCCACATCCTACACGTATGAGCTGGAATCCATACGCTAATTATGTTGAATCCAATATCCATTTTCAATGTAGGCATTTATCAAGTAAATAGGGCTGGGAACAGGATATACAAATTGAGTAAATATGGGTGAAACACATAGTCTATGGGTATCATTGTGTCTTTGGTTGCTGCCATCAGAGAGATCACCAAAGGTTCCAAATCAGCTGCTGCTTGATTTCACTCTGTATTCCAAGATCATCCATGATTGTAAACCGCCTTTCGTCAAAGAGACTTCTTCTCAACAATGCCATCCAATCCAACATCATCCACAGCCGTGCCCACGTAACATGGTCCATCCTTCTTGATGATGACGCGCTAAGTAATAAAAACGGCGATCAAGGATTTCCATCCAATGCGCTTGATTGCATCCACCCATAGTCATTCCAAGGCCAACATGTTGATCAAAGGGCAATGTGATCGCTGCTGATATGCATCCTTTTCCACCCAGCCATTGGTTAATCTCTTGCTTCGTCATTCTTTGTGGCAGCCCAATCACGTTGTGGTATACGCCATGCATTTCGAGAGTTGCTTGTATTGATGCATACTTGATAATGGATATCAATGGCCATCAGATATGGTATACTCCACGTCAACTATCACGCTCTATGGTTCACGAGATTAATTATCATTCCTTGATCAACAGACCCATTCATACTTTTCTATGCCTTGATATGGGTAACTCATGATACAAATCTCCTGTGGTAGTGTGCTGTTGGAAGATGACGCGTGTTTTGGGTTGATGAAGAGAGGATGGTAATGATTATATGACATGGCTGTTGTGTGATGGATAAAGCTGATCAACATGCTGCTGCCATATTACGCAAGGAAGACATTCCCTTGGAACTGGCTGCTCGTTGTCACCAATCTCTTGAAAAAGGAGCGAAGCGATTTGCATGTTCGCTGCACAGCGCGTAAACAATGAGTAGTGCAAGCTGCTATGTATGTGCTGTCATCGTTTGCGAATAAATCGTAGCGAAGAAGTTGCTGTGGATGTCATTGTCCAGTGGAGTGAAATGCAATTGATAGGGTCAAGATAGGGCTGACCACACTTTCGCATGTAAATCATAGCTGCCAACGATGCTTTACACAAAAGAGCAAGGCACCATCCCGTTCTACCCATAGCAAATAAACATCCGCCATATCAGTAGTTGCTGCCATCAAGCGACCTTTTTGGGTTGGCGTCATCAGAGAGACACATCATGCACTGCAACAAATAAAACCGGTCTTGATGAAATAGCATACGCGAGGATATTGACTTGCAAGAGTACGTCCAAGGTATCCATACAAGTACTTGAGGAATGAGATCCGCCATGGCACCGATAAAAACATTGCTCTGAAGATCCACCGATAAAGAGACGACTTGCAGGTAGCTGATTTCCAAAACCATGGAAACGGTATCCTTGACAACCACAACTATTAAGATAGAGATCGCTTGCTTGCTTCTGAGACACCCACCCAAATTCAAATGTTGATCTTCGTCTTCCAATTCAATAGGATTCGCCATTGACAGCAGTAAGGAGAGACTTTGATGGCACCAAAGAGCATGCGAAATTATAGCTTGATGGAATGATGGGCCTATAAAACTGCATATCACTAATTTATCTTTGAGGTAATGATAACAATACTTAGCCAGTGTCATATGAGAATCCACGATGTCTGATGCCACCTAGTAATCAGAACACGTTTCCTTGCTGTAGAGATGTCGACACAGTGACCAATTCTGATAGCTGTTTCTCCAAGCGATACTTGATGATGAATACCATGAGAGATGGATACACCTTGACAGCACCAAAAGGACACGTAACATTGTTGTTTGTTGCTGATGTGATACATCCATAAGATACGTGCGGTGAAGAGGGCTCTTGAAATCAATTTGCCAATGACGAGAACCACCAAGGGATCAAGTAAATGTTGTTGACACTAAAGATGAGGGCTCTGTTGCTCATTGCTGCTTGTTGCTTATAGCTGATATGATCCACCGATAACAGGCATGCTGCAGGATACCCATTGAAAGGGTTGTCAACAACTAGGACCACAATAAGACGAAACAAAACTTGGCGACACCAAAAGGTATAGAACTTGTTGCCTTGCCGCTGCAGATGCTTATAAAAGGAAGTGTCCAATAGGTGGTACAGTAACGAAAACCATCGAACGATGTAATAAGGCAAGCTGACACTGAAGGATGCTGTCGACGTTGCTCTTTGACCCTGGCATGATTCACCTATAAAAGATGCACGGTAAACAGTTTCCCGAATCCATAGAACGATACTTAGCAATGATAGCTGCATCCATGAATATTCCAAGGGACCAAAATACAAGTAGTTTGCTGAATAGCACACATACTATAATAAAAGAGGAGGTTGGTTGGGATTGGAGCCAAAAAACGGATCATCCTCTATTTACCAATGATAGCCATATGCACGAAAATATCCAAATCAAGCCGATTCTTTGCAATCGTCCGCTTGTTGATAAGGCCCGCTACGGTGGCACTCGGCTTGAAAGCGATGGAACGATACTTTATGGGCATATGCAGTGAGAAGATTGAGTAATATTGATACCACCAAAGAGAGCATACTTACGTGATGCCGAAGAGCCCTTACAAAGAGAGACAACGAGACAATCCTTGCTGCCCAAGACCACATGCAAATCGGGAAAGCATTGTGCATCGAAAAGCCCAAACCAGATCCTAGCTGCGGAGTGACGTACATATGGCTAAAGAGCGATGTGAATGGCAATCGTTTTTCATTGGAAATCGAATGCAGCTTGACGATGAATGCCTTGAGGAGATGCATAAATGACCTTGGTAACACCAAAGATGTCAACGCGGACTCTCATTGCTTGTTGATGACATTATCCATCCATAAGACGCGTATAGTTGTAGAGATCCATCAAAGGAATTGCCGATAATCAGAACCACGAGATGATCGAAAGCTTGCTGACGCCAAAGGTATAAACCTGCTCCTTGTTGCTGACATGATCGATCGATAAGGGACCTTTGTTTCAGGAGGCTCACCAAATTGCAGGTAATGGGAAGCACCAGATGGATGATGGGATGAGGGTTTGATATGGCACCAAAGATATGCATGCTGTTGTTTGTTGCTGATACAATCCACTCACAAGAGACTTGCATTGGCGGACACTCTTCAGAGAAATCGCCCGTTGCTTGGTAACCAACCACCCGAGACGCAATAAAGGTTGACACCACCAAAAGACATAAACGCTTCCCCATGGCTGACATGATTCACCTATAAAAGATGCACCATAAACAATTGTCCAAACTCATCCAACAATACTTAGCAATCATAGCTGTGATCTTGTAAACTCCAAAGCACCAAAAGCCAAGTAGCTCTCTGCAATGGTCCCTCTAAATAATGGTAGGCGTTTCAGCAAAGGTCTCCAAAAAGCATGAGAGTCCTACATACCTGAATCATGCAATCATCACCCGCAGACTTGGGAACCAAATAGGCCATCAGGATGTATAGTAATAATAAAAGCGCACAGCCAAAGAAACATCATAGTACCATACTCTCCTGTGGATCGACGCGATGAAGTGCATCAATAGAGATACCCATCTTCTCTCTAAAGGCAAGGAGATCAATAGCCGTAAAACGATGGAGCCGTGCGAACAGAGGATGCATTTTTAAATCCCTGAGGCCGCAACATGAGTCGCACTGTCCCCGGGCACAACATGTAGAGCTCCACAGGAAAGTACAGTACAATGACGTCCTTGACGTGCAGCCTTGATAATAATAGTATTGCCGGAAGAGGCTCTGCCACTGTATGGTGTATGGTAAGTCCACTTGAATCCAATCAATCCCACAATGAACACTCTTACCTTGTGGTATTTCTCAATAGCATCATTGCCTCAAATAAAACCGTATCTCCAAGTCATCCAGTAGGTGCTGCTGCTGTTTCATTGTAAGTCTCGTTAATTAACATGTTTCGCTTTGTAGGTCCAATACCACACATACCATTGAGCCAACCATACAGCATTCTTGCTTTGAGATCCGTATCCTGTTGCTGCCAGAGGTACCATCATCCAACATGTTCAACCTACCATAAACGCAATGTGAGATAACAAGTAAAACCAACCCACACGCTTTTGTTGTCACCATACGCAAAAGAAGCAATGTAAAGACGTCTTGAGAACTCTCATTGTGGACGACTCGGTAAGGAAGGCACACGACGCCCTGAACCATGGTGATCACAAGGAATTGCAACCAAATACGCCATCCGAAGGCAATACAATAATCAACCTGCAGCGCCAAGGTATGCCACCATATGTACCATACTCTCATTGGATCCTGAAATTGGCATCATAAGAGATATCCACCTTCTCTCTGTAGGCAAGGAAATCAATAGCCGTACTTGGATGGAGGCCGTGTGCACAGCGGATGCCTTTTCAAATTGGCCTTGCCATCGCATCTTGAGTCACACTGTTTCCGGGCCAAAATTCCCCAGGAGAGCACAGTACTATACAATGACATCCTTGACGTGCAGCCTTGATAATAATAGTATCGCCGAAAGAGGCTCTGCCACTGTATGGCGTTTGATAAGTTCACTTGGATCCAACCAATCCCACAATGAACCTCTTACCTTGTGGTGCTGCTCAATAGCATCATTGTCTCAAATAAAACCGTATCTCCATGCCATCCATGTTGTCTTGCTGCTGTTTCACTGTAAGTCTCGTTAATTAACAGGTTTCGCTTTGTAGATCCAATACCATGCATACCATTGAGCCATCGTACAGCGCTCTTGCTTTAATATCAATGTCTTGTTGCTGTCAGAGGTACCATCATTCAACATGTTCAACCTACCATAAACGCAATGTGAGATAACAAGTAAAACCAACCCACACGCTTTTGTTGTCAGCATACCCAAAAGAGGCAATGCAAAGACGTCTTGAGAACCCTCATTGTGGACAACTCGGTAAGGAATGCACACGACGCCTCATTGGACCTTGTACAAACGAGAGAACATCAACCTAGACGCGTACTTTAGTACCACAATGTTCGACATGAACAATAAAAGGAATTGCAGCGATTGAACTTACATGTTGTATTGGAATGGAAGCTTGTGTCATGGGTAGATCGCACACGTGCTTGTTGTAACTGAATGTGTCACCATTGACCACCTGTTCACCCATTGACAGTGTGCATTGAAGGCAATGACATCAGTTAGTGGTGTGGAGAGTGTAAATGGAGTTGGACTTACCTTGCATCGTTGTGAAGCGGGAGTGGGAGAAGGTCGTTCCTTTCATTGTTCCTGATTTGTGCACTCCACGCCGCCCCGCTGGTAACAGTGTGTGCCTTAACAATATCCTTTACACTTGAACCGATAACGACAATTGGTCCTCGAACAAGTTCCTCATGACGTACTGTGAGGGGCGATTGGCGTCTATTATGTCTGTTCGCATCGATTAGTTTATGCAGCTAGACTCCTAAATTTGTACAACCAACGGTGCGACCTCCCCCTACCAAAGGTAAAAGAACATGGTACCTTCTTCATCAATTACCGATTGTGTACAGTGAACGAGCATTGTGATGGCTTCTTGCTGACATGGCTATTTTTATTACAATCAACAATATCATCACTATCATTGTATTCTTCCTTGTTATTCGTTCACCCTCTATCATTCTTCCTCATTATTCACTCACCCACCAACGTTAATCCATCCATCCGCCAACATTAACTCACCATCGCCACCACTTTGTCCTCGCCCATCAAAATTACAACGTCCGCCAATCAAAATTGCACCACCCACCACCATCATTAAACTGCCCACCTCAAATCATCCCATATACGGTGGATCCGGCGACGATGAAAGAAGCAGGGGCGATCTAGACACTTCTATGCAATATAGCTAGCTCATCAACGTTAGTCTGCACACCAGCAATTAAAAAAGTAGTTCACCAATACTACCACGCGAATGTCCAACAATAAACACCTTGGCCACCAGAAATTATCTTTTCATGTTCAACTTTCACTGCAATCTACTGTACATATGCATGGTTGTATAGGCTGTTGCCATGGCAAGTACTATTTAATGTAAGCTAACAACTGGTAATCTTGCTGCATTGATCATTTTATTACGAGGAGATAAACATTTTTGGTTGCGAATCAATAATATCTACTTCCTGTTCATGTACATAAACCAACCTTGAAACGCATGCTTGCTGTCCGACCTAAAGAAATATGAGTCTTTTGTGGATCTTCTTGTTATGGTTCCCAAGGAGAAATAGTGATCATTGTTATTATATAAAGGGTATCTTAGCTAATAGGTATTATACTACATTAGTAGGGTATAAAAGGTATTTAACAATGAGGTGAATGTAATAGCTGGCAAGTGCACCAATCAGTTGATATCCATGTGTTCAACAACAGCCTTTTCAGACTTTCCATCATCATGGGCTGTAATAAAGGAGTTGCGATCTCTGGTTGGCGTCTCAAAATCAACCGTTGTTGAAGATTCATCAGGGTCAAAGGCTTTTGATATGCCACTAAGGATGCTGCTTTCTTCTCTACTTGATGGCTGATGTTGACGCTGTGCTTCCAAATCATTCATGTTCCTCGCCGTATTCAAATCCTTTGAGGTTTTTCGCAAGCTTGCAAATGCAGGGTTTTGCATAATATCGGTTGGGCTGTAACATGTTCATGTAAGTATTTACTTGACTCACTACGTTCTTATCCGCAACAACCATGCAATACATACCTCATGAGGATCGCCAATAAGAATGCAAACGTAGTGATGCTGCCTATATACATCCACGGCACCGAGATAATCACATTGCCTGTCGTATGGCTCATAATCCTTGAGCGAAGCACGCCTTGTAGACACAGTGCGATAGCGAATAAGGCAAGGGCGACAGATAGGATAATCACTTGAGCACGGATCTTGGCAACACCGGCACGAATTTCAGTCATGTGTTCAGCGGCAATAACGTTCATGAGTTTACGATGATTTTCCTTGAGAATCCGGATTAGCCGTGCACCAGCATAAACGATAAGCGCACTCAATACAGTGCATTCAATGAACCAAGCAAAGTAAAGGGTTCGGATGAGGATGGTAGCTGTTCGGACATGTGTGTCAGCGAATACGCCTGCAAGGACCGAAATAACGTTGTTGAAAATGAAAGGGATCAAGAACAAAGTACATCCAATAACGTCAACAAAGAGTGCGGAAGGCATCCACCCCGAAGCATTAACGCTCTACAATAGAGTAGAACCCAATATCAGTTGCCACCATCATACCTTGTGTCCCACTTGTTTTATCTCACCTGCTTTATAACTTGAGACACCCCCACCAGGTATAGAACAATCGCACCATAACCAAATTGCCATGCAATATCAAAAACAACTACAAGTCGATAAGCTTTTACGATTAAAACGTTGCCATCATTTCCCCCATCCAATGCTTACATAATCGTATTGCATAGTTGCTTGGGAGGACATTGCTGACAATCACCGCGCTGCTCGTCATGCGCACTTTAAAAGAAACGTTAGTTACAAAAGATGGTACCATGAGATCAGCTGATCATCAACCTACATCCATTGAAAAAGATGCCTAACAGGAGCATTGTGTTGATTGGTTTCGGACGCAAAAAGCCAGCTCCTGTACCAGGTCTACGGCCCCAGAGCGCTTCCTTCTTGTACAGCATGCGATAAGCCAAGGAGAAGATACCTAATGTATATACCATGTTAAACAAGCAAAATAAAATGACCCTACTATCCACTATCTTACACAAGAGAGTTGCAAAGCCGGAGACCACAATGTTGACAATGTGAATATACCGCATGGCATACGCTTCTTCGCATTCCCTTATAGTCAGCCGCCAATCGCAGTGACACACCTGTTCGGTGCATCGTCGCTCCAATGTTGTGAAGTCTGGACACATCAAATATAAAGCAAAGTATAGTCGAAATGTCGATCGATCGCGTGTAATATGAGAGTTGAGCAAGGGAAAAAAATGCTACCAAGGAGCTGGATCATTTACGCATTTATAGAAATCATGCGGGTGTGCGGGTTGTCTCGCGTAAAGTGATCCCCGTCAGGGTTGCCCACGTTGTTGCATGGAAGGGTCCATCTATATGACACACCCCCAGTAATATTGACGACGACTCAGGGTTGACATATCACTCATTGCTGCGCTGCTTCGATCGAATCCACAACCACAGGGTAGGTATCCAATGACATTGTTTGCGATAATACCGCATCCATCCTCCATTTTTTCTATCAAACCACCCTGCAGATGTATACCATAATTGCAAAAGGCTACCAATAAATATATCTTTTTGAGGGTTCAAAGTTGTTATAGATATCTATCGTTTACAATGTTGGTCCCACACTGATTGTAGTTGATTGCACCAGTACTCTTTTTCGCTGATGGATGATGCTTCCAAACATAAATTAGTAACATTCTTATGAGCGACAGCGCACATAAACTGAAGAGGCTCAATTTCATCCTGTCCATTCATGGCATGTTCATGATAGGATCGTGATGGCGTAATGTGGCTGGATGATGAGAATACATTCGATCGGAAGCGGACGCTTTTGTTCAAAAGTGATGGTTTGCTGGATGAAACCTTGGCTTTGACGCATCGATCAAGGTAGGTTAGTTGACATGGAGGTAAAACCAACTTAAATAAAGTTGCTGGATGGGGCCCAATGGTGGAATTAGGCTTGGATATCTCAATATCACTCAATCGCTTTGAGCGTATCTATTGCGGATTGATTACGTAAGTCTAAGGGATCATGTACGCAAAGGTAAAAGCATAATACCTTGGTGAATAAAATCAGGTCATTGAATAAGAAAACGTAAACTTGGTTGGTTTGGCTTTTCAGATACGTGGCAAGCTGATCAAAGCTGTACACAAGTTTGCCTTGGATTGTGCTACGAGTACCAGGCACCAGTGTGAGCCACCCTTGATGTACCAGATATCGATTGGTATCTGCCAATCCAAATGCATACTCCTGTGGTGTCATTTGTGAGTTAAACATGTGGTTTCAAAAGAGCTGCTAATCTCACCTCGAGTCCTTTTGTGCGATGTTGAATCTCAATGAGGTGTTCCATATGGCTCTTGTGTTCCTCAAATCGGCGAATCTCACCATCTAAATTATTCATGCATTCCATATGACGGTAGTATTCATCACTCATTGGAGGAAGGGTATCTATCAAGCTCTAACATGCATTGGTGAGCCTGTTCCCCTCTTCCCCGTCAGCCTATGTATGGATACGACGATACCTTCAAAAACAAAGGATACTTCATAAGCCGTTGTACTGGTTTCAATAGGAATGCTTGTAACGTAAGGGATCGATATTTAGGCTCGGACATGCGTTCCTTTTTGTGAATGAGTCGTCAAGACATTGGATTGCTTTCTCGGTAATATCACTCACAAGGATGAAATCACGTAATTCTCGCTTGGTAGCATCATGTGGATCTTCCAACGTTGCAGCGATGAGATTATTTGCCGGCTCAAAATTGAGAAAGTAATCCTTGTAAATGTTGAAAAAGTGAGGTATCTATGAATCTAAGCCCGTTAGCGCCATAGCCAATTTGATCATCGATATCCACTACTTGCATATCTTTCGAACAAATCAATTGCATCAATGATAATACGGCCATTCTTTGCATCGGTCTCTTGTAGCTCCCCTAGGAGGGAACCATGTAACTTTGCAATGTCCGATATTCCCTCCAGAACTACCCGTAGACAAGTGGGCAAGTGCTCCCAATTTAGAATAGCAATGGCAAAATCCTGGTATCCAGCGTGTTAAACAAGATGCCATATGACCCAAGCTTTATATCCTTTACCTCCATCAGATTTCGAAGATCGGTAAAATAACCCTCTTCCGTAACCATGAGCTCAAACATGAGTTCTTGGTATTGTACCTCGTTAGGCGAGATGGTCGGCAATATTCTTGCAGCATCTTCAGTATTCAACGATCCACGCCATGTGGTGATTGTGGAGCCTGAATAGGTGCTGGCTGTATCGGATGAGTCATGCAAAAGCTGTTGGATGATGATCTCAGGTCGTGCTTGTTTACAAGGTCCCTTGAGATACTTGCTAGCAACAGCCGAGAGCTTTCGTTCCAAGAAATCTGCTGTGTGCTTTCCCACCCTTGAGCTTATGATTCGTGTGCGTAAGCTGCCATGAAGGTTATCATTATCTCCTGAATAGCCTGAGGCATTCAAAGAGTGGTTCTTTACGCGAAGGAACCTCGACATTGGAGAAAGAAAATTTGCCGATGATTGAAATGTGAGCAAAGAGAAAAAAAAATAGAGCGAGCCGTCAAGACTCTGACGAAAGCCGCCATTACCCTTTTGCAATAAGGCGCGGTCAAGATTACAAGGTGTGCTTGTGGCATCGTACATGTAAGCTGATACGCCGATCCTGTTATTAGCCACTATGTTATACGTGGGTGCATGAGTCTATTAGTAAAGAAGCATACGTATATATAGCATTGCATTGTAGGCAGAATGTAGGATGATGTAAAGGCATTTCCGATCTCGGATCAGCTATACATGTGCTACCAATATCGCGGTAAGGCGATCATGTATGGCTTGATTTGGATGGCTGAGTTTGTTCAGCTGCATAAAACATTCCATGGATACCACATGCAGGTCAACGCCTTCATTAAGCTTGGTCATTAATAACATACAAGGTAACACAGCATTAACAAGTTTCTCCCATTGTATCGGAGGATGATAATAGCATTAGTGATGGCAAGCAGGAAGAATGACTCAAATCAATTACGATCTTCAGCCACGTAAAGCGAGAGCATATGTATTTAGAATGTCTAATCTTTATCTCCAAAAATTGCAAGTTGTTGTCTATCTACAAGTAATCTACGACCTTGTAAGGATTACCAGTCTTCTCCAAAAGTGCCTTCCAATAGTTTGTAATGTTGTATTGAAAGTTGAAGGTTCCTCCATAAGCACGTTCTAATGTCTTGGCTGGAAAGTAATCTCGTAAGCTGACCCAGTCGCTGTTGTTGGATTTTCCTTTATCCTCATCATGTGCAAACTTGATTTTGGCCTTGGTGACAGGGTCCATGAAAGGTGAGATAAGCTTGAAAGTTGTGAAAAAGAACCACGGGGCTAAGATGTATGGAGAATAGAACGTGAGTTTGACAAATCGTGAGGATTCCTTATCCGATCTTACATTTGAGAACATAAGCAACGCCCAATCTTTCGGGATAATGGTTGCCTAGGATATCCAAGAACTTTTTGCATGTCGACAAGCTGGGATTTTGGGCGTACAATGCATCCTTGAAATCAACGACGATAGCCAAGTTTTCGACGCCGGGAGGCATAAGGCGGATACCACGTTCGAGACAAAAGACAATATACTTGACTTGCTTATCCTCATCTTTGGAGTTCTGAAATCGAGGTCGCATGATCCAGGCGGGTCGTCCACAGTTGTCAAAGCCATTAAAGTACATCTTGCCTGTTTCAGCCTAGTTTTCTTTGGTTAATCCATGTGTGTGATATGCAGGTATAATTAACCTACCTCAGACTTGATGTATTCTGGATCAATTTGATCAGGACGATACTCACGGCGCCATTTGATTGTGTTCTCCAACATGATCTTGGCTGCTTCAGGATCCCATTTGCGTGCACGCAAATATCGAATGATGGTGGCATCAGTCAAGAATCCCTTTTCACTTGCATAATATTCATGGTCTTCAGGAAGCATGATGCTTCGGACATACTCTCGTATCTTGATGAGAAAGACTTGCTGAGACTCGTCAAGAAATGGAGAGGGCTGGGGCTTGTAGTCACTTGGTGGTGTCAAGATAGGGTCGTGAGTGACAGGCTCCTGATCTGCATCGCTGGATGCCTTCGATTGCGCACTACTGTTATCCTTCGAGCTTGATTTGAAACCGAACATGTTCAATGGTGAATTGGAGTGGAGGATTTGAGTGGAGGAGGAGGAGGAGGAGGAGAAGGAAAAGAGACAAGCGAGTATGCAAAGTGAAAAGGAGTTGCTGTGATGGAAGGGTTTGTGAGTAGGACAAAATGCAGCGGCTAAGCCCAATGCAGGCATGGAGCGTGCCCCTGAATCATTCATACCCTTTTATTTTGAGCTACCAAGCTTGATCACCTTATGCTTGACATCTTTACATATACAGCCGTGTAATGTGGTATATGGATTGAATGATAGTAGACATTTCCCTGGACATCCAAATGTGCTTGCATTGTTTCCCTCCTTATCAGGAAATCGTGCTTGTGTTTACCATCAAATGGCTACAGCTCATTCGAGCTTACATCAAAATGACACGTGTGGCTGTCATTGTAAGGATCTTTGCCATTCGGCGTGATACAGCTTTCCTTTGCATCTTTTTGTGCTTTATTAATAGACCGGCAATGCTCATAATACCATCAGGGTATTTTTAACAACGAAGATCAGATTTAAAAGAGCGTGTTGCTTATTCAAAGAAGTAGGGTGGATATACCTTGATAATCAATGTATCTCTCATAGCATAAGTGCATGTGGTCTGTAAGATCGGCTATAATGAAAAGATGATTCTTGGAATGTACGCTATGAACTACCAATGTTGTTATCCTCAACAGCGTCGAGATCACCGATTTTTGTGGTTGGATCATGCCTTTCTTCGGTATCCATGGGCTACATCTCACCAAAGATACATAGTAGTACCTCACGTACGCTTCTTAGTAACGCTATAGGCGTGATACAAAAGTCACTATTTATTATTATGATGCTTGATTGAACATCTCAATATCTAATCCATCCTTGCATCAATGACCCGTCGATAGGTGTTTTGGAGCTTCAAGTGGGTATCCGTTGCATAGGTTGATTCATTCATAGCTAATGATCTCTCTATTCAGTTGTTGCTATGGGAGTAAAGAGGAGAAGAAGGATATGAATGATGTGGTATTTCATTGTGAACATGAATGAGCACGACGCCCAAAAGGTGGCAGGGCAAAAAGTCAGCAAGGTCATTTCCACCACCCCGGCTTGAGCAGTCACTGGTGGACAAACAGGCGCTTGTACAAGCGTGGTTGCTTTTTTCTTCTTCACAATCCACCCCTCTCATCAGTCCTTGCGACAAAAACAACCAACATGTTGAGAAACGCTATTCGTGTGGCACGCCCCAACTTTGCTTCTTTCGCCAAGAACTCGCCTGCTGTGAGTACACCCCACTATATCCATTTCCTTTGATTACGCTCTCGAAACAACCGATTCCCCACCCCCTTACAACGCGTCGACACTTGATTTGCAAACAGTAATGCTCATGCCACCCCCCGTAACGTTTATTTCAGGTTGCTTTGAGAAGCTATGCCACTGCTAAGGCTTCCACCTCTGAAGTCTCTTCCGTTCTTGAACAACGCATCCTTGGTGCCGAATCTGAAGCCAACCTTCAAGAGACTGGTCGTGTCTTGTCCATTGGTGATGGTATCGCCCGTGTCTATGGTTTGAAGAACTGCCAGGCCGAAGAAATGGTTGAATTCTCCAGTGGCCTTAAGGTATGTAAATAAGAGGATAGAATGAGTGAATGGATGGTACTGATAATACGTTATTTAGGGTATGGCCCTTAACTTGGAACCTGACAACGTTGGTATTGTCGTTTTCGGTAACGATCGTTTGATCAAGGAAGGTGACACTGTCAAGCGTACTGGTGCCATTGTTGACGTCCCTGTTGGTCCTGGTGTCCTTGGTCGTGTTGTTGATGCCCTTGGTAACCCCATTGATGGTAAGGGTCCCCTTGAGACTGTTGGCCGCTCCCGTGTCCAAGTCAAGGCTCCTGGTATCTTGCCCCGTCACTCTGTCAACGAGCCTATGCAAACTGGTATCAAGTCTGTTGACTCCATGGTGCCTATTGGTCGTGGTCAACGTGAATTGATCATTGGTGATCGTCAAACCGGCAAGACCGCTGTTGCCCTTGAAGCCATTCTTAACCAAAAGAACTGGAACAATGGCACCGATGAGGCCAAGAAGCTTTACTGTATCTACGTCGCCGTTGGTCAAAAGCGTTCCACTGTTGCCCAACTTGTCAGCACCCTTGAAGAACACGATGCCATGAAGTACACCACCGTTGTTGCTGCTACTGCTTCTGAAGCCGCTCCTCTTCAATACCTTGCTCCTTTCTCTGGTGCCGCTTTCGGTGAATGGTTCCGTGACAATGGCAAGCACTCTTTGATCATCTATGATGATTTGTCCAAGCAAGCTGTTGCCTATCGTCAAATGTCCCTTTTGCTTCGTCGTCCCCCTGGTCGTGAAGCTTACCCTGGTGATGTCTTCTACCTCCACTCCCGTTTGTTGGAGCGTGCTGCCAAGATGAACAAGGACTTTGGCTATGGTTCCATGACCGCTTTGCCCATCATGTAAGTTGAAAAGAACAGGATCAATGGGGAATACACGTGATTTAAAGTAACGTGTATTAATCAACCTTTGTTGCATATCATCATAGTGAGACTCAAGGTGGTGATGTGTCCGCTTACATTCCTACCAACGTCATTTCCATTACCGATGGTCAAATTTTCTTGGAAGCCGAACTTTTCTTCAAGGGTATTCGTCCTGCCATTAACGTTGGTTTGTCCGTTTCTCGTGTCGGTTCCGCTGCCCAAACCAAGGCTATGAAGCAAGTTGCTGGTTCCCTTAAGCTTTTCTTGGCTCAATACCGTGAAGTTGCTGCTTTCGCCCAATTCGGTTCCGATTTGGATGCTTCCACCCAATTCTTGCTCAACCGTGGTGCTCGTTTGACTGAATTGCTCAAGCAACCCCAATACCACCCCTTGGCTATCCAAGTTCAGGTCCCTATTGTCTTTGCTGGTGTCAACGGTTTCCTCGATAAGCTCCCCGTCAACAAGATCGTCGACTGGGAAAAGGACTTTATCAGCCACATCCAATCTGAGCACAAGGATGTTCTTGAGGAGATCCGCACCCAAGGTGTCCTTTCCAAGGATCTTGAAGGCAAGCTTCGTGACATTTGCGAGAACCACGTCAAGTCCTTCCAGTAAAGGGGTCATTGTCCAACGCTTAGACAGTGCAGAATGTAAAAGAGAAAAAAATGGATCACACCCACTTTTTGTATTAATGTAATATACTGAAAAGAGAAAATTCACACTCTATAATGTTGTATTTGAATGAAGGAATGGATTACAGAATGGATTGGAGGGAGGGGTATCAGTAGTACAGGATCGAGATTAATACATCCAAATCAAGAAAATGGTAACTAAGTGAGAGCGGCAAACATGACAAAGAAACCCCACAAAATGAGGAGCACACCCACCACATCCATGCATCCAATTTTTGGGTTCTCCATGGATTTTGCTGCTGAACATGCCATGGATTCCAATTCTTCATCCACAGCAGTGGAAGTGTCATCCACTACGACCTCGCTATTGCTATCAATTGTATCACTGGATCGGATCACCAGGTATCTTTCCTCATTGCCTATGGTTCTTGCTGATTGGACTGTTACATAATAAGGATGATCGGTGGACTTCCAACGTGTCACCAAGTAGCAGATTCCAGGAAGCAGGTATGCCAATGTGCTTGCGGCTAATCCACCTGCAAGAGAATACACCTTGCCAAGCGACTTGATTGTCATACCAAGTACCATAATGGTTGTGAATACCACCAAAGTGACAGTATAATGTTGCCATTGATTGGGTTGCTTGCTAGGCGTTTCAAATCCAAGCGTCTTATGGATCGCTTCACGTGTAGGGAAGATGCCCATCCTATTACATGATGAATGATGTTATGATGAGACTCTTGTGACAAAAGGATTGGGTGCATGTGTGTGGTACATACGGGATAGTAAATATCATGGTGATAGCAAGTAGAAAGCGACCAATATTGATCATGCCGTCATTGGAATCAAAATTCATAAATAGGTTGGGTTGCACGTTGTCACCAAAGCATGTGTAACCCACTATGGCAAACGTGATGGATACCGTCCAACTCATACCCGTGGCAAGAGCAGTAGATTGGCACCATGAGAAAGGTGATTGATCTTTGAGCGTTAAAAAGTTGTTGAAGGCGACCTGCGAGCAAGCAAATGAAAATGCCACGATACCCAAGGCATGTGATGCATCAGAGCCAACCCATGTCCACTCAGGTGGTGTTGTGTAATATGCAGGTGCCCTTAAGATGATCACAAAAACAACAATTGGCAAGCACATTACTGATATCATCGACCATTTTGCAAGGGAACCAATGGATCGTCGCAAATGTAAAGGCAAGATCTAATAGGGAAATTAGATTGACATGAGAGGGATATAATGAACCTTCAATTCTCCTTACGCAACATGTACCAATGATAGCAACCACAAACGTGCGATCACTGAGAATTGGGAATTGTGGAAGGTAGCGATCAAAAAGAAGCGGAAGCGTATCTCCAATCACTACACACATGATACGTCAGGTCAACACCTTATTGTGTTGTTGCTTCATTGAACGTTGCTTACGTATGAAATAGCTGACACAAGCACCACCAGCCTGTAGTACGATCATCATGTTGAGGATGTGGAAGCCAAAGCGTCCCATGACATGTTCAACTAAGGGAGCGAATTTGTATATCCCTGTTTCTTTACCAGCAAGGATAAGCATATACAATCCAAGTTGACAAGCAACTGCCACCCAGATGGAGGTAACAATCCCAAGAAAGAAACCCATATGGGCCATCGCAAATGGTAGACCAATGATACCGGCTCCAACGGTGGCGTTCACAAGATTAAAGGCAACTTCGGTTTTTGTGCGTGTGCCGAATCCAGGTTGATGTGTCTGTAATAAATCTTGTTCTGCTTTACTGAGATTTTTTCGTGTGCTGCCATAATCGCTCATATCGTGAAAAGAACCAAAAGAGTCGAGTAAAAGAAACGGGGAAGAAAGCAAAGAAAGAGACACAAGGCCGACAAATACCGACTTAAGGGGTGGTTGCTAGCTGCATGTGGATAAAGCAACTGCATGAATTGTTTGTAGCCATATCCATCGGGGTATTAAAACCATCGCTTCTACTGCTACGCCTACTACCTTGGATTATGCAAACATACACCATCATCTTTGATACAAGTAAATGATAAATTGGAGGGGTAACGGGAAACAATCTGTATTATTCACCATGCTGCTTTTGTCTACTGTATACAAGGATTGGGCAATGCTGGTGGTTGTAGTTGTAGTTGTAGTGGATGGATGCATTTTTGTGATAGTTGTTTGTGGGATGCGTGTGCGTGGGTTTTGAATGGGCAGAGAGCATTAAAGCAAGATGAATGAATTCAGATATGATGATGTGGGGGAATATGGGAAATGACGCGTGTTGGCGACTTGTGTAATGTGTTTGTTTATGAGAAAGCTGCACATCTCATGTGCAATGATGCATGCCATACGTAACACGAAGAGAGGCTCTCCGTATCATCATCGCGTCCAAGGCTTTCGTGCAACATAAACGTACCAATCTAACCCACTACCACGTTGAACGCATTGTGCACACACCATCTCTACGCGTTGTTGGTATTCTTCATCATCCAGCCCCATGCGCTCTGATAGTAGTTCTTGGGCATTCTCAAGGGCACGTAGGCTGACTACGGTAAAATCTTCGCTCGATGATTCATCGGCAGCTACCATGGTATATGCACATCATGTTAGCATATTGGTGATACATTGTATATGGTGTCAGAATTTTACCATATTGTACGGTTTTGCATTTTTTCTCCAGTAATTGGAATCCTGATTGCTCTAAAAGCTGCTCATACTTGAGGGCAATATCAAACTCACGATCTTGCTCTTGCATGAGAGTGCGTACTATTATAAAATTGAATACATGCATGTGTTGGAGAGATGTGGATATCAACTTACCAGTGTCAAAAAAGGATTCGATCAATACGGTTCCTTTCATCTACGATTATAGAAAAGAACACGATCGTTAATAATGGGGATGGTATCTTACGGGTGGGTCGGCAAATACATACGGCAAAATGGCCGTCTACTATTTGAAGGAGGCCCCCAGGTTTGAGCACCCGATAAGCTTCGCTTAGTAGATGCATCCAATCTCGCTGATCAAATTCTAAGCCTTGTGCACGCATATGACACAAATCGACACTAGCGCTTTCCAATGATAAATGTTGATCCAATTTACCAAAGGTAGTCTCTGTACGAACATTGGGCAGTGTCAGCATTTGTGGGACAAGTGTGCTTTGTGCCGAGAATTCAATGCCAACAAAGCTACAATCAGGGAACTGTGTAGCCATATCCTATATACATGCGTATGGATGATGAGCAAATTGTGGCGTAATTTTTGGGTTCGTGCTGCACACGCATACCATAAGCCATGCACCATTGGCACATCCAAGGTCAACAACATTGCAAACTCGGTTTCGAAGATGATCCATAGCAATAGGCGATAGGTTGCTATGAAGAATCATGTTAGATTAGGGATAAATGGATTGATTTTCATTAGCATTGATTACCCATCCAATAGCCGTTTCAGCGCAAAATGCAACTATTGTGACGAGAGATGTAAAATAAGAACATGTAATATTGTTGGCATGGGGAAGAATAGTAACGTACAGAGATATCCCTATCTTGGGCTTCCCAATCTTCTGGCAAGAAGCGGCTGGTGGATTCAACGCCAACATAGCCTTCAGGTTGAAGTTGACGTCGCGCTTTGTTATTGCGTACAGCTAATGTGTTGTTGCGTTTAACGAGTACGACGTCATCAGAGATGGAACGAATAGCATGACGAGGAAGTGTGCTGTGGTGGGTGCTGCGTTTGCCGTTGGTAGGTTCCCCTGTATAGGAAGCTGATCTTTCAGTGAACAAGGAGGCATGTTGAGGGCGTGTTGGTGACGAAGATAGATCAAGATTATGATTCTTTGTGCGTCGTTTTGATTGAACGACACCCATTATGTTGTATATAAAAAGGAATGGAAGGGGGGGACGTGTATGTGATATTAATGAAAAAAGAAAGGAAGAAAGAGAGAGAGGAAAAGAGGATGTTGTAAATGTGGAGGCACAGGGCTAATGAAGAAGAGAGAGCAAGAGAGCGGGAATTAAGGGTTGCTGCAATTCATCTTCCAGTCTGGAATCCGACAGCTGTCGTGCACTGATATAGCCCGACGGTTGGTGGCACCTTGGTTGTCTTGGATAAGGGTAGAGCTGAGAACACAAGAGTAGGTGTACACGTGCCCAACCATCATATTCAAGATCAGGGTTTGTGGAACACAACGTGGCAGAACTTGCAAGTGATACATTCGACTCGGGGTGATCGCCGATAATGAATAATCCTTTAGCTTATGCAGCATGTGCATTCTACTGTCATATCGTGTGTGTGCGTGTGTGTGTGTGTGTGTGATCACCTCACACAGCTGAGCACCGACCAATTTGACCGCTGTGTTAATTAGTCCTATGCTCAATCCCATTTCTGTTTGTCTCAAATACACACACATACACACACACACAACACTACACACATACATATATATACGTACCCACCTTTTTCTATTCTCTTCATACGTAAGGCTTCGTGCCGTTTATTTATCCATTCATTTGGTGTACAATTGGAGACTCGGATCACTACTTTTCTATTCCCTCCCCCCATTTCACAAGCCTTGGATCCTCCAATGTCCGATTTGAAGCAGCAGCCGCATGTTTCTTTTCAATCCAACAAAGACAACCATGGTGAATCGAAGGCTTCGTCGTTGGCACAGGATGATATTCAACCAGCGAGTCCTACGACTATGGGCAACAACGAGGAAGCACCACCATCATCGCAAGGCAAAGCACGTGTATCATTATCATCATCATCATCATCCACATCTCCCGACACCTATCGTCCGAGTACAAGTAGCAGCAGCCATAAGCCTGGGAACGAGGTGATTGATCAATCCCATTCTCTTGATATCGAAAAGGTGGTTGAAGTATCACCCGATCCTGGTCGATATTTGCGCCTCAACACATTGCTGGGAAAAGGAGCATACAAGGTAGTGTACAAGGCAATTGATCGCGAGGAAGGATACGAGGTTGCGTGGAATTCAATACAGGTAGGAAGGTTGCATTAATTTACTGTCAGCGGCATAATTAACTCACCTTTGCTCCTCTATGATGGGTACAAGTCTGCCAACAATGCAAAGGACATTGCACAAGAAATTCAAATCTTGAAATCAGTCCGACATCCAAATATTATTGCTTTCCACGAGGCTTGGCATACCGACAACGAGCTGGTCATCATCACTGAACTTATGACATCTGGCACTTTACGTGAATACATACGCAAGCTCAGCTTACCCAATACCAAGATTGTCAAGCGTTGGTCACGCCAAATCCTCAAAGGTCTCGTTTACTTGCATGGTCATGATCCACCCATCATCCATCGTGATATCAAATGTGACAACATCTTCATCAACGGTGCTTATGGAGAAGTCAAGATTGGTGATATGGGAACCGCTGAGATGAAAATGGGTAAAAAGTATACCGTGATCGGCACACCCGAGTTTATGGCGCCTGAGATGTATGAGGAACGTGGATACAGCGAAAAAGTGGACATCTATGCATTTGGCATGTGCTTGCTTGAAATGGCTTCGGGTGAATATCCTTATGGCGAATGTACCAATCCGGCACAGATATACAAAAAAGTCATGTCAGGTGTCAAACCAGTGACTTTATCCAAGGTCAAGAATAAGGATGTGCTTGCTGTCATTAAGAATTGCCTGGGTCCCGAGGATGAAAGGTATGATGATTATTCTTGATCTATGGGACTTTTGCTTTGGGACTCACAATCAAAGTCAAGGATGTCAGCTCAACAGATCTTGGAAAAGACGTTCTTCGCCATCGAACCAGAAGTTATGCTGTTGACAAGTGACGGCAATAACGTGCATCTCACCCTCCAAGTCGTGTTTAAAGGCGTGGACAAGCGATCCGTCAAATTCGATTTCAATGTGGTACAGTATTTCCTGCTTGGGATTGGTTTATCCATCTACTTTTGCCAATCAATGGGTTTTCTTTCATAAAATAGGAAACGGACACCGCTGCTGAAGTAGTTGAGGAGATGGTATGTAGACCTAACTTTTATCTTACATGCATTAGCTAATCATCCATTTGGGTTTAGATCGAAGAGGATATCCTTCCCAAGCGATATCAGCAGCACATCACCAAAGAGATCCAGCGTATATTGAGAGAGTGGGACAAGGACTCTGACCACGTGCATCGATCCATTTGGCGACGAGAGAGTGATAGCTCGGAACTTGAACGCATCAAAGTGGAGTTGGAGCAAGAAAAAGAGCGTGCTGAAGAGAAAGAAGCAGAATGCAATGAGTATGAGGAACGAGCATTGAAAGCCGAGGAGAAATGCAAAGAAATGACGCGGCTACTTGAGGAGCTGAAGAGTGAGCAGTATCATGAGCTGGAGCATGGTTCGATTGCAACTGCTTTGAAAGGTAATCCATATTATATAGTTGTCTCTGAGAGATCTGACAGGGGATTCCCTTCCACTAGATTACGCGGATGATGCTGATATTGAAGTATTTGTTCGAGATTGTGCGGAAGCAACACATCGCAGCGAGGATAAAGCACAAGCATGGATAAAAAAGCTCAAGGATCAAGATATCATGACAGTGGGCGATTTGCGAGATCTACATGACGAGGATTGGGCAGCACTTGGTCTCACAGTGTTTGCATCGAGAGCAATCAAAAACATGCTTAGAGGCAAAAGTAGCAAGGGATAGTACATATTATATACTCACTCCTCCATTATATAATCTGCCAACGGCCTAGCCATAATACCGGTTTATAGCTCCATTGTATATAAACACCATCAATAATAACTTTTACCACATTTGAAATACTAAGATAATGAATGTAAAGTGAAGCATAGATTCACAAAGAGGAGTAGCTGGAGGTATGGGTGAACAATCAAATATACCATTCTTTTTGTACATATCAGATTACCTTTTTCGACAAATGATGTATAAGCATGCTCCGACAACGAAGCATCAAGCAAAGGTTAATGTGGGAGTCAGAGATCATCTTTCAGACATTGCTGAAGTAAGCTTATTCTACTTGCTGGATGCATGGGAATTAATGCTTACAATAACAACCATCATGCGGCGGAAGGATCCGGGAAAGACGGCAATGATGACTGACTTTTTTTCTTTTTACAATGAGCATCTTGCATAATGCGTGTCTACAAAATACATGGGCAGCAAGAAGCATGACTCCGCATTTGCTAGCGCTTGCCTTCCTCCTCCTCCTCCTCACATGATAGCTCGAAGCATAAAGTATCCAAGGAGGAAGCATCGATGTCATCTGTGGATGTAGTTTATAATTGGCATATGAAATTGAAACTGCCAGATCACGCGCACGGGTTCATTCTATTGATCCGAAGCTGTGAGTGTGCAACAACAACAATGCTCACATGTACTTGTTCTTGAGAGGAGCTATGGGATCATTCACATTGCAATAGTACACCTCTTGTATACCACTTTTAAGCGTTTATTGATATTGCATTTAAGCCAACATGATTACCAAACTAGAACTCAAGTGACAAGGTTTAATGTTTTGAATCTAAAAGAGGTCCACAGGAAAATCACATTCGTGATAACAAGAGTTGTTTGTCAGCAGAAATGGCCATTCCGAAGGCGGTGATCAGTGCTTGTACAACAATACCCCGCTTTTGCATGTGTCACTGCGTCACTTTTGAATAACACTTATCAGTTGATTTGCTACCTCCTTGTCCACACTCTTTCTCTCTCTCACTCTCTCAATTCCCCCTGTTCATTCAACTCATTCACCATGTCTGATAACGTTGCTCATGCTCTCTCTGGTAATGTCGTGTAGCCATGGGCTAATGAAAGACTCCTGGAAGGTTGATTTGCTAACGCGGGTTCCATGACAACCAGGTGCCGGTGGTGGTATCGTCTCCATGGCGTTGACTTATCCTCTCGTGTCTATCAGCAGCCGTCTTCAAGTTCAAAAGAGTGACCAGGATAAGGAAGCCTACAAGGTATGTGTGTGTGTGCACAATACGTCCTTGTGTACCACTCTTGAAATGATATCGCATGACTAATCTCGTTATGAATTTAGAACACATTGGATGCCTTTGTCAAGATTCTCGCCAAGGAAGGTCCAAAGGGTCTTTATGCGTAAGTGGATAATATCAGGATAATCATACGAAGGCGTCATCCCTAATCGAGATGAGGTGCATGTAGTGGCTTGAGCTCGGGTGTCTTTGGCATTGCTGTCACCAACGGTACGTTAATCAATCAATCAAACAATGAATGCATGGATTGAAATTGACTTGGGATCAAATGATAGGTGTCTACTATTACTGCTATGAAGCTGTCAAGGCTGTTTTTGAAAAGGCAAAGGGTAAGGGCAAGCCCATGTCCACTGCCGAGTCCATGCTTTCTGGTGCTATTGCCGGTTCTGCTGTTGTCCTTGCTACCCATCCTATTTGGACCGTCAACGTAAGTGTATCAACGACCACGAAATACAAGTTCGATATGAATAACAAAGGATGGTTTATAGACGCGTCTTACTGTGAGAAAGGGCGTTGACTCTGAAAAGAGCAAAAAGGACAATGCTTTTGCTGTTGGTATGCAAATCTTGCAAAAGGAGGGTATCGCAGGTCTCTATTCAGGTGTTATGGCTGCATTGGTGCTCGTTATCAACCCCATTATCCAATACACCGTCTTTGAACAAGTCAAGAACAAGATCTCCAAGATGAAGGCTTTGAGCAACTTTGACTTTTTCTTGTTGGGTGCTTTCAGCAAGTTGTGCGCTACTGGTATCACTTACCCTTACATGTAAGTAATGCACCAATCGTCTAGTGGGATAGGGTTACTGAGTGAGAAATGGCATCTTGTAGTGTTGTCAAGTCGCGTATGCAAGTCAGCCAAAACCCTGACGAGCGTTATACCTCCATCTGGGATGGTTTCAAGAAGATCATTGCTAACGAAGGCATTGGTGGATTATATAAGGGTATCAGCTCCAAGATTGTGCAAAGTGTCTTGACCGCTGCCTTTTTGTTTATGGCCAAGGAAATGTTGTTTGACTGGGCCGTTTGGGTGCTTGTCCTTGCTGGTGCCAGAAAGGCTCGTGTTGCTTCTGCAGCTGCCAAAGCATAAATAATATAGACCCTATTTTTACCCTTCCCATCGCTTTGAAAAAGAGTTGTTTCCTCCTCTGTAGATACATTTTTACTTTATTAAACCATGATCATCAATTCCTGTCTATGTAAATCGGCGTTGTTGTTATCGTCTCTTTCATGCGGCGAATTCAGCGGCAAAAACTTTTTTGAGCCATTAGCAAGAAGTACCTTTCAATTCCTTTCTTTTCAAAGAGATTATACGTGAATTACTTCGATGGGATATCGATATACTGCAGCTTTATTAGGTCAAAGTGACAGTGGTGCGACTACCAATAAAAAGGTTGGTGCTACCATCAACTATGTACATTGGAAATCTCTGACGGCTGTTATTCCACTCTTCTATCCACAACTCTATCATGGTCGAAAAGAGCACCACCCGCAAACGAGCTCAAGCCAAACCAACAGACACGGCAACAGGGGGTAAACGTGCACGTCTTGGTGGGACCAGCAACAGTAGCACAGCATTGCCCTCGACTCGCTTGTCAACATCGACAACTGTCAACACGACTTCAACGACTACAACACCTCGTCCTCGTGGTCGTCCACCAAAGAATCCTAATGCGCCGCCAACTTCAAATGTTGATACACCACCACCGCCAACACAACCTCGTCCACGTGGTCGTCCACCAAAGAACCCGAATGCAACAACGTCCACCACCACACCATCGTCAAAATCGGCCAATGACTCGACCGTGAAGAGTCGTCAAGAGCAAGTACGAGCACAGGAGGTTGGCATTGTGAGACCCACATCGAAAATCATGAGACGTCCAGCACCTAAAGAACAAGCGTCAACCACACCAAGTGCTACTGGAACAACAGCAACTGACAAAGGCACTGCAAAGCCCAAAGCATCCACAGCACGCGCATCAACAACATCCACCAAGGACACACCCTCCACCGCAACAAAGCGCACAACCAAAACCCCGAGTCGAGCTACCAAGCAAGTACATCCAGTGCTTCCAATCATCAGTAAGTTGTCCATTTCATTGTTAATTAGCAGCCTCCCTGACATCATCTTTTTACTATTCAGAATCACCTTTCAAGCTGCAATATATGATGCAAGGTCACGTGGAAGAAGATGCACGTACTGAGAGAGCCAATTTATGGGGATGTGAATATGAACCAGGGACCAATGTGGTGGCAGTATGTGGTGGCGACATGATCCTGTTCCTGGATGTACAACAAGGGCGCTATGTGAAAAAGTACAGCCATGTCGAATCCAACGAGGAGTTCAGGTGCTTAGCATGGACATTGTTGAAAGGCTCAAAGGATTTACGCGATGATGAGGCGGATGAGGATGATAAATGTACCGTATTAGCAGCAGCAGGTCGATTGGGATCCATCAAGCTAGTGAATGCTTTACAAAACCAATGCTTTCGACATCTGTTTGGCCATGGAAAGCAGATACGCAAGCTACAATTCTCAAAGGCACATCCTCGATGGTTATTCAGTAAGTCTCTCTCTCTTTTGCTAGTGATCATCAATTTGGTATTCATCCCATATGAAAGGTGCATCCGATGACATGTCCGTAAGGCTATGGGATATTGGCACACCCAACAACAAGCAAGAAAATAATTCAGCGTAAGTTCAAACATGGTGAAATGAAGGTTTCACATACTCATGCCCAATAATAGGTGCCTTGCCAAATTCATGATCCCGACAAAGCTATCAGTACCAACAGCAATCAATGCGTTCAGGGGCAACTTGATGGTTGGCTGTGCGGAGGGTGATTTGGTGCATTTCGATATGAAGGATGCTGGATTGGATAAGCTGGTTGATAAGGAAGTGGACGGTGGTGCTGGCACTATTGTCAAGAACAAGATTGTATACCCTGCAGGAGACGAATGGCATGAAGGCTACGTTGATGATATTTATATCCTGGGACAACACGGCGGAAATCCACATCCGCTTGATGGCTGTATAGGTAATGTAATGGAAGGAATGGGTATGTTGATGGAGAAAAAGGCTGACTTGATTTCCCATCCCCTCAGTATCACGTGGTGTGGAAGATTACGAGATATTGGTCTGGAAGCACAAATCAAGTACTAAAAAGGACGCTGATATTGCTATCTCTCTCGAGTGGCCAGAATCCGTGGATGAAGTGGGATTGCGGTTTAAAGTCATCGAACGGCATGGTACGTCTCCCGTGATATTAGCGAGGACATGAAGGATAACGACCTTTACTAATCTTTCCTTTTTTCATAGATCAAAAGGTGATCGTGGCTGGTGATTACGATGGTCAAATACGGCTCTACAATTTCGGTGATGGTAAACTTAGCAAGACGTTGGAGGATAATAGCAAAGAGATGTTTCAACCAACGAAGGTATGATTATCAGCAATCTAAATGGGACATTGATTGACAGCTTTTTATTGTACCAGGTACTCTCCCACCCCAAATCATCGGGCCTTATACGAGATGTATGCGTTTCAGAGGACACAAGCACCATTGTTGCAGTAGATTCGAATAATCATATCTTCGTTTGGTCTTGTAGCTAGATGTTTACCTTCATAATTAAACATTGGATCTCGGCTGCGAGCGAGTGACCATCGTATGTATCATTGCTATGTATAAATTGTTGTATCATAGGGTAGAAATGGAAAATTATAGAATGCGGATAATCTTACATGCAACAAGCGTGCATGCATGTTTAGACTTTTCTCCGATGCCATAAATAGCATTATCCTCTTTCTCTTCGACGCGCGTTGAATCAATGTCAACATCCGGATGTGAGTTTATGAGTATTATAGCCAATTGTACATGTAATCCATGTACGTATCCAAGTGCGTATCATCTACACGGGTCTAATGTGGTATACTCGAACTTTTTGGGTGTCTGGTGGCAGCAGTTGATGCGTGCCTGGTTCTTGATCTAGTAGTGCTAATGACACAAATGAGACATGGTACCCGCGGTAATAGGTACGTCACATCACTATTGAAAAGAGAATTGTATCTCTAATGTGGCAAAAATAGGCTGCCAAGCCCACTCCGAACCCGCAAAGATAACTTAAGGATGCTTATACAAGGCCTTTGGAATGGCATCCATACTTGATTTTGATGCTTTTTCACCGCTCAGGGCAAATGGGTGATACATCAGCTACAAACTTATGGGAGTTGAAAAGGTAGTTTTGACTATTATAGGTTGTTTGGGCAATAGCGTGTTTCCTATTGCTCCATAATTTGCATTGCGGGATCCCAATGTCTATTTCCTTCCTTTCTGTTACTTTACCAGGTTCTCTGCCTTGTACTACACTAAGAGACAAATGCTTCTAAAATGGTAAATGTGCAAAAGGTGTCGGGAGAAAACAACCGATCTCACAAATGGGTAAAAACGTGAATTGTGCTACATGTTGGACGTTGCACAAACGCTTTAATGGTAGATGCCGATGCGTACGTAAACTTTGTTTCCGCTTTAGCAGTGACAATAAAAAGGTGTGCAATGACCCGGTTTTACATGTTGTCTCTTTTCGTCGCCGTACTATCATTCCTTTTCACACATCCTCTAGGATAACCAATCCCTAATCCCCTTCCCATTACGTCGCCTACCTTCTTTTACCCTATGTATTTGAAAGCCATTGCCCTTTCCCTTGCCATTGCACAGGCCTCCCAAGCTGTAAGCGCAGCAGAGTATTGGGAGTCGTTCAAGAGCAACGTGGATCCCACCAATATCAAGATCCCTGAAATTACCCAAACTACCTCGTATGATGAACTCAAGACATGTGTTGGTTACGATGCTTCCCCTGCATTTACTTTCAATCAAGCCGAATGGCCTACCGCTTGGCAAATTGCTACCAGCAATGGTATGAACACCAGCCAAGAATTCGTTAACCTCTACAATTCGATCAATTGGGATAGCATGCCCAACATCCCTGTTCGCAAATCCGTCAATGGTGCTCTCCAAACCGAAGGCTATGATCCAAGCGATCCCGATTGTTGGTGGTCAGCATCCACATGTACCCAACCCAAGCACGAAAACATCAACGCTGATATTTACGAGTGCCCTGAACCTGATACTTGGGGCTTGACCTTTGACGATGGTCCTAATTGCTCGCACAACGCCTTTTATGATTATCTTCAATCTCGCAACTTGAAGGCCAGTACGTATTTTATCAATCTCTTTTATATGATGGATCGATGAATCATGTATTGATGTACGTGTTTTTATATAGGTATGTTTTACATTGGTTCCAACGTCGTTAATTGGCCCTATGGCGCCATGCGCGGTGTTAGAGACGGCCATCACATTGCTCAGCACACATGGAGTCACGGCTTGATGACCACTTTGACCAACCAAGAAGTACTTGCCGAACTCTATTACACCCAAAAAGCCATTAAGATGGTAACTGGTATTACTCCTCGTCATTGGCGACCTGTAAGTGTCAATAGTGATATATAGCACAACATCATGAATTCTAACATCATCCCCCGCTATAGGCTTTTGGTGATGTTGATGATCGTGTCCGCTGGATTGCCACTCAATTGAACTTGACCACTATTCTTTGGAACTTGGATACTGATGATTGGGCTGCTGGTGTTACCGAACCTGTTGAAACCGTCAAGAAGCACTATGAAGACTTTATTGCTATGGGCTCCAATGGCACTTTTGCCAACAGTGGCAACATTGTTCTTCAACACGAGATCAACAACACCACCATGCAAATGGCTGTTGACTATATTCCTCAAATCCAAAAGGCTTACAAGCACGTTGTGGATGTTGCCACTTGCATGAATATCACTTATCCTTACATGGAAACCAATGTCAAGTTTGCAGGTTTCGCTGAAGCCACCAAGAGCAACTCCTCTGACAACTCCTCCTCGGGCTCCTCGGGTAGCGGCGACAAGTCTGAAGGCTCTTCATCCAATGATGAAAGTGGTGCTTCCTCTCTCATTGTCTCCACTGCAGGTCTTTTTGTGGCTGCTGGTGTGGGTGCCTTCGCCTTGTTGTAAAAGTATACATAGCTATATTGTAACCAACCATCCGTTTGTTTTTCTCTTTGCACACACATGCATGTATTTCTATCTATGTCCGAATAAGACGAAAAAATAAATGATGACTATTATCATCCACCTTGTATTTTATTCATGTCGTGTGAAAAGTGTCTTAAAAACCGCGGCCGATGATGATACAAAGGATTGACATCATGTGCTCCGCCTATTTAAGGTTTTTCGTCAAGAATGACAGGTGATGGGAGTATGTATGGATATGAAAAGGGATCGCTTTGTTGGATATGTAAACATCAACAAGGAGTAGTGGCACATGATATGCAAGATGCACAGACGTCTTTATTATGATATGGGATATGATGGGGGAGGATGAAAAGGGAAAAGATCTCACTCACTCTGGGTAATACATTTATCAAGAGTTGCACAATACAAAGACACCGAGATGTCTCCGAGCCAACCGATGTTCTCGCGTGGACGAGTTGCTTGGATGAAGTGAATCGCTTTTGTGAGACAGTCACTGAGGGAACCGCCATTTAGCTTAGCAGAGCGGGCCACATCCACACCCCCACCCACATACTAACGCGGTGCGGGCGGGTATAGGCAAAAGAATCAAGAGGTCAAACTTGGAAAAAGAAACCTGCACGCACGCCCAGAGCTCTTTCTTTTCCACCCCCCCTTCTTTTTTGTTTCTTCTTTATACACCTCTCCCTCGTCTTTTTCTTTATCTCTTTCTTTTTGCTCGGCTCCCATGAAGGTATTTCGCATATACTTTTACTCAGCTTGGTTCCTGACACGTGTTCTTCTACTTCTTTTTATTACTCGTTCGTTCGTATACAGTTTGGCAAACAAATCCAGAGTCAACAATTCACAGAATGGAGCGCGCATTACTTGGACTACAAGGGCTTAAAGAAATTCATCAATGCTCTCCTCAACGCACCTCCAGAACAATACGGCACGCAGATTACAACAGACGACGATCGATCCAAGCTTCTCCAGTCGCAAAAGGCAGCCTTCTTTTTCAAGCTGGAACGTGAGCTGGAGAAGGTATGGCGCGCTCGCGTGTAGCACATGGCATCATCATGGGAAAAAAGGCTTGTGCTCTTACTGTGTTTCACACACGCACATGTAGATCAATTCATTTTATCTGCAAAAAGAAAACGAGCTCAAAGTACGATTACGGACGCTGGTGGACAAGAAGAAGGTCTTGCAAACCGATACACGACGTCTCAAGCATGCATCAACACTATTCAACGCAATACAAGAAGCATTCATTCAATTTGAACAAGAGCTGAATAAGATCCAGGTATGCATGTTTAATCAATATGGGAGATACAACCATTAATTGGTCCAATCCTTGTTAGAAATACGTCGAGCTTAACAATGAAGGGTTCCGAAAGATCTTGAAAAAGTGGGACAAGCGATCCAAATCGACGACAAAGGAATTGTACTTGTCACGGCAAATCGACATCCAGCCATGTTTCAATACTCAATTCTTGTGTGAGCTTGCCGACATTGCTTCAGCGAATCGTATCGAACTCAGCAACATCCAAGCAGGTATCCCTGTGCCTACAGCAACATCAACACCACCTGAACAACAGCCTGCACAACCAGCTGATGTCATTGATGATCTGGAAATTGAGCTTGTCAAAGCCGTATCAAGTGGTCAGGCAACATTGGTGCGAGAAGTATTGGATCGAATTGCACAACATCCTTCACCTGGTGATGGGGATCGGCTTTCACGTGTATTTTGGCATGCATGTTCCGAAGCGCCACGAGAGATTATTGATTTATTGACGGGGACGAATCTTGTGGATTATGGCTATGTGGATGATATCAATGAACGATCATGCTTGCATGTGGCAGCAATGGCTGGAAGAAAGGATCTCTTGGAATTATGTACGGAGCGTGGTGCCAATGTTTTGGCGACTGATGCATATGGACGTACAGCTCTACATTATGCGACAATGAATGGGTTCAGCGATTGCGTTTCTTATTTATTGACACAAAACGCCGACATTGAAGCACGCGATCATGATGGATATAGCCCGCTCTTGTATGCAGTCATCAATGGTCATGCTACGTGTGTCGACATTTTAATCAAGGCTGGTGCGAACATTGAGCCCAACCACGATGGTGATCACATCCCTCTTTCACTTGCATGTTACTATGGTCATACCGATATCGCCCTCTTGTTATATGAACGTGGTGCCAAAAACTTGCCGAATGCAGAATCACTTTATCCGCTTCATCTCGCAGCACGACAAGGACATGTTGAATTATGCCGTATGCTTGCAAAGAATAAGGATGATCTCGATGTGCCCGATAAGTACAATTCATGGACACCGTTATTCTGGGCAGCCAGCGATGGACATGCTGAATGTGTATCGATTTTAATTGAGGCAGGATGCAAGGTGAATGTGAAGGATGAATATGGCAAGACAGCATTGTATTATGCTGCATGGGAAGGTGAAATGGATTGCGTCAAGCTCTTGATCGATGCTGGATGCGAAGTGGAGCCCATTTTGGAGAATCGACCACCAACACAATCATTCAGCGAGCCATCGGCCGACAATGTTGAAGAACCAGAACATGAATTGGACGCCATCCCATCACTTTCTCTTCCACCACCCATCATCCCATTCCGTATCTATGGTCACAGTTATTTGGATCGCAAATACCAAGTCCAAATCAGCCTTCATCAGCCACCTATACGACTTTACGACAATACACAAATCTCATCCCTCAAGTTGATTATCGCTTCTAAGCCCGACACCGGCATGATCCCTCACAGCGTTATTCTGCCACTCGTGGATGATCGAGAAATCTTTAGTTTCCAAGTCGACAAGTTGGATGATTTCTTGCTTGAATTTGATATTTTTGCTACGTTTGGATCCAAAGTACTTGGAAGAGGTGTTGCATTGCCAGAGACATTCTCCTCTGTGGATTTCACCATTTTGGAAGGATATCGAACGATCCCACTATTGGATAGCCATCTCAAGGTTGTAGGTGAGCTGACATATGGATATTCGGTGGTCAAACCATTTCGAGGTGTACAGCTTGAGATTGGTGGCCGCATCGAGACATACTGGAAATCTACGAACACCATCATGCCTTCAACTTCGGTAGCCAATACAGCAACAACAACAACACCAACAGCCTCTGCAGCTTCTGGTTCCACAGCACGAATCACTCCCGAGCCTACACAACAACAACAATCATCCGATGTCACTTCAAGTAGTAGCAACATAGCCTCATCGTCAGCTGCCATTCCATCTTTTATTACCGCATCATCATTAGCGGGCGACTATGTACGCGTGGTTGTGCAATTGACTCGAGACAATGTGCCTGTTGTATTTGCCAATTGGTTGATACCTTTTGAAGGATTGGATTTGGCAGTGTCCGATGTCACTTTTGACCAATACATTCAGCTTGGCACGAAGCTCATGTCATGTACAAAGGACCATCATCAGCAGCAGCAGCAAGAAATGTGTCCTATCACCGGCAATAGTATGATTGTACAAAACACTGCATCAGAGCCATCCTTTTTATCATTGGAATATGTTCTTAGGGTAAGTTGTTTATGCTCATAGCCCATCACCAATCTCATTGTTCTTTTTGGTTGTTATAGCACCTGCCAAACAATATGGGTATCCACCTTGAGCTCAAGTATCCAACGGTGCGTGAACTCGAGATCCACACCTTCTCCAATATCCAAGATCGGAACGTCTTTGTGGATACGATTTTGCAAGCGGTCTATGATTATGTGCGTTCTTTGCCAACGGGATCCAGCAGTGCCAGCATATTCTTTTCGTCCTTCAATCCAGCTATTTGCACTGTCATCAATTGGAAACAACCAAACTGTAAGTGGATGGAGTTGGCGCATCATGTGAAGAATGTGCATGCTGATTTATTGTGTTATAGATGCTGTATTCTTTAGCACTTATTGCGGGCTCAATAAGGATGATATGACACGAGGTGTTAAGCGGCGTGTATCAGAAGATGCATCAGTGGTCGAAGTGAGGCATAAACCAAAGCAAGATGTACGGACACGATCTCTCAAGGAAGCTGTCAAATTTGCAAAACGCAACAACTTGTTGGGTGTTATTTGTGAAGCGTCACCATTGGTAAGAACAATGACAATGCTCTTTGTTGGAAACAAGGGCCTTAATACATATCCTCTCCTTTGTAGGTGCGTGTGCCCTCATTAATCAAGAATATCAAGGAAAGTGGTTTAATCTTGGTGTCTTTTGGACAAATGAATATCGATACACGCTATCGCTCCATTCAAGAACGACACGGTGTTGATGCCATGATGATACACGAAGTGGTCCATTTTAACACGCAAATGGCTGGTGCCGGTTTCTGATAAAAGTAATCCTCTCCCCCATCCAAGCAACATACCATCATATCACTTAGTATTAGATGCCCCTTTCCTCTCTCCTTACCCCACGCCTTGTCCATTGTTTCCTCCATACACATTTTCCGAATATATAAAACGACCTTAAAATGAATACTTTCAAACGCGGAAAAACAAGAAATCGTTTATCATGCATCTTTTTTTTAAACGACGGTACCAGCGGCAGAGGCAATACGGGGCCACAAATCAGCACATTCCTTAGCAACGGGACCAGTGATAGCAGAGCCCTTCATTTCACCCTTGGGCTGATGATAATAAACAATCGTCAATATCCAATCGAGTAAAAAAAGCTGTTGCTGTTATAGTTGAACTTACGTTGACAATGACACCAGCGTTATCCTCAAAGTAAAGGAAGACACCATCGCGACGGCGCCAGGCACGACGTTGACGAACAACGACAGCAGGCATGACTATTTTCATATGCAACCCAATGAGCTATTCCCATTCTATCTTCTGGTTCGGGCATGGACTTACCCTTCTTTCTCAATTCGGGCTTGCCCTTCTTGACGGAGGCGACAATCATGTCACCAGCACCAGCAGCAGGCAAACGGTTCAAATGACCCTTGATGTTACGGACGGCAATGACGTACAAATTCTTGGCGCCAGAGTTATCAGCGCAGTTCATGACAGCACCGGTGGGTAAACCGAGGGTCATGCGATACTTGGTGCCGGAAATGCTAACTGTGTAAAATAGAAAAAGTTGATGTTAGCCGTGAATCCATCCGTTATCGAAAGGTGTTCATCCATTTATCTGTTGATGGATGGTGAATGATTTGGAAACGATGCTTGCCCTTGGGCATGATGATCTGTCGGAAGGGGGAAAGAGGAAGACTATATCCATGGCTATCGGATCTCTCTATAGTGCGGCACCCACCCACCCACACCCACACAACACACACAGCCGTTTACTATAAATGGTAATCACCCTTCTTGGCCAAGTCAGCATGTACGTAGATCCACTTTCTTGAACCTACTCTTTATTAATAAAATGTTTATGATTCTTTTATAAGCGGTATTGGGTGTAAGAGGTATGGTAGATGTTGCATGGATACGGTGCTTGCTTGTTGCATGGATACGGTTGATACGCTCGAGATACTTAGTATTTGCTCAAGAAAGCATACCATACGTAGATAATCGAGATGAAGATTGTTGTCTTTGAGAGCCGTCTTAGAATACGTAGATAGTTGTCCCATCAATGTACTTTCAAGAAGAAGAAGGCATGTCATTTGTAAAAGAGTTACATTGTTATTGATAAAAGACGTGGATACCACCATTCACATGAATCAAATTCAATTGCTAGGATGAAGCATACCATCAACTATACTATACGTTTATGATTGTAGAAAAAGATCTATGACATGTTGCATACTACTACTACTACTATCACATCAACAATGGCGGTGTGGACTTTTTGTTGGCATCCAATTGCTGTATTCAGCTCCGTACAACCATCACACACCCTTTCCCTTTTCATATACACACATGCCTCACTCGTACCTGGTTATTGGTGGCAACGGTTTTCTCGGTCGTCATGTCATTGAGCAGATTCGACTTCGAAAGGACAACTCGACCATTTCCGTTTTTGATATCGCAAAGCCTGCCGAACCTGATGCAGATGTGACCTATCTCGTTGGTGATCTACGCAAATTCGACGACGTGTATGGTGCCCTTGATGGGATAACAGCTGTTATTCATACTGCCTCGCCTCCTCATGTCAACTCTTCAAACCCACCTCGCGACCTTTACTTTTCTATTAATGTGGAGGGCACTCGCAATATCATCCGTGCTTGTCAAGAAAAGGGTGTGCAGATCTTGGTTGTCACGAGCTCTGGCAGTGTCATTTCTACAGGCGAGCCTATGGTCAATGTTGATGAGAGTACACCTTATCCACCCGAGGCCATTGATGTGTATACGGAATCCAAGGTAACATAGGATGATGGATAAAAAGGAGGGTCATAGTTATAACACAATCCATTCTAGATCGAGTGCGAGAAGGTTGTATTGGCAGCCAATGGTGAAAAGGGTTTAAGGACATGTACCATTCGTCCCTCAGCTATCTTTGGCCCTGGTGATCGTCAAGTGTTGCCTGGCATGATTGAAGTTTGTGAAAAGGGACAACATCGTTTCCAAATCGGCGACAACACATCTTTGATGGATTTCACCTACGTTGGCAATGTGGCCTATGCTCACGTGTTGGCAGCCGAGAAACTCGTCGACCCTACATCTCCTGCTGCTGGTCAAGCCTTTAATCTTACCAATGGTACACCTGTTCCCTTTTGGGATTTCGCTTCCAAGGTGTGGTATGAGTATGGCAAGCACATGCCCAAGAAGAACAAGATCATCCTTTCGTATAATGCAAGTATGGTGATTGCATGTATCAGCGAGACCATTTTTAGCATCAAGGCCATGTTTGTTGACAAGAGCAAACTCAAGGAAGGCATGACTCGATCCCGTATCAAACAAGCCATGAGTTCTCGCTATTTCAATATCTCAAAGGCAAAGAAGCTCCTAGATTATGAACCCCAGGTTGGTCTCGAGGAAGGCATCCGACTTGGTATTGCAGTAAGTTGAAGCGGAGGGGTAAAAGTGGTATTCTCAGCTGATGCATTTTATCATCGTATAGCATTATCAAGCCAACTTGAAGAAGCAATAGAGTACCACTTTAATCGATATAGTACAACAAAGTATATTAAAACTTGGATACCGAATCTACATCAATAACAGTGGCATGGAAGGATGTGATATCATTGCTGCTTTAACAAAGAGGAATGGGTTCTCGGTGGAACGGATGTACTCATCAGCATTTCGGTTCGTGTAACACGGGAGATTGATTTTGCCACTGGTTTATGGGACAAAGGAAACAAAGAGAAGATGATGTTACAGTGTATGTGTGGCTGTATACGTAAAAGGGAAGATACGAGTGACCTAATCCAGGAAATGTAATTCGTTAACAATCCGGCGCGCACGGTTGCTGTGTGCATACCCGTGTGTTATAGCATCATCAGGGTTTTCTAGTGGCACGGATAAACAAGGCCGAGGTGAAATTCTCATTCACACATCTTTCTTTCCACTGCTTCATTTTTCTCTTCTCCAACGCGCGTACCACTCGCAATGGCCAACGAAATCTCAAAACCTACGAGTCCATGGTCACAAGTCATGCACATTGCTGAACGTGTGTTGACCGATCGTCGTCTCATTGTCCTCAAGAACATTGTCTTTATCCTGGTGCTTCTCAACTACTGGTCATACTTTTATGCCAAGTTTGCTGTTGGTGGTCCTGTTCGTGCTTTCAAGGATTTGCATCTTTATGTGAAGCGAGTATGTTGCCCATCATCCTTCTATTCCACGCTATGTTTATTCATCCATGTGTTGTTTGCTATAGGCTATTTTCAAGCAATTGCGTCGATTGCCTTCAGTCCAAGCCAAGATTGATAGCGAGCTTAGCAAGACTCTTAAGGATATGGAGCATTCAATGTTTTCCCGTGAAGGTGAAAATGTGGTTCGTCAACTCACATTACCCAAGCATGGCCTTACCGAGGAACAGGTGATGGAACAGCTGAAAATGTATGTGGGAATACATTTGACATGTGAAGTTGTGTGATGTGAGAATGCTGAATTACTCTCCCTCATTAGATTCGAAAAGATGCGTGGCAAGGATTGGAAAGGTGGCCGTGTGTCTGGTACAGTGTACCATGGTGGACAAGATTTGACCAATCTATTGGCAGAGGCTTATCGTATGTATGCCATTTCCAACCCCTTGCATCCGGAGGTATTTCCTGGTGTCCGTCGGATGGAGGCTGAAAGTGTCCAAATGGTCTTGAATATGTATAATGCGCCCACTGACGGATGTGGTACAATGACAAGTGGTGGTACCGAAAGTATTATCATGGCGTGCAAGGCATATCGTGACATGTACAAGGATTTGAAGGGTATCAAATATCCTGAAATGTAAGTTTTACTTGGAACAAGGATTGGCACCTTTATCTCATCCGTATGCATGTAGGGTGGTCCCTGACACAATCCATGCAGCCTTTATGAAAGCATCAGGCTACTTTAACATCAAGCTTATCATGGTTCCTGTCGACCCAGTCACTTGCCAAGTGGATTTGAAAAAGATGGCCAGAGCTATTACTCGAAACACCATCATGGTATGATATGATATTTGTCAATTTTGCTTTCTTGGGAAAATTGTTGTCTTTGACACATGACCATTTAGATTGCTGGTTCGGCTGTCAATTATCCTCATGGTACCGCTGATGATATCGTGGCCCTAGGCAAACTTGCCAAGAAGCACAACATTGGATTGCATGTGGATTGTTGTCTTGGAAGCTTCATCATGCCCTTCCTTGAAAAGGCTGGTCTGCCAACCATTCCGTTCGACTTTAGAGTTGATGGTGTCACCTCGATCTCGTGCGACACGCACAAGGTATATTGTATTCGGGTAACTCGGTCATGGTTGTATTCTCACACGCACAACATAGTATGGTTTTGCTCCCAAGGGTTCATCCATTGTCATGTACAGAGATAAGAAGATCCGCAAATACCAATACTTTTTGTGCTCTGATTGGACAGGTGGTATTTATGCATCACCCAGTGTGGCTGGTTCAAGGTTTGTATATGTGTATCAATGGGCTATCACAACGCGATTGCTTATCTTACTCATCTAGACCTGGTGCATTGATTGCTGGCTGTTGGACTGCGCTCATGAGAATTGGTGAGGAAGGTTATTTGGATTCATGCAAGAAGATCGTGGGTGCCCGACAAACCATTGAAGATGCGTAAGTATATGAATGGCCTATTCAAAAAGGGTATCATCATGATTGACCCCTCCTTTTCCTTCTTTGCAGCGTTCGTTCAATCCCTCAGTTGACAGTCAAGGGTAATCCAATTGGTCCAGTGATTGCATTTGGTGCAAAGGAGCCCCTCAATATTTATGACATTGGTGACATGCTTGGTGAACGTGGTTGGGATGTTAGTGCATTACAAAATCCAGCAGCTTTGCATATCTCTGTTACGTTGCCCTGGGTGCCAAGTGCAGGTGAATTCGCAAAGGATCTCAAAGAAATTGTTACGGAGCTGGTGGCCGATCCCTCAAAATCCAAAGGAAGCACAGCCGCCATTTATGGTACAGCAGCATCCATACCTGACAAATCCATCATTGAAGATGTTGCTGCTGGCTTCATTGACCTGCTCTACAAGGCCTAATCATATACTACCAGCTTATTTTTTTTTTGCTTTAAACTAATGATTCCCGATACATGTCCCCCCTCCAATCTTGCAATAAAATGCGAGTCAAAAAGAAGTATGATGATAGAGTTCAATCCAAGGCTGTATGTGCTCGTAATGGATTGGCAAATGTGAGGATTTGAATGAAGCATGCTCTTAAAGCTATGATTGGATTTGGCGTCTTAGTAAGTGTAGTTGCCCTGCGCACTTTATTATCTTCGAGGCTGGTAAGGCACTGTTGCCGACACCATTATTACATCATTGTTGCTTGTGAGATCTTGTTGTATCGATTGTGGGGAACTAAGGTCTAATGCCGATACCTACATGATGATGGTTCTATTATGCGATACGATGAACGGTGGTGGCATCAGCTTGTGCGGTGGGGAATACAAGGGAATCCGCAATGTTGACATGTGGTGGGCGACCAGCAGTAAACACGACGATCTCAGCTGCATTAAAGATATGAGGTTAATACCGGTTTGATGATTCCTCGCTGCCAAGCATACCAATGTCTTGAGCAACCAATGGCTGCATGCCCTTGTATACGCTATCAGCCTTTTCCTTATCACCATAGAAACGCACAGTGGAAAATTCAGTGTTGACAAGTCTAAATCAATGTTGGATTGAGCACACCATGCTGACAACAAACCCAACGTGTTAATGTGTAAGTATTACCCTGGGCAAATTTGGCTACACAAAAAGAACGCAATGAGTCATTTGAATGAAAGGATACATGCGTTTTTCTATTTGGATTCTTACCTGACACGAATAGGTGTATCAACGAGCTCAAATCTCAACGAGGTGGTAATCGCATCAACAGCATGCTTGGTAGCTAAATGCAAGATTGATCGGAAGATGAATACGTCAACAACAATGGTATCCATTTGTAATCCACGTTGCTCTGCTTACTTACCACAATAAATGCTTCCACCTGGGTATGCTTGCTTGCCAGCAATTGAACCAAGGTTGATAATATGTCCTGTTTCACGTTCCTTCATGCTGGGAATAATCGCTTGTGTGAGGAAGACAAGGCCCTTAACATTGGTGTTGAACATCGTATCAAAGGCATCCTCGGCTACTTCGGCTACCGGATCTCTACCAAGCACCATGCCAGCATTGTTTACCAACACATCTACTGGTGGAAGTTGGGCAACAACGGATCGGATTTGTTGTACGTCTCGCATGTCGAGTTGGATAGCCGTCACCTTAATGGATGGATGTTTGGCTTCAAGCTCCTTTTTCAAATTCTCAAGACGCTCCACACGACGAGCAGCAACGATCTATTGTGCTTAGGGTGTTTAGGAGGTGCAGCAACATTTGTCAAGTGGCTCTTTTATACGCACCACGTTCGATCCTTCTTTTGCAAACTCGCGTGCACACGCCTCGCCAATACCAGCTGATGCGCCTGTACTATTGGTTTTTATGTTTCAGTGTTCAATAAAGTAAAAGGGTGAAGTAGCTAAAGTGATACTTACATCAATACGTTCTTTCCCTCAAGTCTTCCCATGGTGATAGATAGAGTGCAAGAAACAGGAAAAAGGTTGCGTGGAAAGCCATGTTTCCCACAATCGTGTTTAAACTTCCGTTGAAACCCCGGTCGACTAAGCGAGGTCGATCTTGAATGTCCATCAATCTATGCATAATGAGCATCATAGGCTTCAAAAGTTGGTTTGCTAAATTGGGGGATTTTTACACAATGCAACAATGATTCACCGTGATGTTCTTAAGAATGATTTATTGATCATATTTCATTTGAAGTAGTATTACATGAATAGCCATATGATAGCTCAACATCATTATGGGTGAAAGTGGAAGTGGGTGGGTTGTAGTAAGCATCTCTAAGGGCAGCGACTACCTATTAAGATAGAGACGAGCTGACTGATGTATTGAATTAAAGCATAAGCATAGTTTGCATGTGATTGAACAAACATCACAGTATAAAAGCGGGGTACATTTCCTCTTCCCCCACAATTTCCTTGTGTAAGCAGCTTTCTTGACAAATCGTAAACCACCCCTCTTGTTCTCTTCCACCACACAACGTAAGTCGACACCATATAAAGCGTCTATCTCATTCATCAACTCACTATGATGATAAATGGCTTGTTAGTGTATATCCTTTGCTTGAAATGAGAGAAGACTTGATACAATCGGCCGTTTCTTTCCTTACCGATCCCAAGGTGCAATCGGCGGCATTGACAAAGAAGGTCTCATTCTTGGAATCCAAGGGCATGACATCCGAGGAAATTGAAGAAGCCATGTCTCGTGCTAACGGCAAAGCACCTGCAGCAACAACAACGGCAACAGCAGCAGCGCCGGTGGCTACCCAACAACCTGGAGGCGCCGTTGTCCCATATAACACTGCCGTCGCTACCCAACCTCCTCCAGTCCCCGCTCGTCCTTCTTATGATTGGCGTGATGTCTTTATTGCAGCTGTTCTTGCAGGTGGTGCAACCTATGGATTGTGGACATTGGCCAAGGTATGTGATTCTATCCGAGAAATGAGAACGACACATATTAACGTGGGTGCAATCATAGCGTTTCTTTGGTCCCTGGTTCAAGGTACCACAAAAGGAAGAATTGGAGAAGGAAAAGGCTGCATTGGATTCACAATTTGAAGCAGGTATAGTAGAGGAACGTTTATGTAATAGAAAAGTGAAGCTTATAGGACTTTTATAGTTGAGGCATCGCTCAAGGAAATCAAGGATCAAACTGAAGAAGCTTTGACGGCCGTTTCGACACAATCCGATCGAGTCAACACATCCATCACCAGTCTCGAAGCAGCTTTGAAGGACTTGAAGGAAGGAGATGAAGCAAGACAAAAACAATTTGGAGAGGTGAAGGATGAAGTGGATGCCTTGAAAGAACTTGTACCCAAGGTAAGCGGGTTGTACCTGAAATGAAAAAGCGAAAAAGATATTTACTGATGCGTGTATTAGATGATGGATCGGAATAAGCAACAGCAGGGAGATGTCCTTGAAGAATTGCAAAATGAGCTCAAATCTCTCAAGAGTCTACTTCTCAGTCGTCGTCCCACAACCCCTTCTTCTCCTGTACCTGAACCAACAACATCCAGCAATACGGTTGCATCAGCAACGAAGCCTGTTGAGAATGGCAATGGCAACGGTAGCAGTATCCCAGCATGGCAAATGGCTGCTGCTGCTTCATCAATCAACAACAACAACAACAAGGCTCCCGCTCCATCTGCCACCACTCCTCAAGCTGAACCCGCAACTGGCTCTTCATCATCTTCAGCAGCTGGATCTGCCACCAACAATACCGCTTAGTCGTATCCTAGATAATCTGTACATTGTTACCACAAAGATGTTTATTTGTCGCTTTTTATGGACGAATGAAGATTGTATTTTTGGAATCTGTGTAACTGTATCATTGAGTGCGGAATTGAAAGTGGGTCTGATATCTCTTTACGGATTCACTCAAGGTGATTGTTTTTCCCTTTTCCCCTTTCTTTATTTCTTTTCGGATGTCAAACCGCACAAAGACACCGTGTTTTGGTACTATGACCCTATTTGGCATTGCATTCTCTTTCTGATCCTAGTAGAATGTCGAAAACGACGACGAAAGTGTGTTTGGCATAGGTACTCCCTCGTTTGTCAAAGGTGTGCACAGCGAGATATCGAGTGTGTGCCGATCGATGATCATAATAGCAGCCTAACGGATGATGACGATGCACGTTCCGAAGATGGTGATCAGGACTTGCAACAATGGATAAACGATATCTTGCAACTGCAGCACACAGCACAGCAGCTTGAGACGACGTTGGATCGTATTCGATCTGATATCATTGACCCGTCATGGACTTTTCATATTGTGAATGATCAGCTACGACTCGAATCAGGCAATGTCAATCTTTTTCAGTATGGTGAGGCCTGTTTTCGGTACTTGTCACCATTTGCAGCCTTGTTTCATAAAGAACCTGTCACATTCGAGTGTGCGGCTTTGCATAACCTTCTCGAAGGCTTTCGTCTCGTTTCGCAGCTTAAACTCGAGCACAACACAGCTGCTTCCATGACAACACCATTGCTCACTGAGCCGTGCATTGATTTCGAGAAAATGATGGATACACTTGTTCACTTTTACATCCATGATCATCCCCCACAAGTCTTGCCTATATTACACATTCCCAGCTATGATCGGCATTACAAATCTCTACGAGATAAAATGGCATGTCCTATCACCTTGGCAATTTGTGTCAATGCAGCATCAAGTCCTATGCTACCTATGAAAGGTTACACTGCCAAGGAACGACGAGCCATCGGTGACTTTTTTTTCCATCGCTGCCATGAGGTCCTTTTCGATATCTTTGATGATCCTGAACGCCGACTCGACGTTTTGACCACCATCTCATTGCTATATCATTATCTTTCAGTTGTACGTTTATGGTTCACCGAAGCACGTCGACTTGCTACCATTGCTTTATGTATATGCGATGACATTCAACGATCGGGCTTGGAGCTGACACCAATACAGCATGCCATGTTCCAAAGACAGCATTTGCAATCCAGATACGTGATGCATTTTCTTGATCTGGTCATGCATCAAGCATACATAAATGAAGAGGATCTTTTTAATGTGGAACCTTTTGCCATGGAACTCGAGATTCTGGAGGACGAATCTAATACCGTGGAATGGAACATCAAGGCCATTAATCATGTTTCTCGTTTATGTTTATCCCCTTACTTTCTATTGATAATGGTAAGTGGTTATCTTATCCAAAGCTCTATAGGGATCTCGCAGCTTAAAAATTACTTTCAACCAGAATCAGCTAAGGAACATCATTTGTAATCGCCACGCTGAATTAAACCTACATGTTTTTCTTCGATTTGAAGCGATCATGCGTGAATGGTGGAAAAGTTTACCAGATGAATTACGAGTGTGCGATGATCCATATTCACCGAATGCGCTCGACGGCATCAAAAAGGATACAAACATCACCGCATTGCTTGTGCTACATACAATTACTGCATTGGTGCATGCGTCGATTCTCAAACCACAAATACGATCAAGCACAGAGGACGATTTCCTTCATGCCATGCGGCAGAGAGCACTCACTATGACTATGCGTTCGCTTGATGTCATTACGCGTGCATCATTGGCAAGCTACGAACATACATTTGTCTATTCAGAGATATGTAAGTTGTTCTTTATCTTAGTGCCTTCGTCATTCAGTGGCCCCATTGTCTCACAGGGAATGATTAGTGGCTTTCGGTATAATGGGTCATATGATGTATGCCATGGCTTGTATCCAAGAATGCCCTGAAGTGCAACTGAGCTCTCAATCAAAGATACTCTTTTCCAAGATCTTCAAGGGCTTTTCATCCTTTCTTCCATCCGATCACCGTATGCCTTCTTCTATATCTCCTATGGCAAGTGCTATCACACTACACCATGCTTCTCCTACCATGTGCCTTTACAATGACTACCCCATGCCAGGCTATGCTCTAATATCAGATACTTTGACGGTTTCATTCGATCGATTACAAAGTTTGCTTACTCCCTTTCCCCATTGATCTAGTAATAAAGTCTAGCTAGTAGATGCATTCAGGCCCATTGATGCTTGGCATGTGTGAGTGAATGTATCTTTAAAACACGTGATGTATGAACCCAAGCTTTTATTTTAAGCATGGACGCTAAGATAGTGGTTGCCATGCAACCTTAATCGGAGTAAAGGTGTGCGCCAGAGGGGGGTTGCCGCGGGATTAAATGTTCCTGATGCTGGGAATAGCATGTTGCACCAGGTCTTTTTCTTTTTATACATGTCTCGGCGAAAGACACCTTGCATTGGTAACCAAGTTCACGCCCATTTCACATTCGACACCACCAATGACTGATGCAGCATAGAATGTAGAACACGAAGACGCAAATGTGTTTGGCACTTGAATCTATCCTCATGCCTCCGCTGTTCACAACGTGGGATCGAGTGCATACAAGTAGACGAAGACAACAGCAATGATAGCGATACTCGAGGTGGCGAGCAACAATTGGAGCAATGGAAAGATCATGTGGATACGATGGAAACGCAGTTGCAGCAATTGGAGACTAGCATGAGTCAATTGATACGAGCCAAAACCACTCCCAAAGAGGAACCAACATGGCATCTCAGTATTCATCAAGGCGTTCTTCAGCTCGATTCACGTATCGAAAGTGTGGAAGAAGCACAACAATTCAATCAAGCGTTTTTCAGATACTTGTCACCCTTTTGCTCTCTTTTCGAACGAGGACCTATTCTCTTTGAAAGCGCCACATCACATATCCTCATCAAGTCAATGATGCTGATCACCAACTTTGATATGCCACAACAACCATCATACTCGATTCAAAAGATGCTTGCACATACAGGAGGATGCGACACCATCGATTGGCATTCAATGGTTCATCAAATCGTGCATGATTATATGGATGTTGACCGTTTTCAATTCATACGAACGCTTCATATACCAACTCTTCGAATACGCTTGAACAACACCAAAGATCCATTCTCTTGTCCTTTGATTATGGCTATTTGCGTCAGCATGGTAGCGAGCGGATTATCATGTAAACAGAGTACACCCATTGAACGACGTATGCTTGCGGATTTCTTCTATGACAAATGCCATGATGCTCTCTTTGACATCTTCGATGACCCAACTCGACAACTCGACACCGTAGCAACAATACCTCTGCTTTTTCATTATCTCATCATGGTTCGTCTTCAATTCAAACAAGCCCGGCATCTCGCAACCATGGCTCTGCTTATTAGCGATGAATTAGCGTTCTCTGAAGAGAAAAGGGGCTATTTATCACCAGTGGAACGAGTGATGGTAGATCGACAACGCTTTCAATCAGCCTACTTGGTATACAACCTACAATTTATCATGGATGGGAAACTCAAAGAAGATGCCCTTGAGAGGACACCATTTCAAGTGCGCTTTGAGGTCTTGGACGATGAACCAGAATATGTGCATCTCATGATCAATGCCGCAAATCATACTTTGCGCTTGTTTACAACACATTACAGCCTTCTTCTTCTCGTAAGTCATCATCATTGATATTGATTCTAGTGGTTCGTTATTGATCATAGATGATCTTTACATAGCAACAAATGAAACGTTTATATGCAAGAAAAGAGACCGATCTTGATCCACACATATTCCTTCGCTATGAGACAGTGGTGCGTGAATGGTGGTCGAGCTTACCCGATGAATTAAGGCCGTGCAAAGATCCTTTCTTATTCCAATCCAATGACGTGGATACTCTCCCCAAAGGAAGTTTCCGAACTTTACCTTTCGTTATGGTGCACGTTATGACAATGATGCTACACTCCGTGCTATTGAAACCTCGAGAATCAACGTCTGGAGGTAGTAGAGGCGATTTCCTTGGCGTATTGCGACAACATGCACTATCAATGGCCATGCGTTCCTGTGGCATTTTATTACACCTCTTTCGATACGTTGATCTTTTTAGAGATAATGGTGATTCATGTGAGTTATACTGGAAGCTTCTTTTCGTGCTTTTCTATCATATCATTTACATGGCTTTTCCCGCTCTCAGTGTCATTCATGTTCCTTGGACAAATCATCTACACTTTGTCCTGCATCAAATCATGTTCCGAAGCACGGCTCACGCAGCAATTGGAAGAAGATTTCGAAAAGCTTTTCGAGCAATTCGTTGCATGTGTTCCTCCCGACCACAACATCCCATCCGACATGTCACCTATCACCACTGCTATTTCCACAAACATGGTATCGCCCACGTTGGGTATATATAATGACTTTGCTCTATCCGGCTATGCGTTGTATTACGACATATTGCGATCAAGCGTGGCACAATTGCAAACGATTTCATGATCTTGCATATATGCATAGACCACTTTTGTAAATATTTGTACAACAAGTCACTGATTCGAATAAACTTGGCAGTGGAGGTGTTTCATTCAAGATGCTCAATTCAAGTTCAACAATGCATGTTTCTTGGCGGACTTGGCATTGATAACAGTGGACACAGCTTTTCCCCGCCCCTGAATTTTGATTTGATTCATCTCTTATGGCCCGTCAAAGAACACCGTGTATAGGTAATTATCATCTTCATATGTATCAAAAGCATTCGAATGACTAATATCTATTATACTAAGAATGCAGAAAGCGACGCCGGAAATGCACTTGGCATTTGAACTCGATCGTGTGCTTGCGATGTTCACAACGTGGAATCAGGTGTGTTCCGATTGACGATCTCGACTCGGATAGCGAGGACAAGCGCTCTGAGGATGGCGACCAAGAGCTTGAACACTATACAACTGAAATTCAGCAATTGAGGAGGTCCGTGCAGGCGTTGGAGGCTACACTGCGGGATATCAGATACAGCCATGGCAACCAATTATCCTCACCAATGGCGACATCAAATGACAATGAACCCACCTGGCAACTCAGTGTCATTAATGGAAACTTGCGTCTCGAGACACCCATCAAAAGCATGGAGGAACTCTATCAATTCAGTCAAGCATCCATACGATACTTATCACCTTTTCATCATCTCTTTCTCAAAAAGTCATTCATATTTGAATGCAATACCTCTCACATCCTCGCTGAAACGCTCCACTTGACAGCGCGTATTCAAATGGCACGACGTAGTAGTAGCACCAACGCATCACCATTACGATTACTTCAATCACCCAACAATCATATCAACTATGGACCCATCATTGATGACCTTGTCAACATTTATATGCGTACTCCCAATTGTCCTTTGGCACCAGTTATACATATCCCAACCCTTCGACAATACTACAACACCCTTGAGGATCCATTTTCATCACCGATCATTATGGGCATATGCGTTAATGTCATGTCAAGCTCTGGAAGCTACACACATCTATCAGCTGAAGAACGGCGGCAATTGGCCGACTTCTTTTTTGAAAAGTGCCACGATTTGCTATTTGATATCTTTGATGATCCCACCAAACGACTCGACACATTGACCACAATTTCACTACTGTATCATTACCTCACACTCGTCAGATTATGGCTATCAGAAGCCCGCCGATTAGCCACCCTTGCCCATCTCATAGTCAAGGACATTTTATCATCCGGCTTGGATAAGCAGTTGAGTGATGTGGAACAGGTGATGCTTCAGCGTCAACGCATGTTATCCGACTACATGCTTTACAACTTCACTATCTTGATCGATGGTCATACGAAGAGTCCTTTTGAAATCACACCCTTTTCAATGCACCTACACGTTCTCGATGATGAAGATGAAGCCGTCAAAAGCAGCATTCGCACCATCAATCACGTATTTCGGCTATGTCGTTCCCAATATTTCTTAACGATTGTTGTATGTACATCTTGAAGCATCATGCATTGCCGATCATGGATACTTACGTTGTTATGCAGGAACAAATTAAAAACATGTCAATGGATCGGAAAGCCGAGGTGAATCTCCATGTTTTCCTTCGATTTGAAACTATCATGCGAGAATGGTGGGCAACATTACCTGATGATTTGCGAGTTTGTGAAGATCCGTATTCAGTCGATGCATCCACCTTTGTACAAACGCTTGATGATCAGCAGAATATCGGAGCATTTGGCATGATGCATGGTATCACCATGATGGTACACGCTCTATTACTCAGCTCACAACCTTCCATGGAGACCGATGGCGTAACGAGTGACTTTTTGACCATACTACGCAAACAGGCGCTACTCAATGCCACGAGATCATGTGACATCCTACTCGCACTTATCAAGAATTCCTTGTTTTATCTCAAAGATGCCGATCCATGTAAGCCTAAAGTATTCAACGCTTCACAATCCTCATGATCTAATCACCATTTCCAGTATCCTTTGTAGCGTTGGGGCATATCATGTATGCACTCTCATGCATCAGCAACTGTCCAGAGGCTAAAATACAGCAGCAGACGCAAGCCAACTTTGACGAAATCGTCAAGCAGCTTTTATCACATCTCCCGGTCGATCATCATATCCCTTCCTCAATATCACCTATTCCCTCCGCCATCCAAACGCGACAAGCATCACCAACATTAGCCATCTATGATAGATACGCTCTTCCAGGTTACGCGCTGATGTCTGATGTCATGCGGATATCCCTTGATCAACTGAAATCACTTTTTCAATGCCCTTCTTAAGACCAATGTTGCTTTACTTTTCCTTTTTGAACTCGACTTCTATTTCATTGATACCAACTGGTTCCTCAGACTAAAATAAAAAAGCTATATGAGTCTCATGCTTTTGTGTACATTATATACGCATCATGAATGAACGTACCTTTTCATCATAATCAGCCCAATCACCCTCTTCGAAATCAATGTCCTCGAATGGAGTACCCGTTTCAGTGCCTTCTGCACTCCAAGGGCCCTATTCCACCATCTTAATAACTGCCATTTACCTTAAGTATCCTATTTTTCACTTACCTTGGGAGCAAAGTCAACCAATTCAAGACCACGACAATCAAATACAGCGATCTTTTGAAGCTTGCGATTTTGTTCAGCACTGTAAGCTTGGATCGGGACACTGGTGTCAAATTCTAATTGCCGATAACGATTAACATCCACCATGTGTCAATGACATGCTTGAACTTACGTGCGCTCGACTCTCGTTTGCAAAATTTGCATCGCATTACAAGGTTGGCAGTACCACGTGATCCAGACATGTCAACGGTATCCTAGGAGAAAAAAAGGACCCATCCTCCAGGGTCAGTCAGCCGAATCAACTTGATCACCCTTCCCTTTTTTCCCTACTCACTTCAGGGTTGAATGAAATCCAATTCTCGTCAGTCTCACGGCAGCTACCACATTGAATCTTTGAAGGCATCCATATGAGTGAGTTATTATTATCGGTGCACCACTCTCAACGCGTTGGGGAAACATACCTTGAAATACCATTCGAAACCTTCCATGGGCTTCAGATTGGTCACATTCTCGAGATCAGCTTTCAAGTAGAGTCCCAATTTCTAATGAGGCGTTAAGGCAAGCTTGTATTGGGAAGGATAAAGAAATGGCAACTTACAACCATAATGCGTGTTTTGTAAAAGAATGAAGAGAACCAAGCTGAAATCAAATGCAGATAATCCCACCATCTATCTCCTCCCCCAAGCTGCACCGTCACGGCTGATGACATTTGCATTGATAGCTTTTAAAGATGTATTTCCCCCATATGATCATGTTGGCTTATGAATAAAAGAAGGCTAAGATTGTTGCTATAACTATTTAAGCTATGGGATTGCGCAAGGCGATCTTGGTTACCAATCTGCATTTTCCCTCCCAAAGTTCCAGCATAGAAGAACACCTGAAAGGACATGGCAATACGGATGTAGTATACCTTGTAGAGTGGTCTCAGCCCATGAATGATGATGGATTGGATGGAATGGTTTCAGTGACAAATTAATGCTCCCGATTCCGAGGGGACTGAAAAGCAGCGCAGCGTCTTTGCATTCCTTCCTTGCCACCTTTTTTCCTTCTACGCTACATGTTCAGCAAACGGCTCCTATCGACCATTGGACGACGCACCATTCGATACAAAGCACGTCGAGATCCAGTACAAATACGATTTGCAGAGCCGCCTGTTCATTATGCTGGTCCTGTTGCATTCGGTCTAACGGCTTGTGCCGGTGCTTTTGTTGTCTCTGCTGTAATCTACGATCGTAATCAGGTGTCGTTTTGGGAGCGGTTGCGACAATTTGGAGGCATGCGAGGAGGTGGGCCGTATTCACGTACCGTTACTATGGATGATTACATTGCCGAGCGACAAGTGTGGATGCAAGAAAAATGGGAACGTTTACGACGTCGCGTGGAGCAACTCGACTTTTTGCCACAGGATCTTGTACGAGCTTATGTCATGGTGGAAGAGAAGATCCTGTCACTTTCAGAGGCTGAAAAGACATTATGGTCATTGATTGGGATCAACGTGGCAATATTTGGATGCTGGCAAATACCTCGATTGATGCCATTCATGATGAAGTGGTTTACACACAACCCAGCAGTACCAGGACGGTCGATCACCATGATCACAAGCGTATTCTCACATCAAGAAGGATTCCATCTTGCACTCAATATGGTTGGTCTCTATTCCTTTGGTATGGTCATTCATCAGCATATGGGAAGGGAGCAATTTGTGGCATCTTACCTAGCCACTGGTATTGGAGCCAATGTGGTCAGCCATGTGCTCAGTCTTGCGACACGACGTTTTCGACCCGTGATGCCAGGTTTAGGTGCCAGTGGTGCCATCTATGGATTGTTGGCTGGTACAGCAGTCCTATATCCTCATTCAAGCGTATCGTTGATCTTCCTCCCTTTTATTCCAATCAAGATGGGTTATGCTCTCCCCGCCATGATGGGTTTTGATCTCGCTGGTATCCTGCTAGGTTGGCGTCGCTTCGATCATTATGCTCATTTGGCTGGTGCATCCATTGGTCTCGCGTATATGACTTATGGTGAAAAGTATCTCTGGAGACCCCTTGTTCAAGATGTCCATCAGATTAGAAAAAATCGTAGCTAAGACTATAGCAAACAATAGTCTTCTTCCATTTGCACGTGTAAAATAGATTCTCATTTTCATTTTCGTTATGTAAAAAAAGTTGTCAAAAAAATGTTGCTCGGTTTATAGTGCCGTTGTCCCGTTATAAGCTCAAGGATTGTTCCTTGGCGAGACCCCGGTGTGAAGACGAACAGTCTTTTCTCAGAAGCTGTGTTGAACAGAAGGCAACGGGCTCCGATAGAATCGAAAGCCAATACAAACGTCCAAGCTTAATGAACTTCATTGGGTGAAGTCCAATCGGTTGCCGGGAGCTTTCAGCCATACCTGCAGTCGGAGGTCACTATACAACTTGTGGGTGGTCTTTGGTATGTTCTTTCTTCATTGAATGCTTCCCCTTTTGATACTTTCATAATTGGATATCCATGCTGGGGGTGATCAACAATAATGAATGTTTATTGGGAGGCCATTAATAATCAAGTCATTGCGTGAAAGCATTACTCTTGTATCATAGTCAAATAGTATAGCAATGTATTTTCCCCGATCATGATTGTAAAAAGTGTTACTATGTCTTTAGTATTCTGAATAGGCAGTATTGTAAAACGCAATGGAGCATCTACTTTTGCAAGTGAAGCAAAAGCACAGTGGCAGAGTAAGGTTCAAAGGTGTATGTGAAAGAAGTGAGCGTATCCATGTTGAAAGTGGATTCCTTGACCGTCACAGTGGACTTGTCCTTTGTGTTCTCATCATCGAGGCTGCTGCCAGTAATAACACGAGCTACACCTTGGCTATGGATAGCGGCATTCTTTAAGTTGAAGCTGACTTTCTCGGCCTCTGAACCGGTGTTGACCATCTTGACAAAGATTTGCGCAGTCTCCTTCTTTGATCCCACCACCCAATATAAAGGACCAAATTCACCATCGGAATGATCGACTTGGAGAATGGTATCAGCACCTATGATTGTAATTGAGTTATTATGTGATGATCATTGCTTACATTAATAATGGCTGCACTTACGATTGATGCTCCATTGTTGGAATACATGGTAGCTTGGAGTCAACCAAACTGCTTCGGTATCAAAATGGATCATGTCTATGTACAACGCAATGAGCTCATATCATTCATTGGATTTATGATAAAAACACTAACCAGGGTTCCATTGTTCGTGGCCAACGCGTTTCATAGTGGGTGCATATGCAATCATTTTGACAAGATCAGAATTGCGTTCAAGGCCCGTCATGAAAACAGCATCTGCTAGAGCAGCTTCAAGATTAGCGGATGAATTGCCACAGCAGCCTTTAACATTGGTTCCGAATTCGCCGACAAAGATGCCTGTGCCATTTCTAGGATAGTTGTCGTAGTGGTCATAGTTGCCAATCATTGCTTTGGTATCCAAGTAGTAGTGATCATCGTAGATGTCCCATGGTCTGCAACAACAAAAAAAAATTGTTAACGCAGCTGCTACAATAAGATGTTGATCCATGCCAATCCTTTAACTTACCTTGAACTCTGCTCAGCGGTTTCAATGATGGTGACATTGGGATAAGCCTTTGTGATAGCGTCGTAAAAGGTCTTGTATCGGTAGTCATAGGTAGTTGAGAACCAATCTTCGTTGCCAATCTCAATGTATTTGATGTCGAATGGTTCAGGGTGCCCGTGTGATGCACGCAATGATCCCCACTTGGTGTCTTTTGATCCGGTCAAATATTCAAGCTCATCCAGCACCTCATCCACGTATGGGCCAAGATCCTCTTCAGCAACGCTTGATCCATCGAGGGAATAACCAGCATAAACATCAAGGATGGGTTCCATTCCCATATCCTCGCACTATTTTCATAAAAATATTAGACACATATACCACTTTGGTTAAAAGCCATTTAGTAGTGCTTACCATGTACATGTAATCAAGAAGACCTTGACCATTGGTGTTCCTATCAATGTAAATGAAATCATGTCAACATCTCTCAAGCTATGACTCTTTTCAATTATACCTACCAATAAGTCCAGTCACCAAGTCGACCTACTCGGTCTTCAAGAGGACCAATTGTTTGCTGAAACTTCCAACGCTGAGGAATGGATACGCCTTCCAAGTTGTTACCACCTGGGAATCGGAAAAAGCTTGGATTCAAATCATTTAATGCCTTGCCAATATCTTGCCGTAAGCCATTTTCACGATCGGCAAACGTTTCACCAAACAAGGAAAAGACTTGGAAATAGATGGAGGAGCCAACAGCATCTTCTGAATCGACCGAGACAACAAAACGGTTATCAACGCTTGTGGATGAGATTTTGGGTTTGAGTGTCACACTGAATTGTTGAAAATCTGAAGACAGCTTGCCCTCGGGGGTAGCCGATGCCAGGACTGTGCCATCATTGGTTTGCAATGATACGTTGACTTTCCCACTATAACCGTTGGCCTTGGCAAAGAATGATGCAGTGTATGTCTCATCAGGCTGCGCGCGCACGCCCCACCATCCTTCATTGGCCACACCAGCTGGCGTCTTCACCGAAGACACATCTAAACGCAGGCTGTTCTTGTTGGCATCATTCAAGCCGACCGAGTCATCAAGCGCAATTTTTGCTCCATCACCAACAGCACTCCAAAATTCTGTCGATGGATCTTTGGTGCCTGAATCATCCTTTTGGAAATTCCAGTTACGTAGCATTTGGCCATACATTCCTGAAGGGTGGATTTCTGTTAGTGCACACGATGCATTATAACGAAGGCACATCCTCAATACTTACCACCATCGCCACAACGATTAATGTCTTCATACATCAAACCATATAGGATAGGCGAGCTTGCGTTACCAGGAACGTCATTACGAATAGTCAACGAAAGGGCATTGGCCGATTGGATGAACGTGGACGAAAGCAAGAAAGCGGTAGCCACAGCTGAGAGACTTGCAGAAAGCAACTACATAAGATTCGCCATCAACATCCTATCCAATCGAGAAGCGGATATAAAAGTCATCAAGTTACCTTCATTGGAGAGTATCTTTTATGATTCGAGTCGCTTTGTTGTCGTTTTTGAATGCTGCTTTATATGAATGCGATATTCCCATGATGTTGTCAGCTCTAGTAATCCGACATCTTGCAAGCTGATCTAAATTGCATAAACGCATATACGTCCATAATCCCGAGCTGCCAACCGGGGATAATGATGGTATCAAAATGGCAATAAGGTCGACTAATTTCTCCATTGAGGAAGTCCTGTACACCAAATCTTGTTCCAGCCGGGGAAATATGGACATTTATTGGATTGGTGATACATCTCTAAGATGGTCCCCCTTCTACACTGCTGCAGGTTGCTTGTTTGAATGTGCGTTGAACCATCCCAATCCATGAATCCTTGTTGTATGCTAGTACCATGCGGCTGAGTAGTAGTATTCGAATCTCCAGCTGCAATGTCTCGTTGTAAAGATGATTTCATCACGTAATGGTGTGAAATATTGATGGTGTCACTGATTTCCTTCATGTGAACGCGCTATTTCTCCTGGTCGCACCGACATCAACAAGAATTAATGTTGTAAGAGGGAGGTTGAGAATGCGTTGTCGAAGAATCAATTACGTGTTGAAGAAAACGCTCCTGCACACCGGATCAACTTGATTGTCATTATGACGTGGAACATCCAAAGTCATCTTGTCCTTGGTGATGCGTCTTTGTACGCTACCCATGAGATCGGCAATATCGGTTGGAGGTGTCAAATGGTCCAAAATGGAACAGCATTGCCGACGCGGTTGATAACGTAGGTGTTGACATGTCACTTTGCGTATGGAATTGCTGGCGAAACATAAATAAGCAACAATAAGGTGATAAATCGATGCGTCGACCTCATGAATAAAGCCTCCCAAAGTAGTGCCATGCCTTGTGTTGTGAGCAAGCATCCGAATCATACATCAAAGCTCGCATTCTTGTCATCAATATAGCCACCCTATGCTTCATTCCATGGCTCCTGAAAACTTGCTGTAACGAATACCTTGCAGTTGGCTCATGCAATACATCAAATACATCCATCGCGTCGTGAAGGAGGTCCACCGTACATTCTCTGGAAGCCTGAGATTCCTGCTGGTCCTTTGAAATGCCCATCGTGCCCGGTTTTCAGCAAGACAAATAGCGTGATTCGCTGCATTGTAGTCGTCTTTATGCTGCTTCAGTAACGCGTACGCGATCTGTAGTCATCGAGTCAAAGTAGGGTCCACGGCGATATTCGTTCATGCTGGCTGTCGATTTGGCAATCGCATCGCTAGTTCCTCGTGTATCCATGCCCGATTGTTGCTTCATTGCCTCGGTATTAGCCGTAAGGTAGAGTGAAAGACGACGAACAACAAAAGTGTGAGATTGTCGGAGCGAAACAAGGGGTACAGCCACTATCATGCGCACAACACGAAACTTGAGAACTAGTATGCAGACACTATCCACCCAATGATGTATCAATTTACACCGTTGTTGTCATTTCTTTTCGTTAGCAATTGTGATGCATGCAAATAAATAACAATATGATGCACGAGGACAATACTTTGGAGATGGATCGGGTCGTGTGCAGCAGCGTTGTTGACACGTATCCTCATATGGACTTGCAGTTACCCCGATTTATGCATGGGAGCCATGGCAACCGTGACATGGTTTTTTATGGGTTTCATTTTGACACGGGCACCCTGACCGAAAAAGTCATGGGCACCTTATCCAGGCAAGATGAGTCTCCGACAAGCTTATAAAATGGCCTCCTGTTTCATAAAAAATTTCATTGTTTCCCACTTCTCATTCTCTCTCATCCTCTCACTCCCATGTCAAACTATACTATTACTATATCATGTGGCTCTGAAGCCAATACTGGGTTGGAAAATGTCGTGAAAGAGGCAATGCCTGCTCCTCACTCGACCTCTTATAACCAAAAACCAGCATCATCATCTATACAAAACACTGCAAAAGCTGCTATACCACAGCTGCGTGTCCACATGGGAAAAGCCTTACATGGGTCAAACACCCACATGGCACCCGTAAATAACACTGCTAAGAATGCCCGGCTAAATAAAGTCAAAGGCAATACAAAACAGCTGTCAAACGCTTGTGCATATAGCACCCAAAGCAATACAGTGAAAAATCATCCAGTTAAAAAGAACACTGGCAATAACAATATACGCAGTGACATCGCTCAAAGCAATCATAATGTAAAATCCTATCCCAAACATACAACTACCACTCCCATTATCACTCCTCCTACTTCTCCTACTCCTCCTGCACCTGCTACTGACACCAAAGAGACAGCATGTAGCCTTGGGTTACTAAAACAATATATCACTGATGCTGCTAAACAAGAACCATGTTTCAAAAGCCTTGTCCGTGCGCTACTATTTGAACAAATCACTGAACAGCTACCGGCTCTCCAAGTAAAAAACCGTGGATGTTGGCAACCATCAAAAGCTGTTCACCGTACGGTGTTCCACTTTGCCTTGGAGTTCGAATACACGATGCAAGCCTTTGGCCTTAATGCAGAACAACATTGGAAACGCTATCTACCTTTGTGTATGGATGCTTCACAAAAATCCTGGTTCAAGTCAAAATTGGAATCTCAAAATTGTACCTGGAAAGAGGTGGTTTGCATGCTCCGTGATTTACTGGTGCCTCCGCAGGACACGTATCAAGGCTGCTACAACTTTATCCATAACACCAAGCAACAGCAAAACGAGCGTCTCATTGATTTTATGGCACGGTGGCGTGAAGGATACGTTAGCAGTGGCATTTACTATGCTGCTGCTGGCAGCGATTATGAAGCAGGTCTCGCTAATGCTTTTGTTAAAGCTATGTTACCAGTACATCAAGCAAAGTTGGGAGAGCTATTACAAAGGAGAGGACTGAAAAGCATTCCTCCGAACATTGAAGATACATTGGAGCTATTGGCTGCACTTGATCTCCAAGTCAATGATCAAAGACACTCAAACGAACCCCCAAACAAGCGACCACGAAGGAGTTAGTCATTTACCTTGATCATAATAATAAATTACTTGGCTTACCACTACCTACAGTATAGTAATGGTCTTACAATGAGCTTACACGTTTACCCAACCGCGTTGTAATCTTGTAGAGTTCCTCTTTACCGAATCCTGCAACCCTTTGTTTTATCCATATTTACAATAAGAGACAATCTCTGTAATAGGCTGCCCTGGAACAATGTTCAGGGCGGTGAACACGTATCATTTCCTCCTACATTTGCGCCCTCCCATTCAAGATTTGTATAATGAAATGTGGCGTCTTTATTAGAACAAAGTTGATCAGCGTGCCTGAGAGCACCTTGTGTGGAAGATTCAAGTTTGAGATGTGCAATACCATAATCAAGATTTAGCTTACGGTGTTCATAGATTTGTAGGGCAGTGGCTGACCTAATTAATCTCCACTCCTTCCACTCCCACTTTATTTACTCTTCCTCCCATTCTCAACCGTTGGTGCATTCAAGTACACACAGCTACCAGCTGCAAACCATTGTCCTGCTTCAACCCATCATGTCAACCCTGCAACACTCTCGATCCGATTGTCTTTGACTGAATGGCGACTCCATGGCGTGTAAGATCCTTGTCGTCACTCTTCTACAACACACGCTCTTGCGCGCTTCCCTGCCACGACCAATCGGAACAGCATTCATTCCAGCAATTGCTATTTGCAAGCTTTACTTCATCGTATCCAACAGCGTTCTCTATTTGCAGCAACTTGCCTTACAGCCTATTTTCACGTGAGCACCACATAGCCATTGTATAGAAGCAGCTTTATTTACGTGTAGCAACTTGCTTTGATACATACAGATCCCTATGGATGATGCCTTATCAACAATCAAATACAACGCAATACAAGCATTCTTCACCTGGTTGAGCGGCACACTCTGCAAAGTACATCCTTTACTATCACCGAGCCATTGCACTTTTGCATTCGATACCCTGGTTTCTCTGAGAAGGTCAAGCTTGGCTGTTGTCCAATTAGGTCAATTAGGCTTCAATAGACGCTGGCATGTAAGTATTCAATCATGTTTTTGTGGTATTCATTCATTGCATATTAATGTAATATTTATCATAGGTCAACATCTTTTTCCCACATATGGATGACCCCATGGATAATACATATGTAAAGATGTTTATCAACCATGTGTTCCTCCCTGCCCTTTCGCAAGAGGCTCGGTTCGACAGAATGAATTTCGGGGCATCATATACAGCAGACCAGGAGTTGTTTCGGAACCAAATGGGCCATATATATCCACATGCATCCTTAGTGGAAGAGGAGCACCTTGAAGACCTGGTGGAGCGTATGCGTGTGATCATCAATGGCACTCCAACTTTGGCACGCTTTCGAGGATTCTTTTTTGATACCTGGTGCCGAGGTATCAAAAATGCATACACCTACAGAGAATCAGAAGCCCGTGATCCTGAAATGGAGGCGTTACGACGTTCAGTGCGTGATATCGAATGGGAGTTCATTGACAAAGCGAATTCCTATATCGACTTCGCAATTGAGGCGCTCCCTGGCCACTCCTACAATGCACCATCGTTTATGGGTTTACCTATGGGTTATGCCTACGATATATCCAAGACCTTACGACAGGCTTTCTTCTTTAATCCTGGTCGTGGCAATCGCATTGCTTGCCATGTTTCGCGGTATGTCTTTGCTTACATGCATTCAAACTTATACATTCATTCTAATCCTATTATATAGCAATGACCCATTCCTTCATTTTGAGCACCTAGGTGGTTGGGCTGCTCATGTGGCAAATGATGAAGCTCCCAATCCTTGGTTGCGTAGCAATGCAAGTGTATGGAAAACACAAGACACGCTTCTACGAGTATAAGCCTGGCAACGATCGTCCTGGTGTATCAGTAGATGCTGAGCGCATTTACAACAACACCATCAATGGTTTTGCTGTAAGTTTTCATCATACCATCAATAGTATTCCTATATTAATTTTGCTATCCTTTCATCTGCCAGGCATTTTGCAACCATACTTTGGGTGCAATGCCAGCATACCATGATGGCATTCGCATCGAGGTCCGCATCACCTTGGAATCACTTGAGTACTATGATGACTTTATCCAGGAGATAATGACGTAGGTTGCTTGCTCTATACATGCTTATGATATATTGCTCATTGTATTATTCTACATATAGTGATTACATCGATCAGGAAAACTCCATCTATTGGATAAAAACATCATCAATATACTCTGTATGGCGTGCCCTTTTTCAAGGACTGAAGTGGGGCATCGACAACATGGATGAAGGGTCTAACCGGCATCACCTCTCCTTTGCTCGTCGTGCCTCAGTAGCATGCTATCTCGCCAGCCATGTTTCGGGTTGGTTTTCACGACCAGATAACAACCATGATGGATGGCGTCAAGTATATGCAATCTTGCATAGACATCGGGCTCCTGGATCCAACATAAGAGCAACATTCCAAGTGGAGGACTCAATCTCTCAAGAGCTGAATCCCAATGGTCATGATGCAGATGAATGTCCTATTATCCAAGGTCACTTTTGGTAAGTGTAGCTCTTTTACTTTGAAATTCTTTCTAATGCAAAGTTCCTTGCCAGCAGACCAAGACCATCTCCCTCTTGCTCAGGATCAGCAAGATCTTCAAGGTCAGCATGATCAGCAAGGTCAAGATGATGATAAATCGCAAGGTGTTTGCGTTGACAGCTTTCAACAAGCTGTCCAGATCTTGCGAAGATGTTGCCATACTCATTCCTTGAGATTGAGCGGTACCTTGGTGCCACACAAGTTCACAACCATACATCACGTGCTCCGAGGATACGAGCCATCGATTCTCAATTAGCAATTGCTGCACCCATGGTACAATTAACTGAATTATCCCAACAGTAAGTACCATTTTTATTCCTATCATGTCTTATCCATTTGCTAATGGTTTATGTGCTTGCTATGTAATTTACTAGGGATCAGGAGGCTGCAAACCTCATGGTGACCGATGTGGTGTCATAGGAGCAATCAAGACCACTAAAGAAATAGTAGTCAGATGTGCGTAATAAACTATACAAGCAATTCTCGGTTTCAAGAATGCACAAAGAATGGAAAATGACCAAGAAAGAGATAGACCAACAGTCGGATGGAAAAGGAAACATATCATATGGCTTTTCAATCATCGTATCCGATTTGTAACGGTTATGATGGAGGGATTCAATCAAGTGCAGTGACGAGAAACCCTGGAATGTTGCTTTGGTTACTTGTGTGTCGTCACCAAGAATGATGAATCATATCACGTGGATACGGTTGAGGATGATGAGGCATTGGAAGGGATTGACGAGAGTGCTTTTGTTTTCAAAGAATGGTGTTTTACAGCCATGGGTGGTATTGGGAAACTCAAGTCAAGCTATGAAGCAACGGTTGAGGGTCATGGATAAAGGATGTTTATGACAGCAGCAACGAAGAAAGCAATGATACAAATGGAGCCAAAGATGCAGAGGGGTGTGTTTGTGTAACTTGAGTCATTCAAAACAGACGATGCATGATACTTGTACACCATTTAGGAATAATGCCATCTAATAGCCCATTCCTCCCATTCACCTTTGTTGCCTAAACCAGTGCATACGAACGATTGTCCTGCTCCAGCACATCATCTCCATCATTCAACTTTTTTATTTGAGCTAACATGGTACTAAGGCAATGGCTGTTGTTGGATCATCATTATCATGTAACGTGTAAAATGACACACACCCTTTTGCTATACGTGAGGATTATTTCTTTTATTTACATGTACGTATTGTCTATCGTGAGGGTGATGATGATGATGATGGGTGAGTAGTGTGTTTGGGTGGATGGTGTGTATAGGGGTAGTAATTGAGTGGCCTCAGTGTAATAGCAGTAGGGGATTTAAACTTGGGGGACAACAGCTCCACGACTTGAGACAACGCTTCCCTTTCTCTTTGTCGCTCGTCTGCTTTTATCGCTTCACGACATTCAAATCAAGGTAATGTATTGTAAGAGAGTCCTCTTGTTGGCTGTGACGTATTAATATAGTTGTGAGCGTGCATTGTCAGGGAGTGAGCCATGTCCAAGTGCTAAGGAATGAGCGTGGTGGGTGGTTGGTTGTTGCCATGGCGACATCGTTGCTGCCTCTTGTTCGTTGCTATTCTTGCTCTACGCTTGGTATCAACAGGTACATTCAGAGCTCAATGTTGCAGCCGAACTGGTTCCATTGACGTGTTAGCTTGTATATGGGGCAAGTTTGGTTTCAAGGCCTTGGCTCGTTTGGCGTTTTGTTTCGGCTCAACCACACTACTACACCATCATTTTCGGTTTCCAGTAACCAACAACAAAGGGTTTTTTTTGTGTATATGGAAAAGGCAAGCGCAATGAAACAAACAATGAAAAAGGCGTTTATTGTATATGTGTGCTAATGATGAATTGAAATAGGCTTCTTTGGTCAGGCAATGCAACTTGGGGCATCATCATCATCCCTTTGTGTTCAAGTCCCAGCCTGTATCAAGTGGTCGCTGCGTCGCTCTGCACTAGCCAAGTGTGCTGGAAAAGCTTCTTGAAACACGTCCAGGGCTCTATAGGCCTGAGTTGAGTGTTGATGAGTCGATGACGATGGGTTTTTGGAAGAGCATGGTCACCGTGTTGAGGTAAAAGGGGATTTGCAACAACTTGTGAATGTGTTGACATCGGTGCCAACCAACACGCACTTCTCGTGATAGGCTCGTTCTTTCCCTTGAGGATTTCTTTTCAAGAGGTGGGAAATGATTGGAAGGATTGGATTGGGGAGCATTCTTTCTTTGGAGAGGATGAATGAGGACAACTATGAGCCTGGACTCTACGTAAGTGAATTCTTCCTTCCATGGATCGAACTGGCCTCGTGCAGTGCTTTCTCAAGAACAAGGGATCGCCCGACGTTGCTCGTATGGTGGTTCCTTCTGATTTGCTTTCTTCCTTAGAGAGGATCGCCTAGCGGTATACCAAATCGTCATCATTCTGGTACCAGATGGTCTAACTTGCCTGCTTTCTTATTTATAGAGACGACGATTACGATGATTACCACATTCACAACAATGACGATTACGATGATCACCACATCCACAACAATGACTGACCATCTCATTCACAACGATGACAATGATAACGACAACGAGATTTAAAAGGAAGCCTGCAAGATCCCATTCTCTTCAACTTGTGTGTTTTTGGATGTTGGTGTGACGGATAAGATTGACGACTGGTGGCGAGTACGAATGATGACGGAGGACGACTACAACGATGGTGGTGGCAATGTACAGTAGCAAGATAGCTAGATGAAATAAAGCATTGTTTATTTATTACACGCTTGTTGGAGGTTGCTAGCTTGTGGATTACATACTATTGGTTCGAAGATGGAATAATAAAGGTGGTCCGGTTATCGGTCATGCAAGAAGTATATGGCTTTTGTGATACAATAAGGAGGAGTGGGATGAGCTTGAGAAGAGAAAAAAGTGAAGTGATCGCTCCATTGAGTTGATTATTGGTGGGTTTACATATACAAATTGGTTTATGCAGCTCGACCTTCTCCCACATGCAAATGTGATATGGAACCATTATTGTCATACATATACCTTGACACATCTTCATGGTTCGATGTTGTTTCACTTACGTACCTTCACAAAAGGCAGCATCATGATCATCCATTTGTGTAGCAACCTGTCAAGGACGTGTTTGTGTAACCACCACGTGCCATTGCAGTGAAGGATGACAGCCCGCATGTGATGAAGCAGCCCGGAATGAAAAGATCGGCTTCCGAGACCTCACCCCAACATCCCACAAACCATGCATAATATCAGTAAAACAATCTTTCCATGTAGGTGCAATTTTATCCTAAGCATATAAATACCCCCACATCAAATAAAGAACCAAGAGTGATCTTCCCAAGTTTTGTGTGTGCCTTTGTGTGTGCCTTGCCGGCTAGTGTGTGTGTTTCTATTCGAAGGAGTATATACCCATATTCCCATTCTATTTCCCATCATTGTGCAATCCTATCATACATCATCTCTGTTTCCTCCCCTGTTCCATATCATATCTTTCCCCTCATTGTATCTCTTTACGTGTGTATTTGTTGAGACCTTTCGAGTCATCCCTAGTAGCAGTTGTGCACCAAAGGGTGCTTGATAGTAGATAGATGACTTTGTACATGGACACCTCGACTCATATGGCAGGGTATACACATTCAGGCCTTGCTGCTGGGCACGTTCCGTTTCCTTTATTTCACCATTTCACTCAGCTCTTCATCTTTCCGTTAATGCAGCCGACACCATCCACTAGGAAAAAGCAACTCCATCACGCTTACGGCGGGCATAGGTAAAACATACAGGTGCCTGTATCTCTAAACTTTACAATCAAACGTGGGTTTTTTATGAGAACAAACCTGCTCGGCTTGGCCAACAGCACCTTGTATGCAAGTTTCATGTTCATCGTGGCCAATCCCAGATTTCGCAATGTCTCATCAGCCAAACTGGATCTGGGGGTCGACCTCTTCGACGACGACGACCAAAAAATATTTTTTTGGGCTGTTTGCGACATTGAGCGCGAAACTTTCACACAAGGCACTGTTGGCCAAGCCGAGCCCATTGCTCTAATAAAAACCCCATGTTTCATTGTAAAGTTTGGAGATACAGGCACCTTTACGTTTGTAAGCGTGATGCTATAAGAAGAGCGGTCTTTGTTCATTGTCAAGTAGGTGGACCCTGGCAGAGCAAAAGATGCAGAGGGTCGTGTTGTGTAACACAGCTACGTTTGCATGACTGGAAGGATTGATGGATTATACTTTATGGTCTATCCACAATAGTCCATATATTGCGCGCTATCAGCCATTTCCTCACAATCAGCGTTGTTGCAAAATCCACTGCATGTGAACGTTTCTCCTGCTCCAGCCGAGCATTTCCATCATTCAAGTTTCTTGATCCGAGCCAATTTGACTGAGCAACGCTTGAACAGCAAACATGAAAATTAATGAATCGCAGGCCCTGCGAATGTCTCCGTCTTTCAAACTTTTGGACGCTCCCATTCCGAATTTTCAAATGAAGTATGAAGTTTTTATTAGAAAAATGTTGATCAGCATGCTCAGAGCACCCTTCTGACCAATTTTCAAGTTGGAAGTGGGCAACTTCGGGGCGGTGGGCCGTCCGCTCTTTTGTTCCCCACATCCACCATTTGGGTCGCCCCGCATTTTAAATCTTCATGATGAAGTCTGCGACTTTTAAATGAATGAAGTTGATCAGCATGTTGCAGCGAACCTTCTGACAAAGTTTCAGGTTCGAAATGGGGAATCCCAAGGTAATGCATACTATTTCCATAAAACATGAATCTGGCGCTGACCTCCATTTCCGACTTACGTAGTAAACCCACATTATACCCTCCCATTCCAAATTTTCAAATGAAACATCATGTCTTTTTTAGATCAACGTGATCAGCATGTCCAAGAGCATCTTGTGTGAAAGTTTGTGGTTTGAGATGGGAAATCTCAGTATCAAGTTTTGATGCCTACAGTGTACATGCATTTATACAAGAGGTGTCCGATCTATATGATTTCCACTTCTTTCACTCAACTTCTTCCCTCTTCCCCCATTCTCAACTGTTGCCCCATCCAAGTATACAACTACCACTTACGAACGATTGTCCTGCTTCAACCCATCATGTCAATCTTACGAATGCCTTGTTCCGATTGCCTCTGAGTGAATAGCAAGTCCATGGCGTCTTCACCCCACTACAACACCCGCGTTTCTTGACACTTTGCGTTCTCTTGTACATTCGTCTACCACGATCAATCGTAGCAGCATTCATTGCAAGGCCTTTACT